GGAAAAAAGCGCAAAGAGAAAAAAGCGCACACAGAAAAAAGCGCAAAGAGAAAAAAGCGCAAACGGAAAAAAGCGCAAAGAGAAAAAAGCGCACACAGAAAAAAGCGCAAACAGAAAAAAGCGCAAACGGAAAAAAGCGCAAAGAGAAAAAAGCGCACACGGAAAAAAGCGCAAAGAGAAAAAAGCGCAAACAGAAAAAAGCGCAAAGAGAAAAAAGCGCACACAGAAAAAAGCGCAAAGAGAAAAAAGCGCAAACGGAAAAAAGCGCAAACAGAAAAAAGCGCAAACGGAAAAAAGCGCAAACGGAAAAAAGCGCACACGGAAAAAAGCGCAAACGGAAAAAAGCGCAAACGGAAAAAAGCGCAAACAGAAAAAAGCGCAAACGGAAAAAAGCGCAAACAGAAAAAAGCGCACACAGAAAAAAGCGCAAACAGAAAAAAGCGCAAACGGAAAAAAGCGCAAACGGAAAAAAGCGCACACAGAAAAAAGCGCAAACGGAAAAAAGCGCAAACAGAAACAGAAAAATGCGCAACTTGAAAAAACACATCGAAAAATGTGCAAAAGAGAAATTTAGCACAAAGACCATATGGACTAGATGACACATTTATACATGACTGTTAGGGCTGCTGTGAGAGTGTCGTGTTTGATCACGTGATCTACTACCATTTAAAGCGTACCATTACCATCTGCATTCCCATCACCACGATACAGGCGATACTCACTTTACACAATGTCTATTATTTTCTTGGTCAATAATTATTCAACTACTATTCTCGTATAAACATAAAACTATCGACATTACACGAAGTATCTTTCACATTCTCCCTAGTCCGAACTACCTAGCTTGCATACTATAACAACCCGTTCCTATGGCAAAACTTCACTCTCTTTCATCCGCGTCATCAAACATGCATTCGTCATATCTCTCGTAACAACATTCATTCGCACCAAAATAACAATTTTGTATTTAATATTTTTTCACATCATGACGCACCTACCTACCTACCTACTACCCACCTACCCACCTACCTACCTACCTACCTAACTACCCACCTACCCACTTACCCACTTACCCGCCTACATACTTACCAAACTACCCACCAAAAAAGTATCGGCGAAGTTCGTAAGTTTCGTAAACTGTACTAGACATCATTTTTTTAATGAAAATTCATTGACATCATTGACATTTGTTACATATATGTTACATTTTGCGACAACCTTAATTAGTGCGTTGGGCTTGTATGAAAACTCACTTCGAACTAACTCAATTACATGCTATTTATTTTAACATTACACGGTAAGCGTCACCCAACTGTTGTGATGTAAGGTGAGGACAGGTTCGACAATAAACCAACACGAAAGTACGAAAGAGACATAGATTGCCTATTAGAGAATGGACCCCTTAACTTTCCTAACCCCACCATTTATTATACCCTACCTAACCTCTAAATTTACTGCGCTAAATGTCACTTCCCTCCCAATCGTTCCTATTCTACAGAATTGTGTATACTAATTATTTACATTCTTTAATCTCAATATAACTAAAATAGACTTTTGTTTGAAGGGTAATGAAAACATGTAAACAAAAGGGACGCTACTCTAAATCTATGCGAATACTTATATGCAGTGGCGTAGGCGGGGGGGGGGGGGGGGTTATGGGGGGTCATAACCCCCCCCCCCCCCAATAGACCCCTCGGTATATATATATATATATATATTATGCAAATCGAAAGTTTGAGGGGGGGGGGGTACAATCGACAGTTTGAGGGGGGGGGGAAGTCTGGAAGAAACACTGCATGTAGCCTATATAACAGAAGAGCTATGGTTGTTTATATCATTTTGCATTCGTCCGGTAAACATTTCAGTAAAATACCTTAAAAACCTTCCGTAACCTTTTTATAAAGAAACAAAGAGAGATGAAGTTTATAAATGTTAAAATAAATAGCATGTAATTGAGTTAGTTCGAAGTGAGTTTTCATACAAGCCCAACGCACTAATTAAGGTTGTCGCAAAATGTAACATATATGTAACAAATGTCAATGATGTCAATGAATTTTCATTAAAAAATGATGTCTAGTACAGTTTACGAAACTTACGAACTTCGCCGATACTTTTTTGGTGGGTAGTTTGGTATGTATGTAGGCGGGTAAGTGGGTAAGTGGGTAGGTGGGTAGTTAGGTAGGTAGGTAGGTAGGTGGGTAGGTGGGTAGTAGGTAGGTAGGTAGGTGCGTCATGATGTGAAAAAATATTAAATACAAAATTGTTATTTTGGTGCGAATGAATGTTGTTACGAGAGATATGACGAATGCATGTTTGATGACGCGGATGAAAGAGAGTGAAGTTTTGCCATAGGAACGGGTTGTTATAGTATGCAAGCTAGGTAGTTCGGACTAGGGAGAATGTGAAAGATACTTCGTGTAATGTCGATAGTTTTATGTTTATACGAGAATAGTAGTTGAATAATTATTGACCAAGAAAATAATAGGCATTGTGTAAAGTGATTATCGCCTGTATCGTGGTGATGGGAATGCAGATGGTAGTGGTACGCTTTAAATGGTAGTAGATCACGTGATCAAACACGACACTCTCACAGCAGCCCTAACAGTCATGTATAAATGTGTCATCTAGTCCATATGGTCTTTGTGCTAAATTTCTCTTTTGCACATTTTTCGTTGTGTTTTTTCAAGTTGCGCATTTTTCTGTTTCTGTTTGCGCTTTTTTCCGTTTGCGCTTTTTTCTGTGTGCGCTTTTTTCCGTTTGCGCTTTTTTCCGTTTGCGCTTTTTTCTGTTTGCGCTTTTTTCTGTGTGCGCTTTTTTCTGTTTGCGCTTTTTTCCGTTTGCGCTTTTTTCTGTTTGCGCTTTTTCCGTTTGCGCTTTTTTCCGTTTGCGCTTTTTTCCGTGTGCGCTTTTTTCTGTTTGCGCTTTTTTCCGTTTGCGCTTTTTTCTGTTTGCGCTTTTTTCCGTTTGCGCTTTTTTCTCTTTGCGCTTTTTTCTGTGTGCGCTTTTTTCTCTTTGCGCTTTTTTCTGTTTGCGCTTTTTTCTCTTTGCGCTTTTTTCCGTGTGCGCTTTTTTCTCTTTGCGCTTTTTTCCGTTTGCGCTTTTTTCTGTTTGCGCTTTTTTCTGTGTGCGCTTTTTTCTCTTTGCGCTTTTTTCCGTTTGCGCTTTTTTCTCTTTGCGCTTTTTTCTGTGTGCGCTTTTTTCTCTTTGCGCTTTTTTCCGTGTGCGCTTATTTCCGTTGCGCTTTTTGATTTGCGCTTTTTTCCGTTGCGCTTTTTTCCGTTGCGGTTCTTTCCGGCCACCAAAAAATATATAGTGTTTTTTTTTCTCCGCCATTTTTTTAAAGGCAAAAAATCTCTTCCCCGCCTCGGGCGCTACACTGTGATATACGCGGAGAGTACATTAAAATTGGAGTTATGCGGCAGTTACGTACAGTACATAGGGCCTAAATAACAGTTGTTTGTTTTTTCTGTAAGACAACTAAAAAAATAATTTTAAAAAAAAATCCCATGGAGGATAAAATGACCACTGGACAAACTTCCTGCAGCTTTTTAAATGCCAGAACACCGTCTTGGCATCACGCAAGATGGAAGTGGATGCCATTCTGGACACACGCTCAGGGTGGATAAAAGGGAAGTAATTAAACCCCGCGGAGTAAAGGGACATAAACACGGGATGTAACTCGGATTCGAGTCTGGCTTCATTGATTTGTACAATCAATGGCAAGGAGAACGTCTACCGTGCCGGTGAGACTCGTACGTTTTCGATTGTGCGGGCCTCATTAATAGTCAGGATTAATTAATTTAAACAAGATCAATAGGATGTCTGAACATGTAATTTAATTACCGGACGGTAAATTATTTTTTATTTTTTAAAAATCCCAAGCATTTTTAACTTGAGAAAGATACAATAAATAACGTTATGACTTTGGTCTTTAAAAAGAAAGTAGGGGACAAATTTAGCTTGATAATTTAATATTTGATCAATGGTTTCTTGAAGCTTATTTAGTCTTCTCCTCGTGGGCTTATGGTAGGCCCTGCAACACAGTAATGTGACATTTTTACCTCATTATGCATTAGGCCATGTATAACATTTTGATAGGCCGATCAAATCGTAAATTTCTAATTTTATACGAACAAACCCTACAGAGTTTCTTTCAGGCAGCTCTTCGGCCCCTTCCCCCGGAAAAATGTCTACCGCCCCACCCCCCGAACGAAGTGGAAATTATATAGAAAATATATACTTTTACCAGTGTCCGCCCCCCCCCCCCCTACGGAGAAAAAGTAAGTCTGGATAAGAAACACTGAACCCCAACCCTTTCCAAACACGATCACAAACAACAAAAAACACAATTTGACAGCTAATACAAAAATATGTGAAACAATAAAATTACTTTAAAGTTAAAACAAGAATGAGAGATTCGGACTTTTGCAACGATGGGTGAAAAGAGGTTTTGAAAGTTTGGCGGTGGGGGGATTACTGAATTTCTACGTCATTTTAAGGGGGGGTTGATATATTGTGAATGTGATGATGTGGAAGTGAATGTCGTTACGTTATGTATTGATGGCTTTTTGGACAAATCAGCGTCTCTTCTAGACTTTTTTCTCCGGGGGGGGGGGGGGGGCACTAGAAATTTTTTTTGGGGGAGGGGGCGGTAGACTTTCTTCGGGGGGGGGGGGGGCGGAAACTGTTAAAAGTATATTTTTTCTATATAAAGAAACTCTGGGCCATATATTCTTCAGAATTAAGAACTACCAATACTACCATCAAAAAATGATCATCGAAATCTTTTATATTTAGAACTGCCCTTCGATGAGTTGTTTAATTACTGTAATGTTAGCCTTATTCCGTAGCAAACAGCGACGAGCCAAACACTGTCACAATTATGGGATGTATGTTTCATCATGCGACTTATAATATGTCGAAATTTATAAATTAATAGCCATTAAGTTGTATTATTTTGATACTGACTATAGACTAAAGAAATATAGGTATGCATCCTTTTTGCCTCGATTCTATTTTTATCAGACGGAGTACCAGCCAAGAGAAGGCTACTCTGTTGTGAAACTATTATAAACAAACATGGCTTCCAAACAAAAAAAGAGTGATCCTTTATCCAGATATTTTAAAGACTTAGATGAGTGTGATTTAAGTAGCAGCGATGATGACGAATCTAAAGTAGAATCTATAAAATCAACTAATAATAAGTCACAAAAAGTGGATAGATCTACATCGAATGTAAATAATTCCAACAGTAGTGCAGACACGACTTCTCCAAACAAAAGTAAAAGAAATTCTGGAAGTGGAAATGAACCTGATTTGAAATCTGAAGAAAAAAAGAATACTAACGTGATGAAAACTACACTTCCTTCTGCTCATGATTGCCTTGCATCAAAAAATACACCTGGTTTCTTAAAAGTGTTAGATAGCAAAGAGTTGAATTGGGACAAGCTAGAAAAACGCCTAGACAATGACAATGCTGATCAACAAATAACAGATTTCAAGACGAATGCTGTTCCACCACCTTCATCATATGAACCAGTCACTGATCCAGGTATTAAAGTTGTTGACAATGAAGGAAGGAAACGCAAAAAATTAGGTAAAAATAAAATATGTAGACCCTATCCTATTACTTTATTATAGGCTATTTGATTAGAATTAGATTTAATATTAATAAAGTTAAAGTATGATATTTTTAGTTTTAGGCTTTTGTCAAAAGTAGCCTAATAACAATTAAATAACAGGTAGGTTTTATTAGGAAGGTAAGGGGTTGGCGTGGTTGAGTCGGTAAAGCTCAAAGTTGCTTAACCGAAAAGTCTCGAGTTCAAACCCTCTGGCAGATGAGGCTCGTTAACTGGGGACAGCCACTCTTCTAGGAGAGACAGCTCCAAAATCAAACAACTGCTGCCTTGTAGTTTGTTCTTGGTTGGACAAAGGCTATGGAAGCCAATCCAAAAAGAAAAGCAGGCTGAAATTGGAGTCAATGGCCTCAATAGCGCATAACCAGTTGACAAGTATACTTAACTGTGTTGGGGAAGGGGGGGGGATCCCTTCCAACACTAAAATTAAGAACGAACAAAAAACAAGAAGATCAGGAAAGTTATTATAAGGATTATAACTAAAGCTTTGTATTCAAAACAGTTTCCTGGCCTTGGTCAGTGACAGTGATAGTTTTTTTTTAAAATAAAAATACATTACTAATAAAGTTTTACTTTTTAAAATTCATTATTCAGGTGATGACCTGGAAGATCAAATGACTTCAACAAAAGCGTATAAGGTGCATAAAGAAGAGGATCAAGATTCAAGTTAACAATTGACATTTTAAACTATACATATATTCATCTTAATATAAATTACATTTTTAAATATGTGCTTTTAAACAAAAATAAAATCTGTAAATAAAAACTTGTGCTTTTTTTTTGTTGAAAAATTGAAAAATTTTAATAAATGTCGTGGTACATGGGAGAGCACATAGTTACCTTAATACTAACCTGAATTTCCTTAATTTAAACCCCAGGGCAGATGGGCTCAGCTTAAGACAAAAGCACATCTTGGAGTGAAAACTCTTAAAACAGGTGATAGGATTACCAAATCTGGTTTCCTTTCTTATGCTTCTGCATGTTGGTACCAAACATAATGGTGAGCAGGCCTTTGGACTATACTGGCAAAGGTGGAGGTCATGATTATTTATATCTTTAATGCTCCGGTATTCGCTTTGAGGATTTCACTTCTCTAGGTGCATCAGTTATCTCTCAAGGCAAATATTAGTCATTAAAATTAATAATACTATATAGAGTTGGATCTGTGCTAGGGTGACCTAGTGGCATTCTTTGTCTTTCTTTTATAAATCACAGATGATGCCTCACACTGGCCAAGATAACGGTTGCCTTTTTGAAATGTGAAAGCATTTATTTTTCTCTCAATGTTTTTTTAAAGTACTATATAGAAAATTGAGAAATTATTTGGGGTATTTAGGTCTTAAATGTACTAAAATTGCACGATAATTTAATCTTGTCCATGGAAAGGCAACATCTAATAATAACGAAATATTTTACAAGATTAAGGAGCAGACACCAGAAAAATACTGTCCCTAAAAAGTGTGCCCATATTTTAACTTAATAAGTTCATTATGAGAATGCTGTGACAGGTGCCATAACATTATTTTAAATGTATGGCATGGTAGACAAAGTATCAAGTAAGTACCAAATAAAACCTATGGTGTACGAATTAGACAAGTCAAACTGGTACTTATCAATGTTTCATCAATCTTCAAATAAACAGAATAAGTTAGAGGTAAAATAAATCTTACAGATTTGGTGTCATCCATAAATGATGTCACACTTTTTTTGAAGAATTTTACCCCCCCCCCCCCCTGTCTCACATCACCACAATAATCACAAAAAACCAGACCCCCCCCACCCCTAAAATGACGTCACACCTCATCCTACGAACCCCCCCCCCTCAAAATTGCAGTTGAATTTTTCTTAAAACATCGATACTTTTCCAAAATCTTGTCTAAACTCTGTCAACATAGAGTATTTTAATCAATTTCAATTACGGTTTATTAAAAAAAGTTTTCTAAAACGCAAAATAACAGCTAAAATTCGTTTTCTAACATTGCTTTTGTGTAGCGCAAAAGTGTGACATCACGCCATCTGGACCCCCCCCCCCCCCCTCCCCCTCATCACACACCGTCACCAAATTACAGCCCCCCCCCTACAAGTGTGACGTCATTTATGGCCGACCCCTTTAGACAGGCTGACTTTCTGGAATATAAAAAAGTTTTAGTTCTGGATTGTTGGTTACTGACCATCTAAAACAAACTGATATTGATAAAGCCAGTGGGCTGATATTACAAGTAAAAAAATATAATGTGAACCACAGGTAAGAAGAGACTGAATTAATGTGTGAAATAGAAATCAATTTACACTATAAACCAGGGGTCTCCAAACTTTTCAGTCCGAGGGCCGCATTAACTATAAATTTTCAGTTCGGGGGCCAGTTTCTTCCAGGCATGTCTTTGATTTCTCTGGGCAAAGTTCCTCGGCCATCAGCAACAAACGTTTATTCCGTGGACAAAAAGATCTCCGCGGGCCGGATGAGAGGACCTCGCGGGCCGCATCCGGCCCGCGGGCCGTAGTTTGGAGACCCCTGCTATAAACTAAAAAAAAATATTTTAGGCCCGAAATATTTTGTCATTATCAAGAACTTCTTTTTACATTTAAAGGTTCTTTTAATTGCAAATCAACCTTTAAAAGTTTTATTTCCTGCTAAAGAAGATAAATTTCCGTCAGTGTTATTTCTCACCTTCTTCTCTGAGGGGAAGGGGTTCTAAGTTTTCTGGGGAAGGGGGTGGGGGCGGACAATAGAAAAAGCATAATTATATTTTCTGTATGAATTCTGTTATGGTTAGCTCATGCACAGGTAACTATACTCCTGATCAGTGGCGTAGCGAGGTCGGGTGTCGCCCGGTGCGGCACTTAATGGTGTCTCCCCCCAGAGGCGTAGCGACCCTTCCCGGGGACAAACTTTCAAATTTTCGGTTTGCACCCCCACCCTCAAGTTTTCGATTTGCACCCCCCTTCAAACTTTCGATTTGCAACCCCCACTCAAGTTTTCGATTTGCATCCCCCCCCCCCCCCCTTAAACTTTCGATTTGCACCCGCCTTCAAGTTTTTCTGTATATGTTTTGCTATTTTTTGCCTTGGTGTCACCCCCCCCCCCTAAATGGTGTCACCCGGTGTGGTCCGCACCCCCCGCCCCCCTCGCTACGCCCCTGCTCCTGATAAAGGAGCACATTGCTGTCAAAATATCAATGCAAAAAATAATAATACTATACTATAATACACATAGGCCTACAACCAAATTCTAATTTTGATATTCTCAACAAAAGAATGATTAGCATACTAATAATATTTTGCAAAGGGCCTACTTATACTCAAGACTGATCTAAAATGTATAATAAAAATTAATATACAATATGGGCATCATGATAGTGATAAGATATTTATCACAGAATAACATTGATATTTTTGTTATTGGATATACCTATATTGGTGTTATTTAAATAATAAATTGTTCCAACATTATTCTTTTATTGGATAGATCTATATTGGTGTGATTTGAATAACAAATCGTCTCAACGTATTAATGCAATTACACTTTAACGGTACGTTAATCTAAATTGTTGAGGACCACTGATCTATCAGAATGGACCATACATTTTTGGATTATATTTCAATTAATTGTGAATAAAAAGATGGCAGCCCCCATTGCAAATGATGATAACAGCCGTAAATGAATGAAATGAATGTGACCTTTTTTTTACAGAACTGATAAATCTTGAACTTGATTCTTTATATATTTTCTAGATCTAGAATCTAGATCTACATCAAGTAAGGTTTTAAAGACTTATTTAATAGTAGTAGAAGATCTAGATCTAGTTATTATTTCACTGACTACTGACTACAGTCAGTCTGAGTCAGTGTTACACCTGTAGTACAGTGACTACACCACAATCCGACAATCGACTTCACAAGTCAATGTATGTAGATCTAATATGATCATAGACGATAGTCGATAGATCTACTAGCTAGTCCCTATCTCAATCAAACTCATACGACATATAGCTAACTGCTAAATAATACTAAATATAACTAGAAAGAAATCTATTCCCAGTTGGCTGTCATTTCTCAGTTTATGCAAAATACGACTTTGAATAAAATAATAGGCCTATCTCTTTATCTAGTCCTATTATCTTACAGTAACAAAAGCATTAGGCCTAATTGTGACTGGGCAATGCCTGCCTATAATAGACTATTATAGAGTACTATGAGAGCAGTGATATTTTCAGTGATTTTATTGTTTAAGTTCACATGGAATAAATATTAAAATATTATTAGATTAGGCAAAATAAATATCATGTCCTTTTTAATCAGTTAATCATACTTTTCCAAGTTTTATTTTTCTCTTATAAAAAAATGTAAGGGATGTGTCTTTTTTTTCTTTCTGCAAATATGCCTGCAATCACGTCACAAACGAAAAAAGTAACCCTTTCATGAACAAGGGCCAAAAATAAAATTGGGGTAAGGCCTAAACAAATGAAATAGTTATGAAAGCATTTGATGGGTTTGCCCAACAACATCCGGCACGTCAGCAACGCACATACATGTCCACTCAACCAAACAGCTTCGTGCTGTGTTTGGTGTTTTTAACATTCAATGTATCAAAAACAGTCGTGATTGTGAATAACCCTATTACTGCTTTTCTCAGTCGACTGGGAAAGAGACACTTTGTAACACTTTGTTCTAGTACTTAATTTAAGTAATAGTCAGTAGCTGACTATTCGTCTATTAAATAAATTAAGCCAAATAGGGGGCTTAACTTAACAGACCCAACTGAGAATAGTATTGAAATTATTCAAAAGGCCCTTTAGAAAAAAGCCCTAACTGTTACTTGTTAATAAAATACACATATATATCCTGCTAATCATAATGTCAATACTAACCCTAACCGCTACCCTAGTCCTACCATACACCTAACCCTAATTTCTATCCATTAAATTAGACAAGACTACAATACTATAGCAACATAACACATATATTTCCGTAAGAGTCTATTATCATACATCGGTATACCCAATCATCCGATGTGGTTAGTGTTTTTGGTAACTAAACAATTTTTTTAAAAGCCAAAAAACAAATTGGGTTGTTTACATTTTTTATCACAGAAAATGTCAACAACATGGCAGAACTATGTGAGGAGTATTCTCGTCAACTCATTCATGTCCATTTCTAATAGACCTAATACATTTCTTAATAACTTAGACTATACTCTTCGACCTCCTTTTAAATTTTTATTGGTGGTTTTTTTAACTGACCACCACATTTATTAATTTGATAGTTTATAAATTGTATAGGTCTAGTTAATTTTATGCAGTTTTTTTTTAATAAAAAATATGCGTTGATTATTGTAAAATCAAGAAAATAAAACTTTTTTTCCCACTTTAGATTGAAATATAGTTGAAGAATGTCACGCTTCAACTGGGCCCCCACTGCATACAAGTTGTTGAATGGTGTGCTGTGTGTTTATAAACCAGATGGTCTTTCATCACGCTTTGTGGTAAATGCAATCAAAACCAACCTTACAAAAGGTTTGTGATTTAAACTTACTTTTAGTAAGGTTAAAATAAAATATTATATTTATGTCTTATGATATATAAGTCTTATTATTTGTTTTAATAAATATTATAATATTATTTGTTTTTAATGAATAAACAGGGTTCATATTATAAAGTTTGCAGCTTCATGCTCTTCTTTCTTCAACTTTTTTATTTTCACTATTCATCAACTATGGACTTGGGCTTTGAAAACTTGGTGGATTTGATCCTACCCTGCCATTAATTAATGCTGTACCCATAATGAAACTTTATGTTGTATAAGTGTACCAGCCAGAGAATATATTTTTTCTTTACAAGAGAAAAAAATGATGCTTTAACTAGAACTTCACCATATGTTTGTTGAATAGGATTGCTGATCTTTAAACTATAATCCTTTAATTAAGTTTAATTCAATGTTAGTTTCATTTTATTTATGCTCTCATGTTATCATTTTTAATACTTGAAACAAAATTTTTGCAGTCACTTGTTTTCCCTGGAGAATTAGGCTTTGTTAAACAACATCCATCAAACACAAATATAGCTTAAAGGTTGATGTAGGTTCTGCTTACATATGTTGAAAGTAAAGTTCCCTTTTCCAACATGACAGTCCATTGTGAAAGTGAAGTAGAGTTCACCTGTTTTTGTGATCTCAGCACATGAATGGATTGTGTGGTCAGCTACCTTAACTTTCCCTAACATTAGCTAGATGCCCATCAGAGCTTGGTGGATTCAGGGGAGTTCTCCTGACTTGAACCTGGATTCAAACTTGAGACTTTCAGGTTAGCAGTCTAGCGCTCTACTGCTAGGCCACACCTTCCCATTTTACATACTTTACCAACAAAATATTCTTAGTATTTGTAATAAAGCTTGTTGACAATCGTTACAGATCTGAATAAATTACCATGCTATCAACATGAAATACCCCTGGGTCAAAGGAAGATAAGGGCAACAAGCAACGTGAGTGCCTTGTCATTGAACACAGAACCAAGCGGTATTCAAGATTGGTCAGAGCATAGACTGGGTGAGCATTTCTTGTCATAAAATAAAACACTGAACAAAAAACACTGTAAAAATTGAGTAGAATGGTCTTTTCAAACAAATACATTACAACCCTTAGTTTAGCTGTTACTGTCTTTGTGCAAGTACTTGCATGAGCCAAGGGTTACTTGTTGTCTTGTTTAAAATTAGATATCTGATGTAAACTACACACTACATTACAAACCTTACTTACAAATCATTTATAGTAAACTTTAGTTAGTTCATTTTTTGTTTCATTGGTTTTTAGTTTTACCATTTTTATCTATGTATTATTTTGAATATACTTTTTCATGATGCTTAATTTGTAATCTGTTTGAAGAAAGTAAAGTTTATTGGTGCAGATTTTGAAACTATTTCATTTCAGTTTTGGGTGACAGATATGAAGAGTCAGATTTATTTGTCAATTATGTTGATAGGCTGGCATTACACTCCTCTGGTGTATTAGGTAGGGATAAAGCTACTTATAACTCCTTTGTTTATATATGTTTATGGCAATGTATGAAAATCATGCATACTACAGAATACCGAGGTAATTTATACAATCTCTGTCATTTTCGTTCAAGGTATGACATATTAGCATTGTTATATACTTTTCCAAGGCATTACTCTTAAATGCCTAGGCATTATGAAGAATGACAAGAATAGGGCTGGTAAGTAGGTCACAAACCAGTTCTACGGCTCAATAAAACCTGCATGAGCCATATAACTGGTTGTTGACCTACTTACCAGCCCTATTGCTAAGCCCAAATTGGAAAAGTCTTTAGTACCAAACAATTAAAAAATGACAGAAAAAATACCAAATGAACAACAGGAGTTCTGTACTGGAAGAACAAAGGAATCAGCGGTGTTATTAATTACCGTTTGTTGCAGCACAGAAGGCGGGAATGAGATTTTGAATTGCACATTATTTTCTTTCTAACCCAAACCCTAACAGTAATCTTAAGTTGTTTTGTATATTTTAAAATGGCCAATGGGAAAAAAGGCCTCCGTGCCTGCTATTGTTACCGTTATTGAATAAGTTGAATAACTCTAACCCCACCCCTCTCTCTCCCTGATAAAGATGTCAGAATGTTCTGGCAGTAAAGCGTATTTTAAAATCTCCATGTTTGTTATTTGGTATTCAATACAAATAGAATGATGAGGAAATGTTTGAAATATGATAGGAATATGATGTATTTTATACGTTGACTACCCATATTTGGCATTGTATAGATTGCCTAGGTATTCTGTAGAATGCTGGTTTTTACATACATATATATATATATATATATATATATATATATATAGTAAACTGAACAAAAAAAATGTGTTGTTATATTCCATTAAAATATCTTCTTTCCCATGTATAGTTTTAGGTGTTGGAAAATTTGGTCAAGACAGTTTGAGCATCATTTCCATGGCCAAGTATCTGAGGGTGAGTTTTTAAACTGCTAACTGCTACAATGTCAGTGAGTGTGCCATACCAAACATTGTTTCAATGGAATCTTGCTCTACCTCAGGTGTATCATGTGAAGGGCAGGTTTGGTTGGGCTACACACAACTTCTCTGCCAGGGGGCGCATCCTTGAAAGGTCCAGTTATAGTAAGTTAATGATTTCATCTACTCCTTTAAAAAAAATTTCAAGTTTATCTAATACCTGTAGTTATAGTAAGTTATTGATTTTATTTTTTTTATTTTTACAACTCTATTCAAGTTTAATATCTGTAGTTATAGTGAGTTATTGATTTCATCTTTTCCTTTTAAAATCCAATTCAAGTTTATCTAATATCTGTAGTTATAGTAAGATATTTATTTCATCTTTTCCTTTAAAACTTTATTCAAGTTTAATATCTGCAGTTATAGTGAGTTATTGATTTTATCTTTTCCTTTCAAAATCCAATTCAAGTTTATCTGATATCTGTTGTTATAGTGAGTCATTGATATTATCTTTTTATGTCAATATTGTGTTCTGTCAAGTTTATCTATAAAAGGACTAGTTCAAGTTGTGTAGTTCAATTTTAATACCAAACATTTATGCTTAACATTTAAAATGCATTGATCATAGAGTTATCTTAAACTATTGAATGTTGTAATACAAGTTATTTTTCATACGACTTGTACTTTTTATATATTTAATATAATAAAACAGTGGTTCTTAAACTTTTTGGAGGTACAATCCCCCACCAGTTTCAAATGCACATTCACTGAACCCTTCAAAATAGTTCTATTGTCGCACTGACAAAATGGAATAGTGCATCATATGAGTCGGGTGTGTGTCTTGACCTCCGCTGAACCCCTGAGACTGACTTACCAAACCCCTGGGGTTCAATGAACCCCAGTTTAAGAACCATTGTATAAACAGATTGAATCAGTATAACTTGAGCATTATGTACCATATTTCTGCTTGTAATTGATGACAATTTTATGAATATCAGTCTCTTATTGCTGTTTAAAAAATTCTCATTTAAAAATTAAACAAAAAAAAAATAGTTTGATTGCTAGAAAAAATAGAACTTTTTATGAGCTTGAATAGCTTATGCGTTTACTTTACACCTGTCTTGTTTCCCTATGGTGTGTTGTGTTAACCTGGGATAAATTGTATGTTTGTTCAATTAACCAGAGCATGTCAACAAAAGCAAGATTGAAAGAGTTTGTGCAGCAGCTCAAGGTGCCCACACAAGGCAAATGTACAAGTAGGTATTGCTGGTGTTCATTATATTTTCCCGCTGCCTAAGAGGGGGCCCACACAAGGCAAATGTACAAGTAGGTATTGCTGGTGTTCATTATCTTTTCCCACTGCCTAAGAGGGGGCCCACACAAGGCAAATGTACAAGTAGGTATTACTGGTGTTCATTATCTTTTCCCACTGCCTAAGACACATGGGGCAGATGAGGTTGAGTTCAGCTCTTTCAATGGCCGCTGGGGATCATGTGATCAAAACTGCCCAGCCGCCTTTGTTTCTTAATGTGAGTTAGGTACCCATCAGAGTTGGCTGTCACATGAAAGAGTTGACTCTGTCTAAATTATGTCAAAAGTTTGTGCGCTGGTGACATTGTTAAATTTTTAATTATTTATTTTTAATTTAAACCCAAATGAAAATTGTGTTCTATTTTCTTTATAACTTGTAAGTCAACAGTATTTAATTTATCAGGGGTCCCTTAAATGTTGGTAAAATACAATCAAGCAGTAAAATATACATTTTTAAAGGTAGTGTTGGGATGCCCATGTATGTATGGCTCTAGTAAATGATGGCATTATCTGGCTAGCAACCTACTATTCTACTATGTTACCAATTCAGATTTACTTGTGTCCTGGGTTGTAGCATGGTCTTTGTACTGGGACTGAAACAAATCAAAGCTGTGCCAAGGATTTGAACTCAGTGCTTGTAGTTATTAATTACATGCAGTACTGCTCAACCATGCTAACCCATTTCAAGATTATGTTTATCTTCAAATGAAGACCTTAGTGTTAAAAGTACTGATGTCAAATTAAAAAAAAAATCAGCAGTGAAGTGCTTGTTACTGCTGCCAAATAACTTTACCCGCAATACACATTTAAATGCTGACTTAATTTCACTCCCTCTCACAAGCAAAGAAAAATATTTGCTTAATAGCCCATTGGAATTTGTGAATTCTCTTATGTCAAAATTTGTTATAAAGTGCCCCACGGCTTATGGGGGAAGTGAAGTAGAGTTCACCTGTTTCTCTGAACTTTGCATAGTGATAGTGTAGTCAGCACTATGTCCATCATCTTTTCTTCCCATTATGTGAGTCAGGTACCCATGAGAGCTGGGTGGACTCAGAGACATTTTATGGACTTGGTTACTTAAAATACTTTAGTGTTCAAATACTAAACAGAGAATTAGAAGTATTTTTATTTCTAGTTTCTCTAGCTATAATGAATGTTTTATTTTAGGAAATGTATTTTGCTTTCTAGTTTCTCTAGCTATAATGACTTTTATTTTTAGGAAATATATTTCGCTAGTTCCTCTAGCTATAATGACTTTCATTTTTAGGAAATATATTTTGCTAGTTCCTCTAGCAGCTATAATGACTGCTTTTTTTGTACACATTTAGCTTGCATGGTGTGAATCCTGACAGTCAAGAAGCCTATGAGATGGCTGCCACAGGTATCATTAGACCAGCAACAAGAGACACACATCCCATCTTGTATAGCATTAAATGCATTGACTTCCAGCCCCCTGATTTCACTCTTGGTAAGTTTGGATTGTCTCCCTTTTAAAAAAAATCATTTGGTTAAAACTAGGGGTTGCTGCATGGTTGAGTCAGTAAAGCTCATGGTTGCTAACTAAAAAGTCTCGAGTTTGAACCCTCAGGCAGATGAGGCTCTACGAAAGACAACCCCAAAATCAAACAACTGCTGCCTTGTAGTTTGTTCTTGGTTGGACAAAGGCTATGGTAGCAAATCCAAAAAGAAAAGCAGGCTGAAATCTGAGTCAATGGCCTTAATGGCGCATAACCAGTTGACACATATAGGGCCTACTTAATTGTGTTGGAGGGAATCTCTTCCTACAAAAAAATAAAGAACGAAGAAGCAGAAGAAGATTTGTGAAATTGATACATCATCATCATTCCCCTAAATCCCTTGTACTATGTAGAGCACCGTGACACAACCACACCTTTTCATTGTACCTGGTTCTGGTCAATTCCCCCAAGTTAGGTCCACAACATTCCAGCTGCTTTTGTTTCACTGACAACTGATCTTATCAAAGTTTAACTTACCCACTTTCTTTCCTCATGGATTCCAACTCTCGATGTTATTTGTTGATTTGTGTAAGGTAATTCTAATCCATCCATGTTGGTCTGTATCAAAGTTATTATTTGGAGATATAACTATAATCCCCCTAACCCTTATATTAACAGCGCAACTTGAAAAGTTAATCTTTCAGAAATTGCTATGTTTGTATAAGTTTGAAATAATTAAAAAGCGAATTAAATATATTAATACACTTTAATGTTGTCTTATTTCATGGAAAAATGTTTTATAATGCTGCAAAGTACATGTGGTTATTCTTTACTTAAATCTATAAATGAGTAAATTAAGAAAACAAAAAAGCCCTTGCGCACTATTTTCGTGCAGTTTACCATTGCACATCTATCTGGTAATCCTTTTGTTCATAATTTGAATTAACCATTAAGTAATCTATTTGTTTTTTCATAGGTAAAATAATTTCTTAATACATTTATGGTTATAACCAAAGAATAAGTAGCCTACCAATATATTGTCATTAAATTATCTTTTAAAAATTAAGTAAAAATAGGCTATTTTGAATTTTTGGTTTTGTCAACATTTTAATATTTAAAATACTTGTTCCAGAGATTCATAGCATTAACGAAAGCTGTGAATTCCTGACACAGTTCATTCATGATTTGGCAATCAAATTAAAAACTTCAGCTGTCTGCACCGGGATCCGGCGTCTGAGGTATGGGACATTTGACCTCCAGAGGGCGCTCCTGCGACAGCAGTGGCATTTAGATCCAATCATTGATAACATTGAGAGTAACCTGGATCTTTTGACCCCTGAACTGCTGTTTGTTGGAACACAGGCTGAACCTGTGAAGCTGCCACCTGTACAAAAACACAAGGGTCACTTACCAGGTGGTCATAAACTAGCTGGTCATTTAACAGATGGTCATTTGAAAGATGGTCATTTGAAAGATGGTCATTTGACAGATGGTCATTTGACAAATGGTCATTTGACAAATGGTCATTTGAAAGATGGTCATTTGACAGATGGTCATTTGAAAGATGGTCATTTGAAAGATGGTCATTTGAAAGATGGTCATTTGAAAGATGGTCATTTGAAAGATGGTTATTTGTCAAGTACTGTGCCAGACAGTCATGCGCCAGATGGTCGTGTGCCAGACAGTCAGTACCTAGCTGACCCCCATCACCACCAGTCCTCTAACGTGACTGCCTCACAGAACAATGCAGAACCTCAAAGTCCCACCAGTGACAAGGATGCACATTGTGACACTGAAATGACTGACGGTGCTTCAAGTAATACTTGTGATAACAATTCTCAGAAAATTTCAAATCACTTAAAAGAATAAAATGAAAATTTGTTTTAAAAGAGGTTACTGTTTTTGAAATTTCTGGTGTGCTTGTATAAAAATATCTGGTGTGCTTGTATGAAGTTAATGCCTTAAAAGATCAGATTTGTGACAAGCTTTTATTTAAATTAATTCCTCTGTCTGTCTTTTATCATTTGTCAAGGATCGAAACTAACGAACAAAATTCATAAAAACGTTTAAACAAGTGTATATGTAATAATGCACAAAAAGGAGAATATAAATTATTTTCTTTACATATATAATAATAACTACTTTTTAGTAGGCCTAAATGAATAGGCCCTACTAGTGTAATGGCTAAACACAAAGCAAAGCTCACAAATTGCGGATATGTAGTAAAATAAATGTACATGTTTACTAAGTTATATTATTTCTATGATGCCACGCATTGCTTCTGTTGGTGGTAAGGACCATCATTTCCCTGATCAGATACCCCCCCCCACCTAGATAGTAAAGTGTTAATCTGCCATAGTCTGCCTGCTCTAACAGCTGCTTAGAGCTTAGACAAAAATAAATATCCTACAGCACCTGCCCAAGATTTGATAAGAAGGAAAAGGTCTGGGCCAGTTGTACCAGCTACAATGATTTACAATAGCCGTGGCAGAGGTTGCCATTCTAAAATTGGCATGATCAGCTACAGCAAAGCCTGCACTAAAACACTGAAAGAAAATACGTCTTAATCTTCAGGAGCGAAATTCCATTGTCTCTAGAGCCATATGTATTATTTGTAATGAACATAAACACGGCTATTATGAAGGTTTTACTACTTTTAGTTGTAATAAAAGCATGAAACATACTATTCCCTTAACTACTTCACACTGAGTAAACCTACACTAAACACTTTCAAAACCCGTAAGTAAATACATAGCATTAGCACCATATTCTGAAAGACGATTGGTTCATTGCGCGCTTAATTAATAAAACGCAAAGCTTAGGCAGCAAGATGAGAAGCACCAGATGTTGTCCATGGATCAGCCACCCTCCCCCCCCACCTCTCTCAATGCAGCTAATGGGTCTAAGAAAAAGGGCATTACTTAAACGCTTGGAATCATCTGTGTCTGAAGAGGCGACGATGTGAAAAACAAAGTTTGCAATCCAAGGGACTTAACTCTTCGATCCGTTTTGATTTCGTAGTTTATCTATCTTTGATAGGTTATTGTCCCTAGCTTCATCTGTCCGGTGGTACGAATTCGGGATTTTACGGTTTAGGAGCATTAAGCAGTCCTGCCTGACTCAGCTATTTTAGCAGCAGAAATGTACAAAATAATAATAAAGAAACTCAAAAGCTATGTGTTTTTAATTGTAGCCTTAGATCAATTTTTTAGCTCAAATTCTTGAAATGGGTTTGCTATTAGTTCATACACTAGAAATGCATAGATCTAGGCTTCGTTTCTGCGTAAAAAGCTAGGCAAAATTATTAAGACGACGGCGTGGTCGAATGGTAGAGCATATGGCTGCTAGCCCAAAGATCTCGAGTTCGGATCTCGGTTCTGAGTCCACCCAGCTCTGATGCGTACCCAGGGGCGTAGCGAGGGGGGGCGGGGGGTGCGGACCGCACCGGGTGACACCATTTAGGGGGGTGACACCAAGGCAAAAAATAGCAAAATATAGAGAGAAAAACTCGAGGGGGGGGGTGCAAATCGAAAGTTTGAGGGGGGGGGGGGTGCAAATCGAAAATTTGAAAGTTTGTCCCTGGGAAGGGTCTCTATGCCTCTGGGGGGGGTGACACCATTAAGTGCCGCACCGGGTGACACCCGACCTCGCTACTCCACTGTGCGTACCTGACTTACATTGTGGATAGTATTGGCAGCTGGGTACAGTGCTGACCACACACCTCTTCTTATACCGTGGTCAAGAAACGTATGCACCCTACTTCATCTGCCCAATGGATCGCTAGGTATAAAGTCAAAGACAAATTTTTAAAAATTAATTCAATACCTGAGTATTCAGCAACAAGAACGAGAAATCGTATTAATTAATTAAAAGCTTAATTATAGATCATGCGGGAACTCCCATTGCATTTTTCTAGAAAATCTCCAAAGATGTTATCACTCGTTTCACGTGTGTTGGTTACACTTGTCTTATCTAAGTAGTTATCTCTTCAATTGTTGGCTGAATCTCTGATGTGCTCTGGGGTAACGTCCTTCTTTACAAGTATGTTCAAAACTTTTGGTTGCTTTACCTGGTAAATATTTTTTATTCTACTCATTATTTTTTTCGAAATTATGAAGGCGAGATAATTAGAGCATCTAGATCTAGTTAATTTACTAAATATATAAAGGCCAACCTTTAGTTTGTTCATTTACAGAAAGACAGTGCACATTCGTTTGCTGATTTTCTTTAGATTTCAGTTATCTGGAAAGGCCTGAAAGCAAATGATTTAAGGTAAGAAATTTTCAATTCCCGACTCGACCACGCCGACCCCTACCCCCTAACCAAATTTCTGATATTTATTTTACCTGTTCCGTCTTTATTTTTTCTTAGGTGGATATGGTCCTTTTTTTTCCCACGTTTTCTTTAACTTGCTTTCTCTGTGTCTGTGTTTCTGTGTTTGTCTTTCCAATCAAATCTTGCGATCGAAATTTCTGGCACTTCCCAGTTAGCTAGCGCGCTGAAATTTTCAGGGAAGCTTTCTTTTGGATGACCATTGAATATTCAATTGTTATTATTACTAAATTGATCAATGGAAACATTTTATTGAGCATTTTAGACCGCTATATAATCTATATATATAATTCTCCTCTGCGAGCCATTAGAAAAAAAAACGAGCGACGCGTACCTCGCGCGCAGTGAAGCGAACGATCCCACAGGCTTAGGGGCAGATAATTTAGTTTGAACCGAGTTAAAACTTACAGGAGGTAGGCCAGTTTGGGGGAGACGATATGGTCGAGTGGTTGGGCACACGATTGCTATCCCACTCGACACGGGTTCAAATCTATGTGTTAACACAACGTGTTTTTTACGAGTTGTCTTTTTACGAGTTGTCTTTTTACGAGTTGTCTTTTTACGAGTTGTCTTTTTACGAGTTGTCTTCGTTTACCCAAAAAAAGTGAAAAGATAAAATCGATAGCAAGATTTTAATGCAAACAAACAAAGACTAAAAAGTAGAAAATAATAATCATTAAAAAAGTTTTAAAAAACCCACGTTTTCTGATTGAACTAAAAAGTAGAAAATAAACGCTATACATCACAATAATGCAAGCGATCACTCTACTATAAGCGATCAAAAACGTGGGGCGCCGTGATTTTCTTACAGTTTCTAATACTGTTGACTCTCTACAAGCTCCCTAATAAAAGTCAATAGTATTATCTAATCAATAGTAATATAACTTTTACTTCGGCGCCCCACGTTTTTCATCGCTTATAGTAGAGTGATCGCTTGCATTATTGTGATGTATAGCGTTTATTTTCTACTTTTTAGTTCAATCAGAAAACGTGGGTTTTTAAAAACTTTTTTAATGATTATTATTAACACGTTTTTATTAACTCAGCTTCGCGTTTGTGGATGTGTTTGTTGTTAAAATTGACATCGAAAATTAGCCCACTTCTGATTGCTCTATAGATCTGAAATTTGGCATGCAGGCTACTTTCGCCTAACAATTTCAGATGCAATCATAAAAACTAGCAATTAGAGACCGTAATTAGCTTAATTTAATTACGCCCTAAGGACCATAAAATTGAGGACATGATTTCTAAAGATACCGACAAGACTGAAGGCCTATTGACACAGTTACTTCGGCCCCAATCGATGTGAGCGCGCTGGCCGTGATCGTATAGTGGTTAGTACTTCGCGTTGTGGCCGCGACAACCCAGGTTCGAATCCTGGTCGCTCAAGATTTTTAGTCCGTGTATTTATAAACACTTAGTCAAGTCATACTTAATCAAGTCATTGGATAAAGTAGAAAATAAACTATATAAAAAACTTTTTTTAAAAACCACGTTTTTCATGTGTAGCAACGGACTAAAAAGGAGAAAATAAAATACTTAAAAAACTTTTTAAAAAACCACGTTTTTCTTGTGGACTAAAAAGTAGAAAATAACTATTTACATACATTTGATGACAAAAAACGTGGGTCGGGCAGATGGGTCGGGAAATTTGATGGTGAACGTACCCACGTTTTTTTGTCATCAAATGTATGTAAATAGTTATTTTCTACTTTTTAGTCCACAAGAAAAACGTGGTTTTTTAAAAAGTTTTTTAAGTATTTTATTTTAACACGTTTTTCTTAACTCAGCTTCGCGTTTGTTTGTTTGGATGTTTGTTGTTAAAATTGACATCGAAAATTAGCCCACTTCTGATTGCTCTAGAGATCTGAAATTTGACATGTAGGCTACTTTCGCCTAACAATTTCAGATGCAATCATAAAAACTAGCAATTAGAGACCGTAATTAGCTTAATTTAATTACGCCCCAAGGACCATAAAATTGAGGACATGATTTCTAAAGATACCGACAAGACTGGAGGCCTATTGACACAGTTACTTCGGCCCCAATCGATGTGAGCGCGCTGGCCGTGATCGTATAGTGGTAAGTACTTCGCGTTGTGGCCGCGACAACCCAGGTTCGAATCCTGGTCGCTCAAGATTTTTAGTCCGTGTATTTATAAACACTTAGTCAAGTCATACTTAATCAAGTCATTAGATAAAGTAGAAAATAAACTATATAAAAACTTTTTTTTAAAACCACGTTTTTCATGTGTAGCAACGGACTAAAAAGGAGAAAATAAAATACTTAAAAAACTTTTTAAAAAACCACGTTTTTCTTGTGGACTAAAAAGTAGAAAATAAATTTTCATACATTTGATGACAAAAAACGTGGGTCGGGCAGATGGGTCGGGAAATTTGATGGTGAACGTACCCACGTTTATTGTCATGAAATTTATGAAAATTTATTTTCTACTTTTTAATTTTAGTCCACAAGAAAACGTGGTTTTTTAAAAAGTTTTTTTTAAGTATTTTATTTAAAGTGGAGTTCGGTTATCTTGATAGTCGTGGGGGTAGTGGGGAGGGGGTGGCTACCTTGTAATTAGTTAATCGTCATATTTTGTTTACTATTAACACCTTTATCTTCTGACGAATATTTTTTTTTATTCCGTACATAGTAATCAAGCAAGATGACTTGAAATAAACATAGCTATTGTCGGGAAAACTGGCTTTGGGAAAAGTAGCACTGGTAATACTGTACTAGGAAGAGACGTGTTTGAACCATCATCGTACATGCAGGTGGGATCCAGACTACCCACATTTCACACTGGGGAGTTTAAAAATTACAAGTTGAAGGTGTACGACCTACCTGGCGCATGTGACGCAAGATATATAAGTAATTTACGGAAATCTGCACAGGCGTGTTTAAATCATGTCAGTGAAGTTATGAAAGCAAGCGAAGGGGTTAACACATTCTTGTTTGTGTTGAATTACACAAACAAGTGGACCAGAGAAGATAATAATACTGTGAAGCTAATGAGAAAAATTTTTTTGGGAATACTTGTTTTAGTGAACATTGTATACTCATAGTAACCCACTGGGATAATGCTATTCAAGATGGCGCGGAATCTTTTGGAGAGTGGCTGCGTGTGAAAAGTGTAACTAGATTTCACGAGTAAAGTCCATAATTTAAATAAATTAGAAATGTATGTCCAATATTTAGTTTTAAAGCTTTTTACTTCCATCTAGTAATACATATTAAATAATTCAATTTGTCTCTATTTTAATCTCTAAGAAAAGGCGTAAGCGTGTTCAACCTGTCTGGAGGCATTCGTTCAACAATGTTTTAGCGAAAACATTCATGGCATAGGCTTCTATAGGATTGTAATCAAAAATTGCAAAATGGCCAGGGTAAAGCATGCAGTGAGCTATGGTGCAGTCATTTTCAACTACTGTAGGCAAACTATCACAGTTTAAAACCATTTCTTGAGAAACTCTAACTTGAACGAGGCGCAGTAGCGTAGCGAGGGGTGGGGGGGGGGGTGCAAATCGAAATGTTGAGGGGGGGGGGGGGGGTGCAAATCTAAAGTTTGAGGGGGGGGGGGGCAAATCGAAATCTTGAGGGGGGAGGTGCAAATCGAAAACTTTGTCCCCGGGCGCCGGGAAGGGTCGCTACGCCTCTGACGAGGCGCCTCAAACAGCATAAGTATATTGGAGACGAATTAGCACCTGCTACAAACTACCCTGTAAATTCAGACTAGGCACATTTTCTGACATTAATCTAACCTTAAATGGAATATAACACCACACACACACACAAAGATAGCGAGAGAGACGGACACACTCACACACACACAGAGACAGACACACTCATACACAGAGACACACACACACAGACACACATATACTAAAACCTAAGAATTCGCCTCAGCCTAAAACTTAACACAAAATCAAAACCAACTCTAGACATTAGTTTTAGCCTAACCTTGACCCTAACCCTAACCCTAACCCTAAACCTAAACCTAAACCTAAACCTAAACCTAACCTTATCTGTATCCGTCCAGGGGGGGGGGGTAATGTACTACTGGGCGGAGGGTAATTGGCAGGATGGGTAATTGACAGGGATGGAGTAATTACTCCGGGGGTAATGTCGGGGGGGGGGGGGGAATGTTTGAGGGGTAATTGACGGCGGAGGAAATGCCCTGTTCTTAGATCCCTACAGGTAAATGCTTGAACATACCTTACTACGAGTGTATAAGATGCATAGTTTCTTTTTTTTTAAATGCGTACCCTAATTCTCCTTTTTCCCCCACCCCTTCCAAACAGGATAGAACAACTCAGACCACTTGCCATTCAATTCATCTGCGTTTATAAAGTATACGGGAATTCCCGGACATTTTTTACGAAATTCCAAATAAAACTGAATCACGTGATTTTTATGTAACATCTATTACTTACTGTTCCTAGCTGTTTTCTTGCCTTCTGTAACTGAATCATTAACGTTGGGCAGTCTAGTGCACCAGATAACTTCTATTATTAAAGTTAATCTTTAAAATATATTATTGATCGATATTTAAAATCTTCAACTTATCTCCTGCCTGATATTGACTCAAGGTAAGGTGACGTTTTTAAATGTCTAATTAATTTTATTGATTTTGTTTTCACTCTCGGTGGTTTTGCCAATCAGAAGACTTATCTTTTTTCAAGAATCCTAGACTTACCTAATTATATAGTTGTTCTTATATACAATATACTTACTTGAAAGTATGTGTGTGTGTGCGAGTGTATGTTTTTATGTGTCCGTCCTTTTGTCCGTCCGTCGGTCTGTCTGTCTGTCCGTCCGTCCGTCCGTCCGTCCGTCCGTCCGTTCGTCCGTCCGTCCGTCCGTCCGTCCGTCTGCCTGCCTGCCTGCCTGCCTGCCTGCCTGCCTGTCTGTCTGTCTGTCTGTCTGTCTGTCTGTCTGTCTGCCTGCCTGCCTGCCTGCCTGCCTGCCTGCCTGCCTGCCTGCCTGCCTGCCTGCCTGCCTGCCTGCCTGCCTGCCTGCCTGCCTGCCTGCCTGCCTGCCTGCCTGCCTGCCTGCCTGCCTGCCTGCCTGCCTGCCTGCCTGCCTGCCTGCCTGCCTGCCTGCCTGCCTGCCTGCCTGCCTGCCTGCCTGCCTGCCTGCCTGCCTGCCTGCCTGCCTGCCTGCCTGCCTGCCTGCCTGTCTGTCTGTCTGTCTGTCTGTCTGTCTGTCTGTCTGTCTGTCTGTCTGTCTGTCTGTCTGTCTGTCTGTCTGTCTGTCTGTCTGTCTGTCTGTCTGTCTGTCTGTCTGTCTGTCTGTCTGTCTGTCTGTCTGTCTGTCTGTCTGTCTGTCTGTCTGTCTGTCTGTCTGTCTGTCTGTCTGTCTGTCTGTCTGTCTGTCTGTCTGTCTGTCCAGTAGCCTGAAGGTCGGTGAACATCACACATCAGTGTGTTGACACTATCCACCGTCACAGGTCGCTGCACATTGCTTTACAGTTTAGCAAGCTTTGCCCTAAAGCCGGCTAGCTGCTGAGTAAGCAGTTTCGTCGGTTCCATGGTATTCTCTAAGGTAAAAAGCCCCCACGTTGGGGGCCTCAGTGGAAAAAGGGTGTGATAGCAAACCACTGAGGTGTAATTCTTTGATAGGCTGGCCATGAGAAAAAAACACCCCTGATAGGCACATACTTTATTTGACGCAGCCAAGCGTAGCTAAGCGTCACACAGGTATAGGTATACAATAAAGTAGAGGTATACAATGATCAAGTTTTAAGAGGACGTAGCCTACATCCTTAAACTAGCGTGAATTTTTTTTTCTTCAAAAACCACGAAAAAAAAATGTAGACTGAGTCTTGAACCTAAAACCTAGCATTCACCTCACCCAGACAACACATGTAAACAGAGACGTAGCGACCCGTCACGGCGCCCGGGGACAAACTGTCAATTTGGCGCCCCCGCCCGGAGCAACCTTTCAATTTTCAATTTGCACACCCCCCCCCCCCCTCAAACTTTCAATTTGCACCCCCCTTATATTTTTTATATTTATAATGCAAAAATGCAGCTAAAATGAGATTTTAATTTGTTTTTCAAACCCATTTTGGCGCCCCCTAAGGTCGGCGCCGGGAACATATGTACCCCCCGCCCCCCCCCCCCTTCGTTACGCCTCTGCATGTAAATACATTTGGAGGCAAGGGCCAGTATATTAATACTGCGTCTCATGAAAGCCAATCTACCTCGACATCCCGGAGTTCACATGACACGGAAAAAATCTGTTGTGCAATTCGCTCGTATCATAACGAGTGTACTTGAGTTTTCTTCTGAAATCGCAGCAATGCGTGACGTGTCAACTGGTAGCTTATAAACAAAAATATAATCACGTGATTCATATTTGCACTCTTTTTTACTTTCTCGTATACACAAGTTAGAGAAAGTATTGTACTCGTGTAAAGAAATCGAAATAGGAAAAATATTTAGTTTTGCAATATTGTTTGCATGTCTGTGTATCTATCTGTGTATCTGTCTGCAAACACGATAACTTGATTGCTGTTTCAGTTTATGCTGATAAAATTTCATTCATAAATATATCAAATTTGAAGTTCTAAATCAACGTTTGTGCGATTCCTGTCCTGCATATTAATGATGGGCAGAAAATTGCCTCCCAGAGTTCACATCACAAGAGTCCAGAAAGCGAATATTTTTAGTTGTATGCGGTGCCGTTGTAAAAAAAAAATGTTTTAAAAAACTTAGATATCGACATATTTATTTACTAAAAAGAAGTGAAAAAAAACTTTTAAAAACTATATTAATTTACCTTTAAATGCACTGAAAACAAAACAATAAAGCAAACTAGTTTTCTCTAGTAAAAGCTATTTAAATTAACTCAATACATCTTTTACACATTTTACTGACCAGTGATTTTTACTAAAGAAAACAAATTTGTTTTAAGTAGGGGCCTACTATAATTTTTTCTAATTTTCAGTGCCTTTAAAAGTTGATGACAGTATTATTTTTACAAAACAACCATCAAGTCAAATTGGCAAGAAAATTATTCTTTTTAACTACAACATTTTTTTATTGTAGTCGGCCCTAAACGCCCCCCCCCCCCCCCCCCGCATGCATAGCGGGGTCTGGCAGCATTATAGTTCCGCCCCTGCATTGATAATTGATTAAGTGGCCTGTTTGATTTATTGAATATAGGCTACTAGAAGTTAGTAGTAGACATGCTGGTATAGGCAGCAATTCAGTAATAGGGCTGGCAAGTAGGTCAGTAAACAGTTCTATGTCTCATGCAGGTTTCATTTAGCCGTAGAACTGGTTGGTGACCTACTTACCAGCCCTATTCCCAGTAATTTTCTTTGAACACATGTACATATTTATTTTAAAAATTAACAGTGACATTTAGTCATTTATTGAATTGATGAATAGGGCCTGTATAATAATACTGGTTGTCGGTAAGCGTTACACGTGAATTATAGGCCTATATATTTTAATGTTATTTGTTTTTGAAAAAAAATATAATAGTTACTGGTCAAAACGCATTTTATATATTAGGATTGATGTATGCTTTTATAGATGACTAAAATATAGAAAGCACTTCAATGTTTGTTAAATAACTATAGTTATAGATTACAGTATCTATATATATAATTCTCTTCTGGGATCAGTTAGAAAATAAAATACTTAAAAAAAACTTTTAAAAAAACCACGTTTTTCTTGTGGACTAAAAAGTAGAAAATTAAATTTTCTTTTGTGCTTCCTCGAGCTGTGCAGGTTCTTGTGATGACTGACAAAAAACGTGGGTACGTTCACCATCAAATTTCCCGACCCATCTGCCCGACCCACGTTTTTTGTCAGTCATCACAAGAACCTGCACAGCTCGAGGAAGCACAAAAGAAAATTTTATTTTCTACTTTTTAGTCCACAAGAAAAACGTGGTTTTTTAAAAAGTTTTTTTTAAGTATTTTATTTTCTCCTTTTTAGTCCGTTGCTACACATGAAAAACGTGGTTTTTAAAAAAGTGTTTATAAATACACGGACTAAAAACTTGAGCGACCAGGATTCGAACCTGGGTTGTCGCGGCCACAACGCGAAGTACTAACCACTATACGATCACGGCCAGCGCGCTCACATCGATTGGGGCCGAAGTAACTGGGTCAATAGGCCTCCAGTCTTGTCGGTATCTTTAGAAATCATGTCCTCAATTTTATGGTCCTTGGGGCGTAATTAAATTAAGCTAATTACGGTCACTAATTGCTAGTTTTTATGATTGCATCTGAAATTGTTAGGCGAAAGTAGCATGCATGCCAAATTTCAGGTCTATAGAGCAATCAGAAGTGGGCTAATTTTCGATGTCAATTTTAACAACAAACATCCAAACAAACAAACAAACGCGAAGCTGAGTTAAGAAAAACGTGTTAACAAGCTGCAAGCGCGCCTTTGCAGTCCCCTCTCTTCCTCTCTATCACTACCACCCCCACCCCACCCCCACATGATCTGGTGAGCGGTGTTCACTCTGTTTACATTTTACAATCATAGAGACGGGTTTGGTGATGGCTATTACGGGCAGATAATTGAGTTTGAAACGATTTTAAACTTAGAGGAGGTAACTAAGAGGAGGCTGCTTTCACGGGGGGGGGGGGGGGGGGGTTAGTGTTTTTAAGCAAATATTTTCAATGGCAGCATTGGTACTGTCGAATTCACAAATTATAAATTACTGAAAAGTAGAAAAAAAAAACAACTAAATAGCGGCGTATGATACGCAGCGGGTCGGCTCGTACATACTATACACACTATACAGGTACATCTGTTAGTGCAATTTTTTTGACTTTCAAGTAATAAGAGTTATTTAATATATTTCTAATTTTAGTGCTGTAATGAAAAAATGTTTTTCTAATTAAATTTTTGTTTCAGTTAAAAATGTCAGGCACCACTTTCACCCTTGAGAATCCAGTATTCCGCACATTTCTAGGATATGCAGCTTTAGTGCTCCTTAAAACAATGGCCATGAGTCTTATTACTACATATCATCGTATCACCAAAAAGGTTACTGCATACTTTCATTTGATTAGTTTGTTATTCACAATCTTGTTATTATATACGAGCCGACCCGCTGCGTATCATACGCCGCTATTTAGTTGTTTTTTTCTACTTTTCAGTAATTTATAATTTGTGAATTCGACAGTACCAATGCTGCCACTGAAAAAACACTAAACCCCCCTCCCCCCCCACGTGAACGCAGCCTCCTATTAGTTACCTCCTCTAAGTTTAAAATCGTTTCAAACTAAATTATCTGACCCTAATAGCCGTCACCAAACCCGTCTCTATGATTGTAAAATGTAAACAGCGTGACCACAGCTCACCAGAAAATGTGGGGGTGGGGGTGGTAGTGATAGTGATAGAGAGAAAGAGAGGGGACTGCAAGGAGGCGCTTGCAGCTTGTTTTCTAACGGCTCCCAGAAGAGAATTATATATGTAGATGTGACCACTTGTGGTAATGGGTAAATATCCTGCTACCTACTATAGAAGTACAAAGAAAAGCAACAGTGGGAGTTTCTTATTTAACCATATTTCAAAAAATGCTCATTGCGATTTATGCTGTACCACTTGAACATGCTGCTCCACAGATATAAACATTTAGTCCAGTCAGAGGCGTAGCGAGGGGGTGGGGGCGGGGGGTGCGGACCGCACCGGGTGACACCATTTAGTGGGGTGACACCAAGGCAAAAAATAGCAAAATATATAGAGAAACATGATAATTCCACTTAATTAATTGATTAATTCGAGTGTTAAATAGTGTTTTAAGAGGAGCAAATCGAAAGTTTGAGGGGGGGATGTGCAAATCGAAAGTTTGAGGGGGGGGGGGGGGGTGCAAATCGAAAGTTTGAGGGGGGGGGGGGGGGGGAGGGTGCAAATCGAAAGTTTGAGGGGGTGCAAATCGAAAATAGAAAGTTTGTCCCCTGGAATGCTCGCTACGCCTCTGGGGGGGGGGGGGGGGGGGTGACACCATTAAGTGCCGCTACGCCACTGAGTCCAGTATCGCCTTATGGGATTTAGTGTTAATAAGTTATGTTTTATTGAATTAAAAAAAGAATGTCCTTTTCAACAGGTGTTTATTAATGAAGAAGACGCACTTTTAGCAGGGAAAAAGATCCATGTTGTCACCAATAACCCAACAGTAGAGAGGATAAGAAGGTAGGCACTGCAATTTACAAAATATTTGTCTAAGAGAACCTTAGTTAGTTACATATTTGTTGTAATGTGTAAGAATATTCATCTAGATATAACAGCGGAACCTTGCTTTAAAAAAATTAAGTTTAGAAATAAAAAAAACTGGTTTGATTTGACTTGCAGTGGGAAACTCAGTTTGTATACATGTTTAAATATTAGAAGAAAACCGTGACAAAAATTGTTAATAGGGCAGTGTTTTAGGTAAAAAAAAAAAGATAACGAAAAGTAATTTTCCAAATATTCTTCTGTTTTTCTATTGAAAAACAAATAGACTTGCATCCAACCTTGTTAACATTCTTGTAACTAATAAGCCCAGGCTCATTCTCAGTTTCTTATTTTTATTTCAAAAACTGAATAAATGAAAACATGATCGATACTCATTGATGAGTAATATTAATAATAAAGATTATTTATTAAAATAAAGTATTTTTATTTTTAAATGAGTCTTTCAAATATGTTTATTTTTACATATTTAAAATACTTATTTAGTCCATACTTGAATTTAAATCTTTTTTTTTTGTTTGTTTTTTTGCAGGTGTCACCTGAATGACCTTGAAAATGTGATTCCATTTGTTCTTCTCGGCCTCCTCTATGTCACAACAGGACCTGCACTGTCATCTGCTGCACTTCTCTTCAGGGTTTTCACAGCCAGCCGTTTCTTGCACACTGTTGTTTACATCTTTGCCATCCCTATGCCTTCCAGAGCAGTCTGTTTCCTCGTTGGTTTTCTGGTGAACGTGTGCATGGCCTACACTATTCTTTGCAAAGCAGCTTTTTAATCACTATATTAGTGATTGGTTTTATGATACGAGATGTTACTAGCTTTTAGAATATAGAACAATTTATGCATAATTATTAAATAAATTGTTATTTAGTATAATAATTTAATTTGATTTGTTTTAATACAATGAGAATTGTTCTAACATTCCAATACTATAACATGTAAAGTAGTTGTTTTTAGTAGTTTGATGAGGCTCCATCTTTGTTTACTTAAATTTAAAAAAAAGGGTAATCTACTTTACCTTGATAAAAAGAAAGATAACTAACTTGTCGGCCTTTTGTCTTGTCGGCCTTTTGTCCATGTCGGCCTTTTGTCCGTGTCGGCCTTTTGTCCATGTCGGCCTTTTGTCCGGATCCCGACAAAACTATCCCTTTATATGCCGGGATCCCAAAAACAGGTCAACGCTACTTCATCTGCCCAGTGTGTCCCCCCAACTTAGACATGATCACAGTTTCTTCTAGACATCTCGGGGGGGGGGGGGGGGGGGGGGGGAGGCGAGTGGGGGAGGGATCCGCCCCCCTCCCCCACAAAGAAAGTCTACCCCCCCCCCCCCCCCCCGAGAAAAAAAAGTCTGGAAGAAACACTGACACCAACATAGGCTGAGCATAGGTCTGACCACATTACCCCTTCATATGCTGACGCCACAGGTGAACTCTACACCTACCCATCTCTACTTCGCCTGCCCAGTGTCCCGCCAAGTCTCAGACAACATCTTTTAATCGTTTACAAAAATATTCCAGCCGAGCATGGCTCTGACCACACTATCCCTTCATATGCCAAGAACACAGAAACAGATGAACTCTACTTCACCTGCCCCGTGTCCTGCCAAGTCCAGATAGACAACTTTATCATTCACATCTAGAAAAAAAAATTACAGTTTTTTTTTAAATATTTACAAGATGTGTTTCGAACCCGTACCACACACACGGTTAGCGATTACATTATCAACTCCCCAATCTGGAAAGTTACAATTATAAGCAACTTTAGCGGTATAGAATCCTTGTATGAAACTTAAGTTACGCAAATAGACCCTAGTTCGAGCATTTCAAATTTCATATTAACCCAAATTAGCCTATTCCATAGCTAAACGAACAAAGATTTATATAAAGTAAAATATTAAGGCCTGAAATAGTTTAGGTTATCTAGATAGAGTTAGATCTAGAATTTACGTTAAGTCTAGAAGTAGAATTTACGTTAAGTCTATTTTTGCTAAATTAGCGGTATAGAATCCGCGTATGAATCTTAAGTTACGCAAATAGGTCCTAGATCGAGCATTTCCAAATTAGCATATTCCATAGCTAAACAAACAAAGCTTTATATAAATAATTAGGCCTGAAATAGTTTCATATATAGATTCTAGGTTCTAGATTTAGAATTTACGTTTAGTCTAGATCTAGATGTAGAATTTACGTTGAGTCTAGATTCTACATCTAGAATCTAGATAAGATCTAAATTTTAGATAGATCTATATTCTAGATCTAGAACCTAGATAGACAAAAAAATATATGCATTCTCGAATAAGATGATAATTGAAGCTAAACAAACATTTATATAAAATAATTAAGGCCTTAAATAGATTCTAGATGTAGAGTTTACATTAAGTCTAGATCTAAAATTTACGTTAAGTCTAGTGATCTATATCTAGTCTAGATCTAGATCTAGATTCATAACTTTTTCTTCCTTTGGCAGCTGATCTGTAGATCAAGAGAAATTTATTGTAAAACTAAATGAAAAAGACAGTTGACAATTGATATAAGTGTTTGAACGTAATAAATACAGCAAACAGACGTATTGTTAAAGTTAAAGCCGACACAAATTTAGCTTTAGAACGCGTTAAACATTGGAATGGGAACACAATCTTCTTCGATAGAAGCCGCCATTGTTGATGTAAAAAGTAAACAAATCATGTGACGTCACTATTCAGTCAAAGTAAAGCCACTATTTGAAACTTTTATAATGAATGTGGCTAATCTACCAATGAAAAATCAATAAATTAACTAACGTCTTTAAATAAATTTGTGATTAACAGTCTGTCTGAGAACAAAAATTGTTCTCTACCTACATACTATTTTTCAGCTCTACACATATTGCAGAGTCTCTCCAGTAGCCAATCAAACAAACAAAAAAAAAAACAAATAAATATTCAAACATGTAAATAAACTTGAGTGTTTGTAGTATAGAGATAGAAGATAGTGCAAAGAATATTTGTATCGGCTGTACGTGGTACTGACGTGTAGATAATTTCCATAAAACCTCCCGTGCTTTATTTTTCGAGGGAAATATTGTTTCGGATTTTCCCGTTTATTATTATGTAATTTTTTTGGTTGACACTGGTCTATGCAGCACTACAGTGGACGGTGTCTATTTTAGGAATAAGCGAATCAAGACCATATTGAGTAGTACCACACTATCGCGACCCTAACTCTATGTCTCTCTACACGTCAATGGAAACCAGCGAGTTGACGAGATTCCTTCCATAATGTTGTTGACATGGAATAAAAACGTGCTTTTTAGATTTAGACCGTAAAAAAAAAAAAAAAAAAAAAATTAAGCCTAAAATTAAATTTAGAAATTTTATATTTTTGGAAAAAATGCTATAAAAGTTGCAAATCCAGAGAACTTGAAAATAATTTGTTGAGTTTAAGGCTATATTTCTATTTATTTTCATCAAGCCTAAGTTATAACCCGATGTTTCACATTTGTAAGATAAATATTGATTGGCTGTACAGTAACTTAGTGATCGATAACTATTTGTTTACAAAACTTTGCAGATCAAGTTTTTAAATAACAATGCAAATTTAGACACCATGACCTAGTTTTTCTTTTTTTTTTAGCTTTCGCTACTTTCAGTGTGTACAATAAAATTTATGGTAGCCTATGGAATAGCAGGATGCCATTGCTTATGTCGCCATTACACGTGAAAACCAAATTGTTTTTGCTTTTTTTTTCAATTTTTATTTAGTTACCGAAAATATTAAAAACATGAAATACATCCAATCTTTAGTAAAGTCTGAAATAAACCAGACAGGCAGGATTTTATAACCATATTAATTGTAACTACGCCGTGCATGATTTTAAAATTAATTTATGGACCTCTCAAATACCTTTGAGACTTTTCTCGCTGGCGTCCATTAGGTGTATCCTACAATTGTAGTATGTTGGTTACTTATAAAGAGTGATGATGCGGCGTGCATGATAAGGCAGACTGAGAGAAGCAACACATTACTAGATTATAAATATAAGCCATAGTACGGCGTGGCTTAGTGGTAGAGAGCTAGACTGCTAACCCGAAAGTCTCGAGTCAATGCGGATTCAAGTCAATAGAATCCCCCGGAGTCCAGTCAGCTCTGATGGGTACCTAACTCACGTACCTCACTATCATTTCACATGCCGAGGTCTCTAAGGCAGATAAACTCTACTTCATCTGCTCTATGTGTCTTGGGCACAAACTAGAAAAGATTATGAACTATGAGCCTTTTGATCAACATAAAATATGTTTTCATAAATACACTTTGATAATTTTTCGTTAATAAAATGTTTGCTAACGCGTAGTCTTAGAAAGTAGTCTACCCCTTGTCGCGAGTTGAGGACAGGATCGACAAGAATCAAACACGAAGTCCTTTCACAATTAGTTTCTTTTACTGCTTGTTAGATCACACGAAACTTAGGCTGCCTATAAGAGAATGGACCCCCTAACTTTCCTAACCCCCACATTTTATACCCTACCTAACATCTAAGTTTTCTGCGCTCTATGTAACTTCCCTCCCAATAGTACGTTTTGGTTGTTAGGAAGATTGTTGCGAGTCAGTATTAGTCTTGTTGTCATCTTGTGAGGATGTCTAGAAGTCGTCTCCAGTCTGTCGTCAATGTAGCTGTATATATTGTATATAATAAAAGATAGAACTATCGTATCGTCGTTCTGTATTCTCTATTGGATCGTCGTCGTATATTGTTCAACGTTCAACATCGACCCTGTACAGAAACTCGCTTTACAACACCCCTCCCATATTACCCACTTGTGTACGCCCCCGACTACTCTCTAACCTTGTTTTTATTTACGAATAAACGGAACTTCACAGTTTGAGAAGAAAATCAATGATCCAACTCATGTGATCGGGGAATGTAGCAGATGTTTAGAATACTGATGTGACTTTAGTTATTGGTTCATTTCTTTCACAGCTGAGGCAGCGAGAACAGAGTGTGCATCAGGTATACAAACGTATTAACGAATTTACATTAATTTAATTAATTTACAGCTTTCTATTTTAAATAGATTTTTTTAAAAAAATATTCTTGGTATTGTAATTAAATAAACATTATCCATACATCGTTATTTATTTTGAAAAGTAGGCTACTTAACCCAGTGAAATTATTTCAACACATTCTTGTCATTTTGTTCTGTTTGCAGTTTCTCAAAAACAGGTAAATTGGAACCGCTGGAATAATTAGGACTGCTGTTGTAGTTTTTATCAGTAAGTCATTTTGGATAGCTAGTGCAATACTATATACTATCTTACCATTTTTACATTGACGCTTGATTTATAACTGCAATAGCCATAACGAATGCCTGTTTAGTGATTATAAAAAAAACTGTCAATAGATTTTTTCTTGCAAAAAAAAAATAAAATTGTAAAAAATAATATCCTCTCGTAAAATGTATCATGTTTACTCCTTACATTTGATAGTTAAAACACACTGTTATCATTTATTTCACTTCAGATAAACATTTTCAATATGGAGGAAACAACATTAAATATAGTTATGCTTGGAAAAACTGGCAATGGAAAAACTTCTTCGGCGAATACCATACTTGGAAGAGAAGCTTTTGAAGTATCAACAAGTACTTTAGTCGGTACTCGCTTAGCAAGTTCTCATTCTTCACGATACAGAGATGTAAACATTATAGTGTTTGACTCACCAGGAACCTTTGACGCTAGGTTTGAATTACTTCAGGGCCAAAAGAAATCGTGCCAACAGATTATGGATATTGTAGAGGCTAGCGAAAAGGTCGACGTCTTTATGTTGGTGCTCAGCTACACGTGTAGGTGGTCATACGAAGATAACGTCACGGTTGAACTAATTAGAAAGATTTTAGGTAGAAATGTTTTCGAAACTTATTGCGTAATTGTTATAACCCACTGGGATAATGCATTAAGTGCTGGCGTTGAGTCTGTTCGTACCTGACTTTCTATTCAGCCTAAGCAGTTAAGAGACCTAGTAGTAGAATGTCAAAATAGATGTGTCGTTTTAGATAATAACACGCGCGACGCAGCAGAAAGAGGTAGAGAAGAATTGTTAGAACTCGCCTTCACAATGGCAGAGCGAAATAATAAATATACGCTAGAAGATTTAAATAGAAACTCGCATGAACATACTAAACTGCTAGAAAATAAAGTGCAACATCAACACGGTAGGCGCCCTTTTTGTCCAATACTATAAAGTAGTAATTTGGACATTGTTCAGGAATTAATTAAATGGAAATTCAAAATGGCCACCGGGTACACTTTTCAGATATCGTAACTTTATTAAATGGGGGAATAAGAACATTTTAATGAAATATATTTTATTAAACCTTTAAAAAAGATCATTCTAGATTTCAAAGTCCGAAGAAAAAAAGCTAAATATCTTATCAAAATTGATTGGTTGCATCTTTATTAGAAAAAATAAAAGACGAAATATGTTTTGAAAATTAGAGATATCATTTCTGAACCGCTACAAATTTTAAATAAACCTAACGGTTATGAATCTATTTCTTCACGCTGTACCTATCACATTTATAATCAATAAACCTGTAGGGGTTTTCATTTTCGAGGAGTGCTCAAAACAGTTACTTTAAATCTATTTTAAGTAAATTTGTGTGTAAAAATGAACATTTATTAATAGTTAAATAATCAGTGACGATGTATTTTATAATTGAAAGTAAAATGTTTTTCTTTTTCCTGAATTGTTACTTTCTCGTATAGAGTAGAGAGAAAGTAATGTAATTGTGCACAAAAATAACATGAAATTGCGATAGTTTTCATTGTTTTACTCCTCAATCCTTCATCATATCCGGAGTATAGAGGACGTATTTTAATCAGGTAAAAATTATAAATCCAGATATATCAAACTTTTGGTGTTTTATGCGTAATCGAGTCGAAAAAACTGGACTTTGCAATTCTGTCCGTTGGTCTCTGTGTGTGTGTGTGTGTGTGTCTGTAAATACGATAACTTGAGTACTGTTACAGTTATGTTGATGAACATTCATATATGTATTATATTAAATTTGTAGTTCTGTATCAACTTTTCAGTGATTTCCGATAACCGGAAGTGTTACTTATTCTACTTTTAATTTTTCAAAAGCCTATAACTTGAGTACTGTTGCAGATAGATAAACGAAATTTCACACAAAAGCAAAATATCTAATCCTCTGCCTTCTGTCATATTTTGAGTAGATTTCGCTGACGGGAAGTAGTAATTTTCACTATTTCCAATTTCTCAGAAAAAAAACGCATATTTATAAAGTACTAATAATATTCCGCACTATTATACACATACTGTTTTTCGTTCACTTGATGTGCAATTATTTTTTCTACGAGATTCCATTCTATTTTTAAAAGTTTAAGTAATTAAAAATGGATTAAAAATCATGTCTATATAATGATGTGCCATCTCCCGTAGTATTATATAAGAATATTCGAGAAAGTTTAGGGGAGATCACTCTCAGTTTATTTTATTATATATTTTACGAAGCATTTTGTTTTCAGTACACACATTCAAAGTTTGTGAAAAAACAGCATCTTCTGTATACTGTTCAATTATTGAATTAATTTGTATTAAACTATAATTTTTATATAAGAATTTTGTGTTCGAAATTTCTTTCTTAAATATTTTTTCTTACCTAAAATACGTAAAGAAGTATACACTTTACGCTCATATCTTGATTGCGTTCAATCCTTTAGACAACTTGTAAAATACTATTGTATTGAAACTGTTAGTGTGCGTGGACATCATTAGTTCCACAAGCTATCAATGTATGTCGAATTAGTTACTTTTGTATTAAATTGCCAGTCAACTTGGATATTAAACAGACGTTTGTTAGTACTTTTGAATAAAATAAATAAATAAAAAAGTATCCTGACTGGTATATTAATGTTTTCTCTGACCAATGAATTCTGGTAATGGAACGCCCAGACTAATGGTATGGAAAAGTGAAGCCCTCTCACAGACAACTTAACATTTATATACAGTGCTTTTTTTGTATTAAAAAAAAATAGGTGCCAGTACTCAGTGGTGGATTGCCTGACTTTTAATTACCAGTTCGCACCCCGATGCAAGCTAAATCACAACTGCAAAGATACTAAATTTACAATTAACAAATAAATAATATAATAAATTAATAATAAACGTTAAAATACAAGGAAAGTAATAATTTTTCCCCACATTGAAAAAGATGACAGTTCGCTGTACCGGTGCGTACAGTCACAAAAAAGCTCTGTTTATATATATATATATATATATATATATATATATATATATATATATATATATATATATATATATATATATATATATACATATACATATATATATGTATAATATATATTCAGAAATTGTGTGGACTCAATTACAAAGATTTATTAAATTAAAAAGTTGTCAGTCGTAATATTTGTTGTTTAGGCCTTCTAAATGTATGTAGTATTGCTTTCTCTGTTGTTAGCAAGTTTAGGTCACGGTGTCGCACCCCCCCCCCCCCCCTCCCCCCACCCCTCCCTTTTCCTTGTCGGTATCTTTATTTTCATTTAAAAGACTTTTTAACCCTAATTAATCATTAAACTGGCAAAAAGTATTTTTCTTTTATATATTGTGCAATGTTTTTGACTTGGTGTCTCCCCCCCTCCCCCCCAAAAAAATGGTGTCATCCGGTGCAGTCCGCCCCCCCCCCCCCTTCCCGCCTCCACCTCCAGACGCCTCTGGCTCCACATTATTTATGACCGCATACGGTAACTAATATTTACATAAGGGGACTCGAACCGTACCCTTTTATTCCTACCACAATTTTGTTGTTGCTTAGCGTCCCCCCAACCATCTGCCACTCAAAAGTAGTCTAAACCCTGTATGACGCATTCCCCCCCTCCCCCTCCCCCCAAATATTAGTTTTAACCTAAAAATATTTGACTTTCCGAAATAATCTGCGGAATTCCCGTTTGTTAGCTGTAAAGCGTTTAAAACTTACAACTCTTAAAACCATAAGCCACTCGTAGTGTTATGGTATTTCTCCAAAAGCACCGGGTACAGTTTGTAAGACACTGTTTAGCTAGCCAAGAGACACCCTGATAAAGACCATCTATATCTATTCAGGTGTTACACTTTGTACATCTTTTAGAAAACGCTGCAATTGACGCTACCTTCTCTACACCCCTGTTTATACCAGGAAAATATTTTTTTCTAGAAATGTATCAGTCATGTGACCACGACGCTCAAATCTCCTGCAGTTAGGCAGTAAGGTATCGAATAAGTTACTTCACTTGTAGCAGCTAAACGAAAAAGTTACTTCACTTGTAGCAGCTAAACGAATAAGTTACTTCACTTGTAGCAGCTAAACGAATAAGTTACTTCACTTGTAGCAGCTAAATTAACTGGTGCGTCACGTAAGTCTGTTGAACTAATTCGATTTGATTTTTAGTACTTCATGTCTTCTCTTATTTTTTGCTTCTTTTAATGTGTATGTGTGTGTGTCTGTGTGTGTCTGTGTGTGTCTCTGTGTATATTTGTGTGAGTGACGTGTGTGTGTATGAATAATATTGTGTCATTTGTACTGTCTTTCATAGTTATTTTTTAAAATCTTCTGCGCTGTCTACTGTAAAACTTCAAAAAAATAAAACCGACTCAACAGCTAGTACTAAAATTACCTTTGCTATTGATTAAAAATAAAACAACTCAGTTTCCGTGAGAAAGAGATAGATTCCTTATAATATATTGTATCTTTGTTTGAAAGTAAAAAGTAAAGAAAGTTGGAGTAAAGGATGGTAACGATAATAAAAAGTAAGCTATCGGTGATATCGATTTAGTAAAAGATAAGAATAGTTTAGTTTTAAGTTTAGTCTTCAAAAATAAAAAAAATTAAAGTAAATCTAAAATGATGGAAATCTAATTTTCGTTACACGTTTGCCTTTACAGTTTTAGATAATTATAGTACAAAGATTATTTGTATCGGCTGTACGTGGTACTGACGTGTAGATAAGCTACATTAGACCTTATCAGACATTTTTAACCGCGTTTTATTTTTTCCAGGGAAATATTGTATCGGATTTTCCCGTTTATTATTTTGTAAGTTTTGGAATTACCGCTAGCTTACACTGTATTAAAATATAAAACACTATTCCTGGTTCATATTTTGAATTGAATATCTTGCAAAGGAAAAAAAATAATGCAAGGGTAATACATCAGCATCATGTAATGCATAAGACAGAAAATAATAAAATTCTTTATTTTTTATTTTTCACCCTCAGATGAATTGTCAGGATGGCTAAAGCTAGTAAAACGCCCTTTAACATAGCTATGCTCGGAAAAACTGGATATGGTAAAACGAGTTCCGCGAATACGATACTTGGTAGAAAAGCCTTTGAAGAATCAACAAGCGCCACTGTTGGTACTCGATTACCGAGTTCCCATTCGAGCGATTACAAAGAGTTCAAGGTTACGGTGTTTGATTTACCGGGCACATGCGACGCAAGGTATGATGAAAAACTGGGTCAAAAGAAATCGTGTCAGCAGATTCTGGACGTCGTGGAGGCGGGTGAGGAGGTGGACGTCTTCTTGTTGGTGCTCAGCTACTCCTCCAGGTGGTCCCGAGAGGATTCCAACACCGTGGATCTGGTGAAAAAGATTTTAGGTCGAGACTTTATCAAACAACACTGCATACTTGTAATAACTCACTGGGATAATGCATTAGATGAAGGCGTTCAATCGTTTGAATCGTGGCTTGTAAATCAAAGCCCCCAGTTAAAAGAACTTGTGGCGGAATGTCAAGATCGGTATGTGGTTTTTGATAATAAAACAAGCGATGAGGCGGAAAGAGATGAGTATAGAAGGAAATTGCTAGAACTTGCGATCTCAATGGCGAAGGATAAGCCGAAATACAAGGTTGCGGATTTGAAAAAGAATTCACGCGAACACGACAAATTGTTGCAACAAAGTGATCATTGGTGTGTGATAATCTAATACAATATTTTATACATTTTTAAAAAATCCAATATTTTGTCAATCTTTACTAACGATCTAATCCAACAAATTGTCGCTAACAGTGTCGTAGGCAGGGGGGGAGGGTTAGGGGGGTCATAACCCCCCCATAGACCCCTCGGTATATAGAAAAAGTATGAGGGGGGGTGCAAATCGAAAGTTTGTCCCCACTGGTCGCTAAGGTAGTAAATTCAACCCACGTTTTCAAATACTCTTAAATGATCATGTTGTTTTATTTTTCTCATTGATACATATAAACTACCTACAGGCCGAAGAAAAACTTGTGCATTTTTTTTTTACTTTCAGGACCCAAATTACTTCTCAAAGTAAAGAAAAAAAACAATATTTAACACATGAACTAAATGTGACTGTTTAAATTTTATTTGTTATTTTTAAAGTAAGTAAATAAAGTTCCCTTTCAAACTTGACGGTCTATGGGGCAACTGAAGTAGAGTTCACTTGTTTCTGTGACCTTATTTTTAAAATGACACTTAAATCTTTATCAAATATGTAGGCATATTTTCTTTTCGTTACTAAGTTTAATAGTATTTACAAACAAATCTGCGATGTGATTGATGGCGGAATATGTCTTTAGATATCTTATTTCCGAAGTTTTTATGAATATAGTTTTATATTATTTAAAATATGTTATGATTAATATTTCTTTTAATTACATCCCCCCCCCCCGATCTTATTTACTATTGAAGCGAGCATTATTTTGAACGATTAATACCGTAGCTATAGTTGCACCATAGTTCATTATTTGTTTTTTTTTAATAAATTAAAATACTTCAAATTTAATTGTAAAAATTACAGTCTCCAAATTTAACATAATACAAATGTAAAATATTACATTTTATCAGTTGATTCATTGTTTTATTAATGTTATATAAGTGTAGGTGTTGGAGGGGAGTTCAAATACACCTGCAAGTCTGCTCACCACACTGGAACAATGAATTTACCTCAAACCTACCAGGGGAGGTTTGAAAACCTCACAAGCTGCATAAAGGGGTCCCTTGCATTTACATACTTTACATTGTTCTGTCCCCTCATTGTTCAGTGATATTGAGCAGTTACTGGAAAGTCAGTAATTCTTCTATGACTCATCAATGCATATGTATATATATATATATATATATATATATATATATATATATATATATATATATGTATATATATACACACACATATATATATATATATATATATATAGGCCTATATATATATATATATATATATATATATATATATATATATATATATATATATATATATATATATATATATATATATATGCATAAAGCATAGGTTGAATTGTTATTATATTAAAAATTATGTGAACAAATATGTAATCGATTATGTATTACAATTGTGTACCCTTAGGTGAAAGTCATTACATTCTTAAAGATCGTTAGACTTTCTTATAACCTTTATGTGGATTTTTCATTTACTAAAACATTTTTTTAAACTCCATATTTTTATGTATTGTTTTAAGGGAGGTGACAGTCGGTGTGTTCTTATGTTAAATGATGTTATGTGTGGTATTTCGAAGTTTGGATCTTGAATGCAAATTTGGTTTTGTTAATTTAAAAACAAATATACCACAGTTTTTTAATTAACGTATTTTTGAGTTCATACACTATGATTGTTTAATAAATTTTAGATCTAACACTTATATACCTACATTGTTTCAAATTTGAATGTATTTAAGATATATTTTGTTTTCATTTGATTATACTAGTTTAATCATTCTTAATCAGCGTACAAACAAAAATAAATTAAGCCAAAATCTTAAATCACAATGTCATAACAACTGTTTTTTTTTTTTTACTTATGTAGGGTAACCCAGTGTTTAAAGGTGTTTTTACCAACAACACAAAATAAGGCGAGCATCGCACTTATCCTATTTAATAAATCGTAAACATTTGGCTTACATATTCTTAGGCTTTGATAAACATTGTAGGGCCTTTATGTTAAGGAGTTCTTATAAAAATGTTACAAAAAAATAATGCATTTAAACACAGTCATCATTATCTTTTCACTCTCGTGCCCAAGACACACGGGGCAGATGAAGTAGAGTTCGTTTCAGAGACATCGACATATCATGGTATACTGTGGTCAGAAGTGCGATTTATATATTGTAACAAATCTAAAAATTATAAAGTTCTACATATTCTATAATAAAATCACGTTTTTTTATTTGATATATTTATCACAGTCATAAACGTAAGATCATAACAATTTATTTGTGGATGTTGTATTCTCTAATTGTAAGTAGATTTAAATTTTGCATAAATTTCCTTCAGGCTTTAGAACTGAATTCACTGAAGTGTGCATTGTCGCATGTAAGACTTATCTAAGTTGTAAAAGTTTGCTTTAGTATATTTTGGGAACTCTTTTTTCAACTGTCTTACTTTATCAAACAAAATATCCCTGCTTTTCTCTTTCCCTTCTGTTGAAAGGTTATCAAAAAAGATGTATCGATCATTGCATCTTTTGAACAGCCCTTTTAAAGAATCGTTCTGCATGTCAATCCAGTTATCAAATGACTGATAGTCGCTTGAGACTTGATCCCACCTAGTCATCACGAGAATGCAATGTTTTTCAAAAAAATCATTCCCGAAAGTTTTCACCAACAACTCCGGGGTCTGGCAGTCCTCCTTGCTGTACCTGGAGTCGCAGCTCAACACTAATATAAAAGCGTCGATTCCGTCGTCTGCGCATGCGTCCATAACCTGTCTCATGTTTTTCCTGGCACTCACTTCCTCGGTTTCATCCTTCAACCGAGGATCGAAAAACCCCGGCGTGTCGATGACGTTGATCAGAGAGCCGTCCTTTGCCTTAGAAGAATGACAGCAGTTGAATTTAGTACCCGCGGAACTTGCTGTGGACAACTCAAAAGCTTCACGGCCTAAGATAGAGTTGCCAGTCCGGCTTTTGCCGTAGCCGGTTTTTCCTACCAAAACAACTGTCATGGAAGACATTATAGGTGTTGTAGCCTGGAGGAATAAATTTAACGAGTGTTTAGAATTTAGATAGAAATGTAATTTGGTTAAGGAAAATGCGAATAGTTTACAATGGATTACAATGGATTTGTCTTGCAGAAATTGCAAATAACGAACGTTTTCAGACGTAGCGGTCATTGGATGAAGTAAAGCTGTTCAACCATTAGGGGTTGATGTTAGAAACCCAAAACCCTTTCTGCAGATCATTAAGACGTCGATGTATTCACAGGTGTAGCGACCTGTTCCAGCGCCCGTGGCGAACTATCAACTTTGCGCCCGCTCCCCCCCTCCTCACTTTTAATGTTATTCGCATTGGCATTGGTAAAAAGCATCCTCCCCCCCCCCCAGTTAAAAAAGGTCGTGGGCGATTTTTATCAATCACTGTCCCTAAATGGTTTTTAATTTTGGTGTCAAACAATTGATGTTGAAAACAATTACATAAGCACGTAAAAACCAAGCATTGGTCTATTTCCTGAATTTTGGCTGTGTATAATTTAGTAAAACAACTCAAAATTAGCTTTTTAATTTATTTTCTTTGTACCCGTTGGGCACCCCGCCCACCCCCCCACCCCACAAAATACGCCCCACCCACTCTGCACTAGCTACGCCTTTGGATGTATTGAAATATTGAATTCATTATAAAAAGTAACATTTTCGGTGTGTAGGCTGGTTGTCAAGTCCACGAAACTCTGATGATGTACCACATGTCACCCACCCACATAGTTATGATAATATGTAAAGTCCACTTAAGTCAATTAACTTATGATGGGTATTGCTTGACATAAATAGGTGGGAAGTAAGATTAATTGTACATAGTGGTCACAACACATTAATTGAACAAAAATATCAAGGAAAACGACTTAAGAATACGGAAATAAATGATTAATTATAGTGTATATTTCTGATTTAAAGCTCCTGTTTAACATTTGAGTACTGTGTTCGATTGCTATGTGTATGTTTTGACAACAGCTACAATAGAAATTCCAATCGATTCATCGCGAGTTAATGCTGGAATTTTCTCCATTTCGGTTCGATTTTTGTTATGTATTTGACTTTAAAGCTAGCAATATTTATATCAAGAATCGATTTCTGTTGCTGTCGCAGTAAATATTAATTCAAAATTTATCTTAATTTTGTAATAATTCAATTTAAAAAACACAGCTGTTAAACGCTCTGAAAAGGCATTCAATAAATTGTGCCTGCTTTAAATATGTAATATAATAAAAAGGTGTTAACGTATACGTATTACATTTGATTAAAATGCCGATGTAACAAAAAATTTCTTGTAAATTTTGTCCTTACCTGTGCTGTGGGTTTGTGAACCGCCATGCCTGCTGATTTCATAGTTCAGGTGTGCTGAGAGAACGTAGTGAGTTCAGTGTTGGCAGTGACGCGATACTTTAGTCAATACACAACTCCACAATAATCGATATTTGTGTAAGTCAATCAGCTATTGGGGGATTTGTACTTCGGCCTGATTAAGACAAGCGGAGTTGATGCGTGAAAGCCACACTCTATATGTAGATGTGTGAATGGCGGGGGGATAAGGAAACATAGACGGCGTGGTCGAATTGTAGAGCATACGACTTCAAACCGAAAAGTCATGAGTTCGTATCCGGGTTAAAGTCATTAGAACGTCCCTGAGTCCACCCAGCTCTGGTGGGTACCTGACTGACGTTAGGAAAAGTAAAGGCATAACGCTGACCACACTATCTCTTCATGATCCGAGGTTACAGGAACAGATGAGCTCTACTTCACTTGCCCCACGGACCGGCAGGTTCGATGGTGAATTGTATTCTTTACTAGTCAAAGTATATTTACAAACACAACATGTCCCCCAAAACTGGAATAAAATTACAAAATTGTAAAACGTAGAGACTCTGCATAGACAAAAGCTTTAGATCTAACTCAGAATGTAATAATATGATGTCGAATTATAAAGATTTTCGAGAAATCGGAGATTGAGTAAAGTATGACTTTCGGTTACCAGAAATCGCCCAAAAGTTGATAGAAACATATGTATAGTGTCTAAATTTTATGTATAAAATTGCGTCGGCCTAAATAAAACTGTAATCAAGTGTCGGTATTTTAGCTACCGGAAATAGAATACAGAACCACTTCCGGTTATCAGAAATCACTAAAAAATTAAAGGAGATATAAATATAGTATCTTACAATAAATAAGAAACCACGTCTACCTAAGTGTAACGGTTCTTAAATTATCGTGTTTATAATCACGCACACATACACACAGACACACAGGCGACATACAAACAATCTTGCTAAACTGGAGTTTTCCGATTTTGGAATGTGTACGTTTACAATATTTCCACCTATAATTTTGCGACGTGAAGTCTGACCAAATTTGGAGAATCATTCAAAGTGGCCAAAACTGACCAGAGCTCTCATATCTCTATACAAATTACATTTGAAGGCTTCATGGGGCTAAAGACTTGTCAGTAAGCAGTCGTTCTTTTGTTCTTTCCGCGACTAAAATTTATATCTTCATAAAGCTAACAGTAGAAAACAAAGTGCGCAAAAGTAATGTTGTTAACGTGAACTATTCTACGGTTTGTAAAGGGAGACAAAATCAACTAGGCAGAGTAAAATAAATGTTGTTTGAAGGGACACAATTACAACTATTTTTAGTTATTTAGCTATATCCTAGTACATTCCCCTGTTTTCATTCATTGTTTTTTACCCAGTCTTAAAGACATTGATAAGCGGTTGCTATTAGAAAGTATGCTTCTATTTAATCTGCTAGACCAGGGCTCGGCAACCTGCGGCTCTTTTGATATCAAGATGCGGCTCTCCAGCTCCTTGAACAAATACTAATAATCTTAATAAAAAAAAATATTTGAAATAAAAAAAATGTTAGTAGCTCTTTAAAACCAGGGAAATTTTGAAAATTGTAACTTTTGGCTCTACCGCTTCAAAAGGTTGCCGACCCCTGTGCTAGATGTAGCTCTTGTCGTTTTTTAGTACCGTTTGAATTATTATAACTAAAATATAAAGAGCTTTAAGAATAAAAAAGTTAGTTTTACCACAAATGTGAAATCGTGATTGCGTATTCCTTGTAAGGGACGCAAGCGTTATAGACAGCCGATGAAGTTGTATTATAATTTTACATTCCCCGTTCTACTTGGTTTTTAGTATTTCACAACGCCAATTTGTCTCTGTGTGTGTTTGTTGTCGAATTTAGAAATCAATTATCGACTCATTTTTTTAGCGGTTTCTCAATGATGACAATGCAAGTGTATATAATTTTAAATCTAATAATAAAACAAATAGGTCGTCTAAAATTTGTTTCAAGGGACGCAATTCTTATAGTTCAGCGATATATTCGATTTATCGTTGTACTTTACCCTATTTTTCTAACGTAAATGACACGGTGGCAGAGACTGAAGCAGCTTATAAGGTCCCCAATATTAGAAGGATATAAAATTATGAAAGGGGACAGCGTGGCCTAGCGGTAGTGAACTAGACTGCTAACCTGACAGTCTTGAGTTCGATTCCGGGTTCAAATCAGTGGAACGTCCCTGAATTATGCGTTCACTCAGCTCCTACGTTAGGGAAACAAAGGCGGCTGACCACACTGTCCCTTCATGTGCCGTGGTCTCGCAATCAGACGAACTCTACTTCATTTGCCCTATGTGTATTCACACGAACTCTACTTCATCTGCCCCATGCACGAACGAAAATGATAAAATTAAGAAAACTTGATTAAGTAAGTAAACAACGGACTGCATGTCTGAAAGATTACAAGAAACACCCTTTTATCAAGAGCCAGGTTTAGTCTTGATAAAAAAGAAGTTGACCGACAAAAAAGTTCACCCCATTATAGGACACAATACTGACCAGACACATTGTATGGTGACACCCTGTATGATCAGCTGATGTAAGTTGGTTCAGTGAAAATTTTTTTTTCTTTGGCCTCAGACATGTAATTTACAGCGTCAGTTGTGTGTTTGTTGTCGAATTTAGAAATCAATTATCGACTCATTTTTTCAGCGGTTTCTCAATAATGACAATGCAAGTGTATATAATTTTTAATCTAATAATAAAACAAATAGGTCGTCTAAAACACTGTTCTGTGTACAAAATGATTATCTCCCCTACTAATATTTTGCGATGAAAAAATATATATCAAAAAGATAGGTGGGTGAATGTAGATAAGTAGGAAAGAGGAAAAAATTAAAATAAAATAGCATGGAGCAATAGTTGAAAGTATTGTTTATACATGTACATATTGATTCAGTTTGTCTTGTTTCGAGTATTATTGACATTTGTTTGTGATGTGTACGACAAAACAAACTGATCGGTAACAAGGTTGTGTACTGTTGTTTTCGTTTCTTATGAAGGGAAACAACTCAATCAGTACATTGCAAGTTGTTTCAGTTTGTTGTCCTAAAAAAGCGGGAGTGATTTCCCCTAAACGTTCTCGTTTAGCTATGAGTTCGTTTCACGTGAATTATAGGCAGGGGCGGAACTACAGTACCGCCAGACCCCGCAATGCGGGGGGGGGGGGGGGGGGTGGGCAGGCCGTTTAAGGGCCCACAGCCGACCAGAATTAATTTTTTTTTAAATTTTGAATTTGATTTTCGTGCATTTTGCCTTGATAATTGGTGTGTAAAAGAAAAATACTGTAGTTGCTGTACCATTATCTTAACTTTATAGTCACTATACCACGATCTTGCGCAAAAAAAAAAAGAAAATCCATTACACAAACTACAGTGTAAAATATAGGCAAAACTTCAAATTTTAGCCAAACGTAACTGTTTGACCGATCCTCCAACGTGTAATGTGGCGGATGGGGCAGGGGGTGGAGACCAAATACGGGGCTCGAACATTTTCGTCAAATCTATTTATATATTTGAAAAAGTTATTTATTGTTGTATTTTTAACCATCGTCAAGGCCAAGTTCTATTTCCCTACAATCAAACACACGCTGTCGCCGGTAAAATTCTCTAAAAAAAAAAATAACAAAGTCCAAGCTCGAGAAGCCGCTATATATGAAGTGGGCTTTTATATATATCCTACAAAAAATAAAAATAACATAATACTAAAAACATCGGTATTATATACGTTTACTTGTTTTTTCTTTTACAAGAAATGTCAAAGTAAACTATATTTAAATTATCTCCCCTGAGTAAGTTATATAATGGGCTACGCTGTGCTGACGTACATAGGCGTTTTTTTTCTCTTTCAAGTTTTTTTTCCGAGCCGACCCTCATGACACTTCTCTTTCTAAACCTCGCAAGTATCGAAGAGATAAATGTATCGTTTATGAACTACATCCTACCCGTACATTCACCACTTCAGCACATTTTGTCAGACACTAGACAGCACAATATATATATATATATATATATATATATATATATATATATATATATATATATATATATATATATATATATGTCATTGCCGGGGGGGGGGTTATGGTCTGGCTTTTTGTATGTCGTTAAAAACGTGACGTCATTTGTGGATGGACCCCTCTAAGTCAGAAGGTTATCCGACGCGTGAGCTGGCCACATACAACTGTACATGTGAAAACTATGTTTCTGTCTATTATGCATTTCTGCATCATTTATCCAATCGCCATGAAAAGTTGGGAAGCTGTTGAGTACAGCCCCGCAAATGTTTCTGTCAACGGAAATGTGTGATTTAGCGCCCTGAGATCCTGCATAAGCGGATGGGGTTACTACTTGAATCCACCGGCGGCAGTGTCATCCTGAGCGCACCACATATGAGCAGGTTGGCCCCTACAGACAGTCGTTTAAAAGTTCATACGTGATATTTTCGAGGGGTGGATTAAGAGACGCCTGAACTAAAAAACTGTGTTTCACCCATCACCCGTGCAGTAATGTAACCGGTAGCTCCCATGAACCCCGTGACTCCTCTGACACATGGGCTGTCGCCGAGGGACTAACATCATGCCTTGGTGTGTCTCGTTGGTAGTATGTACAAACCCGCGCCACAGCAACTAATATCCAAGAAATCAACGGCCGACATTGTTCACATTCATTTAAACTTCTGTAAAACAGGGCACACGTCTAAATATACACGATTGGTAACGTTTGGATGAAAACCTCATAAAAATCGGCGTCAGTTTGGTGTGTTAGAGTAGATTTAGGGAGTCTGTGCTTCTCACTTGGGAAACTGACTAGGGCCAGCTCGTGTGTTGGAAAACCTCTGTTCCTCAGATTTATTCGTGTACCAGATGGAGAGTTAATTTAAATCAATATATATATATATATATATATATATATATATATATATATATATATATATATATATATATATATATATATATATATACGTATATACGTATATACTTTTTTCGTCATGAAATGATTCTCAAGTCACCTGCTTCACAGACACACACACAGACACACACAGAGACACAGACATACACACACACACACACGCGAGAGAGAGTTAGACACACACATACACACATAAACATACGGACATACTAGCAAAATTAAAACTTTCGACTCGGGGAGGTGTAAAACACCAAGATTTATCGAATCGATTTTAATGTTTTGCACGATTACAGTTAGTCTTCTATACTCCGTTTAAAAGAAAGTAAGAAGAGAAAAAAATTGGGTGTATGAATATAGATAACTAGTACGAATTTGGAAAGGGGCAGTAATATTCGGCCTAAAAAGCTTGCTGTAATTAATTGACATATTCAAGTATCTTGTACAGGTAAAACAACAGTTGCATTCAAGTGTTCCAATAACAAATTGGTTTTTATTGGAAACTAGATCTATAACCTCCTATACAACTTCATTTGTTTTATAGATGATATTGATACTATCGAAGCCGGTCTTAATACTTAGTATATTTAAATGGGACTAGAGCATTACCGTCAATTACTCCACCCCCCCCCCCCAACATTACCACCGATGCAATTACCCCCTAGGGAATTACACCCCCCCCCCTCCCTTCAAGAATCCTGACTCCAACTCGAACTCTGTACCTATAAATTACCTTAATCCTAACCTTAAGAAAATACCCAAACCTAAGCATTCAACTCAGCCTAAAACTTAACCCAAACCCAACCCCAGTCATTGGTTTAAGTCTAACCCTGACCCCAGCATAAAAACCTAACTAAAATCCTAGCCCTAGCGCTACCCCTTACCCTAACCCTAGCGCTAACCCTTGCCCTAACCCTAACAAAAACCCTAACGCTAACCCTAACTGTACCTTAAGCTATGATCGGGGGGGGGGGGGGGGCTAATTGACAGGGGGGGGGGGGGGTAATTGACAGGGGGGTAATTATTCCGGAGGGTAATGTCCGGGAGGGCTGTCGGGGGGGGGGGGTAATTTACGCGGGGTAATGCACTGTTCCCTATTTAATTATCACACTTAGGGTGTAATGAATATAAAGTCACGGAGTAACTCTAAATAAGTAAGCGTTTATTAATGTAGTTTTTCCGTTTCGGAGCCAAAGTCGGCTTTATATGTAATATACCTACTTAAAACTACTTCTATTGGCGGGTTAACAATTTTACTACATGCTGTCTATTAAGAGTTGCTTCCCTGCTGTATTTATCAACGTCACAGGAATGGTTTGTTCAAAAAGTGCTTAGGTAAAACTCCTTTGCATTAAAATATTATTGATCTGTAATTTGTAAAAAAAAATATAAAATAGAACATCATTTAAGTGTATAAAAAGATTGTGCCACACGATTCAGAGGCGAAAAAAAGTTTAGATATTATCTGAGGGATAATCGATTTATTTAATGCTGCAAATAAAAAAAAACTGTATACATGGTTCCATGACAAATGATCTCAGGACAAATGATCTCAGACAAAACATCTAAGACAAAATTTCTCACGGACAAATGATATCAGGACATTTGTAAACAAAACCACATGATAGTCAATAAAAAACAATGTTCAGATCAACTAAAATTATCCAATACACTATTAAAATTTTGCTGTGAGATATTTTGACAGAGATCATTTGTCCATGGTATCGTTTGTCCTTATATATTTTGTCCTGGTATTTTTTGTCCGTGAGATCATTTGTCCTTGATATCATTTGTCCTGTCACCGTATACACATACTATCAATGTACTATTCCGTACGTACAGTTCCCAACATTGTTTTATTTACAAAATCCTTCTTCTTCTCGTTAATTTTAATCATGGATGGGATTTCCTACTACACAATGAAGTAGAACATGTCAACATGTTATGCGTCATATCAGTGGCGTAGGCAGGGGGGGGAGGTTGGGGGGTCAGAACCCCCCCCCCCCCCACCCCCCATAGACCCCTCGGTAGATACATAAAGGTTGAGCGGGAGGTGCAAATCAAGAGTTTGAGGAGGGGGCCGGGGAGGGATGCTACGCCTCTGATATATACATTTATAATGCGGGAAAAAAATTAACCCCCCTCCCCATGAGAAGATCCTGGCTAAGCCACTGCGTCATATGGCTCGTAGACTGCAGCCTGCTTTTCTTTTTGGATTTCCTTCCATTGCTACATGGCATCAGTTGTTTGATTTTGGAGTTGTCTCTACTAGAAGAGTTGATGCCCCTGCCATCAAGCCTTACATGCCCGGAGTCACGAACTCGTGACACTACGGTTTAGCACCCATGAGCTTTACCGACTCGACCACACCGCCCTCTTCTTACTTTTCCGTAATTACTGCTCTCAATACATTTCTTTCTGCTGCTACCTATACTAATTTAATCACTGCTCTCGATAATCATCTACTTGCTACAACTTATTTACCTTCTACCGTTTAAAATCGTTGTATTTTTCATCATAACCTTAAGATTACTAGGTAGCGCTGTTAAAATGTTGAATCAAAAGTTACTTTTATCTAATTGTTTTTTTTTTCAAAAGACAGAACTGTTCTTGAAAAGAGTTCATAAAGTTTAAAACACCTTGCTTGCACCTCCACCCACCCTCCCCAGTTAAAAATAACTGAAAAAAAATGCGGTCATTGACACCTTGCGTCTTCCACTGATATTTCGATCTCGAAGTCATGTGATTTTTGTTTACATCTATAAATAACATTACAGCCTACGTAAAGACGTCAATGAAAGCGTAAACTTGTCTTCATGTCTTCCAGTTTCATTATCCGTTACTTATGTCTGTGTCCAATCAAGGTCACAACAGTTTAACTAAACAACATCCGGTTCAAAATATAAAACAAACAACATAAATGATACGACAAAAATACGACAACATGGTTAAAATACGAACATGAAAAATATTAATAAATGCAAATATTTAAAATAAAATAAGAATATGTAAAAATACGAAACATTAATTATATATATAAAAAAAAATATACACAAATAGGCCTATGCACATACTTAGTTACTTGCTAAACACAAACATGTGAACAAACGAACTTATGGAAATACAAACATGTGCAGAATACGAATATGTAAAACTCGTCTCATGTAAAAAAGGTGAAACAAAGCATCTAAACCTACAATGTACCCATGCATGTTGACTAACATACACATAATATTGTTTGTACACATTTCATCATGAGACCCATATTGTTTGGTTTCAACATGAGACCCATATTGTTTGGTTTCAACATGAGACCCATATTGTTTGGTTTCAACATGAGACCCATATTGTTTGGTTTCAACATGAGACCCATATTGTTTGGTTTCAACAAGAGACCCATATTGTTTGGTTTCAACATGAGACCCATATTGTTTGGTTTCAACATGAGACCCATATTGTTTGGTTTCAACATGAGACCCATATTGTTTGGTTTCAACATGAGACCCATATTGTTTGGTTTCAACATGAGACCCATATTGTTTGGTTTCAACATGAGACCCATATTGTTTGGTTTCAACATGAGACCCATATTGTTTGGTTTCAACATGAGACCCATATTTTTTGGTTTCAACATGAGACCCATATGGTTTGGTTTCAACATGAGACCCATATTGTTTGGTTTCAACATGAGACCCATATTGTTTGGTTTCAACATGAGACCCATATTGTTTGGTTTCAACATGGGACCCATATTGTTTGGTTTTAACATGAGACCCATATTGTTTGGTTTCAACATGAGACCCATATTGTTTGGTTTCAACATGAGACCCATATTGTTTGGTTTTAACATGAGACCCATATTGTTTGGTTTCAACATGAGACCCATATTGTTTGGTTTCAACATGAGACCCATATTGTTTGGTTTCAACATGAGACCCATATTGTTTGGTTTCAACATGAGACCCATATTGTTTGGTTTCAACATGAGACCCATATTGTTTGGTTTCAACATGGGACCCATATTGTTTGGTTTTAACATGAGACCCATATTGTTTGGTTTCAACATGAGACCCATATTGTTTGGTTTCAACATGAGACCCATATTGTTTGGTTTTAACATGAGACCCATATTGTTTGGTTTCAACATGAGACCCATATTGTTTGGTTTCAACATGAGACCCATATTGTTTGGTTTCAACATGAGACCCATATTGTTTGGTTTCAACATGGGACCCATATTGTTTGGTTTTAACATGAGACCCATATTGTTTGGTTTCAACATGAGACCCATATTGTTTGGTTTCAACATGAGACCCATATTGTTCATTTAAGTCTGCACTCTTTCTATGAGAGGCTCAGGATACTTCCTCAGCAGATACATTTAACTGCTGTTTTATTTACGATCGTCTCTATTCTGTTGAACAATAAGAAGTTTAAGGCCGGGGTGGGAAGGGTTAATGTGATCAAGGATCTACATGCATGGCAGCGAAATCCTTTCTTAGTCGTAAATTTCTCTGCAGAGAGTAAGTGTTTGTGTGGGGTGGGGGGGGGCAGCTTTAAAGGGGATTGCGTTTGAAACTACAACAATGTCTAAAGTAGATCACGTGGTGAAAACTTTTTTTTTTCTCTCTGCCAATTAAAAAGGAATACAGGTCGACGAACTAATTCGGTCAGTTAAGACATACTTTTTAAATCATTTAAGTTTGAAAGAAAAAAAAAACAACTTTAAAGCGGTAGTTAAGTTTCGCCTTCCTTTCTGCTCACATGACAGGCAGTCGAACAGTTTGGCAGATCTCAATGTGCAAGAACCTGAACGTTTAAAAGAGACATATCCCAACGATTAGTTACACATTTTCACAAGCTGAAATGGCTGTGTTTTTTCCATCTCATATGGTAAGTCTTGACATTTGTTTTCCCTCTAACTTAAAACTACGAGTTGTGCTTTAGATGTATCATTCATAACGATGGTACCCGTTGAGGAATATTGGCGTGAGAGCCCTGAAGATTCCGATAGGATGAAACCTACACGTCTACACGCCACACTGCTATACCCGCTCCTCGCCGTGAAATAAATTGAAGTACCCTAGGACAGGGGTCGGCAACCTTTTGAGACGGAAGAGCCAAAAGTTACAATTTTTAAAAAATGTCTATTTTTGAAAGAGCCACTAATATTTTTATTTCAATATTATGGTTTAGTATTAGGTAAATAAATTCGATTTATTTAAAACAAATAGCTTTAAATATGAAATAATATTTATTCAAATAAAAACAAACACATGTTTTGCCAGAATAATAAACTTAGTAATCAAATAATATATATAGGTCTATCCTAGGGGTTGGCAACCTTTTGATACGCAAGAGCCAACAAAAGTTACAATTTACAAACTTTCACAGTTTTTAAAGAGCCACAACATTTTTAGTTCAATATTTGGTATTTGATTAGGATTAGGTAAATAAAGTTGATTTGTTATTTAAAATAAATAGCTTAAAATATGAAATAATATTTATTCATTTAAAAACATACACATGTTTCGCCAGAATAGTAAAATTAGTAATCAAATAGTATTATTTTAGGACTATCTCAATCCACTTTAGAAGCTGTTTATTTTTATTTTATTTTTTCTTTACGGATATCACTGGCTCGGGAGGTGTCTCCCATTAGCCAGTCAGGCCTCAACACGGCAAACGCCGACTAACTGGCTTGGATATCATCGGTTTGAATAATTTGCATTGTTCGCTTCTATCCTTTGGTTCTCACCAGGCTTATCTTCCATCCCACTGCACGCAGAGTAAATTCGTACCCCACCGTCCAGTAAAAATGAAATTATATAACTATTAATATTTGTGCAATGAGCTGGAGAGCCGCATATGGACGTCAAAACAGCCGCATGCGGCTCGCGAGCCGCAGGTTTCCGACCCCTGCCCTAGGAAAAGGCGGTTGACGGGGGCAGGTGAAATAGAGTTCGCCTGTTATAGTAACCTCGGCATATGAACAATGTTTCCTCTACGCGGCCTCGCAGTAGTTTTGAGCTGCCGCGCAGTGATTTTGTTAAATACTTATATCCTTGTATAAGACTTTTAGAACTCTGCGCACACAAAATACACGTTGCACACTAACTTTTTTTCCCTTAGAGCGAACATTGCATATGAAGGGAAAGTTTAGTCAGTACTATGCCCAGTTACGAGAGCCAGGTACCCATAGGAGATGGTTAACTCGAGGCCGAGATCCAGTCAATATACTTGAAAAGTCACCAAGTTCAGATCCCCACTCTCCTGGGTCACCCTGTCCTGTTGGTTATATGGGGGGGGGAGGGTGATTTGGATCACCAAGTTCAGATCCCCACTCTCCTGGGTCACCCTGTCCTGTTGGTTATATGGGGGGGGGGGGTGGGGGGAGGGTGATTTGGATCACCAAGTTCAGACCCCCGCCTTCCTGGGTCATCCTGTCCTGTTGGTTATAAAGGTGGGGGGGGGGGGGGGGTGAATGGATCACCAAGTTCAGACCCCCGCCTTCCTGGGTCATCCTGTCCTGTTGGTTATAAGAGGGGGGGGGGGGTGAATGGATCACCAAGTTCAGACCCCCGCCTTCCTGGGTCATCCTGTCCTGTTGGTTATAAAGGTGGGGGGGGGGGGGGGGGGTGAATGGATCACCAAGTTCAGACCCCCGCCTTCCTGGGTCATCCTGTCCTGTTGGTTATAAGAGGGGGGGGGGGTGGGGGGGGTGAATGGATCATCAAGTTCAGACCCCCGCCTTCCTGGGTCATCCTGTCCTGTTGGTTATAAGAGGGGGGGGGGGAGGGTGAATGGATCACCAAGTTCAGACCCCCGCCTTCCTGGGTCATCCTGTCCTGTTGGTTATAAGAGGGGGGGGGGGGGTGAATGGATCACCAAGTTCAGACCCCCGCCTTCCTGGGTCATCCTGTCCTGTTGGTTATAAAGGTGGGGGGGGGGGGGGGGGTGAATGGATCATCAAGTTCAGACCCCCGCCTTCCTGGGTCATCCTGTCCTGTTGGTTATAAAGAGGGGGAGGGTGAATGGATCACCAAGTTCAGACCCCCGCCTTCCTGGGTCATCCTGTCCTATTGGTTATAAGAGAGGGGGTGGGGGGAGGGTGATTTGGATCACCAAGTTCAGACCCCCGCCTTCCTGGGTCATCCTGTCCTATTGGTTATAAGAGAGGGGGTGGGGGGAGGGTGATTTGGATCACCAAGTTCAGACCCCCGCCTTCCTGGGTCATCCTGTCCTATTGATTACTGAAGTTTAACCTGTGCTTGAGGTGTCAGCCTCGAGTTTGTGTAGACCTGTTTTATGAGGGTGACCTATTTTCTACTGTCAATGGGTTTTATTTTACTATCAGTGCCGACGTCAGGACATGACTTGATAGTGTATCCCATAGTTCCCCCAACTTTGCACCTCTGTGTTTTCTTTCTATCAAGGCGTAAACAGGTCATTTGCATTGCAGCAAATCTAGAATTTCATTCTAACGACTGTTATTTGAGGGTGTTCAATAAAAATTATGCTGCTAATTTTCATCCCTCGTATTCTCTAAATAAATATATGTTATCGCAAAAATTGTTTGGTTAAACCGATCCTAGCTTTCGGCATCAAATGGCGTGGAAGAGTTGGATAGAGGATTGGTGTAGTCACCAGGTTAGTGGCGTAGCGACCCATCCCGGCGCCCGGGGACAAACTTTAAATTTTCAATTTGCACCCCCCCCGTCTCACACTTTTAATTTGCATCCCCCCATATACTTTTTATTTTTATCATGCAAAAATGAAGCTAAAATGAGATTTTAATTTCTGTTTCCAACCCATTTTGGCGCCCCCTAAGGTCGGCGTCCGGGGACATATGTACCCCCCCCCCCTCGCTTCGCCTCTGCACCAGGTCAGAGAAGTATCCACGTTGTCGGTGTAAGGGGGGGGGGGCGACAAGAAGGCGCCGAGTTTATAACACAACTTCTTCGTTCTTATTTTTTAGTGTTGGAAGAGATTCGCTCCAACACAATTAAGTACACGTGTCAACTAGTTATGCGCCATCGAGGCAGCAGTTGTTTGATTTTGGAGTGGCTTTCATCAGCTAACGAGCCTTGTCTGCCCGATGACTTTTTGCTTTGGCAACCATGAGCTTTACCGACTCGACCACGCCGACACCATATATGTATGTATATACATACATATATAGTTTGAAAATCTAAATCTTTCTCTGCCTAACGAGATTTGTAATTTAAAGTTAGAGAATACGAGACTTACACGCCCTTTTAAAAATCAATATTGCACGGGTTTTTTTTTAAGGCCGCGTCATGCGCTGTAGCGATTTCTAAATCAATATGAAAATTAGATTATCATCTGAAATGTTCGAAATTAAAGTATTTAAATTGAATGCAATAATTATCTCATTATATTATCAGAGGCGTAGCTAGGGGAGGGTGTGTGGGTCTCCAAACGAAGTAGAAAATATTAATAATATAACAAGTTCATTACTGATATATTTAAAATCCAAGTAAAGAATATAGACTGCTAATCTTCTACTTGGCATTACGGACTGATTTAATTGTGTGACACGAAAACAAAGAGGCAAAAAGACTGGTAAAAAGCGCCTCGACCTTTCCAAATGAAGGGGTGGGGGAACTTTTTCACCAACGCGAATAACTATGCACAGGCCTAATTTGGGAGGGGGTGGGGGTGGTGAAAAATTGATAGTTCCACCTTAAAAACTCCAGGCCGGGGCTACCCCAAGCCGTCTTTCAGCACCAGCCCGAACGATGACTCAGAGCAAGACCTCCTCCTAAGGCCTGTAAGTGTAAAACAGAATGCTAGTGCCAAGGTAGTAGTTGACAATTACAATCACTATTGTAGATTTTGTTTAGTTAGATCTTAGACAAATCTAACTACTGGTTCACTCAAAGTTCAGAGTTATCATTTCATCTTTCTCTGTCGTATGTTTTCATGTTCCAGTCAAAAGTTGAAACATACAGCAACATTACCATTCACAAAATTAAGGATGTTAATAAACACGGGTGACTCTACTTATTCAAGCATTGTTATGATCTCTATCTTGCTTCAATCCTTAGAAAATTGGCCATTATGTTTCAGCAGCTTGCAACAAAGCTTGTAAATTAGCTTTCAAAAACATTTTTCTCATTGGTTTGAATTGGCAGCATTTTTATAACGGTTTATAGACTGCTAATATAAGTCAAAATGTTCAGCATATGCAGAAATAATAATCATTAAAAAAGTTTAAAAAAACCCACGTTTTCTGATTGAACTAAAAAGTAGAAAATAAATACTATACATCACAATAATGCAAGCGATCACTCTACTATAAGCTATCAAAAACGTGGGTCGCCGAAGTAAGTTATATTACTATTGATTAGATAATACTATTGACTTTTATTAGGGAGCTTGTAGAGAGTCAACAGTATTAGAAACTGTAAGAAAATCACGGCGCCCCACGTTTTTGATAGCTTATAGTAGAGTGATCGCTTGCATTATTGTGATGTATAGTATTTATTTTTTACTTTTTAGTTCAATCAGAAAACGTGGGTTTTTTAAAACTTTTTTAATGATTATTATTTTCTACTTTTTAGTGTTTGTCTGTTTGTTTGCATGTAAATCTTGCTATCGATTTTATCTTTTCACTTTTTTTTTGGACAACTCGTAAAAAGACAACTCGTAAAAAGACAACTCGTAAAAAACACGTTGTGTGAATACGTTACTGACTAGAACATATAGATTTGAACCCGTGTCGAGTGGGATAGCAATCGTGTGCCCAACCACTCGACCATGTCGTCTCCCCCATACTGGCCACCAGTTGTTACGTTATGGTTGTTTGTACACAAACACAGCGTGACAACTACTCAGTAAGCAAAAAGAGGGGGAGTGCCGAACCTTGTTTTCATCAAATTACAGTTACTGGGTAATGTCCCTTTTCCCCCACGTTTTTTGGTACAATTATATAGCGGTCTAAAATGATCAATAAAATGTTTCCATGGATTAATTTAGTAATAAAAACAATAGAATATTCAATTGTCATCCAAAACAAAGCTTCCCTGAAAATTTCAGCGCGCTAGCTAACTGGGAAGTGCCAGAAATTTCGATCGCAAGATTGGATTGGAAAGACAAACAAACACACAGAGAAAGCAAGTTAAAGAAAACGTGGGAAAATAGAAAACAATCAGAATTCTGTAACATATTATATAATAATTTTACTACCTCCTTTCCATTGAATGATTAAATATACAAGACTTTATAGCGCGGATACATTTTTACTAGGCTTAAAATTTTAAATGACATTTTTTTGTCTTAACCCTGTTTTGTTGAACTTTCAGAATTATAGTAAATGGCCTCACACCCTGCTCAGCATGAGTGTAAAAAAAAACGCAATGGTTTTATTTCTGTTTTTGGCTTTTCTGCCTACAGCAACCAAATCTGGTAATTTTTTTAAAAACATTGTTGTTTTTGTGTTGATTCTTATAACTTGATTTCATTGGAACGTAAACATTACTGTAAGTGGACCTTTGACCACAGGTACTTTGACCATAATGGGGATTTAACCACACTTTTTTTTCTATTGATAGTCTTTAATCAAAGGTGGTTTGTCCACAGTGGTATTTGTACATATATGCTTTGTTCATACTGGGTAATTATTAACTTAACAAGGGATAAAAAGTTGCCTAATTATATTTTGAGATGAAGCATGATTTAATAATATGATTATTGATAATGTATAAATACAACTCATTTACACCACGCTAGTCAAAATGCTGCTGCAGTAGTGAAAATCAAAGCTTGATGCAAATATGTTTAATCCGGTTATCGGAAATCGTCCAAAATTGATACGGATCTACGATTTTTATATAATATATATGAAATTTCATCAACCTAGCTGTAACAGTACTCAAGTTATCGTGTTTAAAGAAACACACACAGACACACACACATACACACACAGACATACGAACAAGATTGTAAAACTATGCTTTTCGTCTCAGGGATGAGTAAAACGTCGAGATTTGCAAAAATCTCAATTTTTTTCACGATTACAAGACTTTATCTATACTTCGTATATACGATCAAGTAAAAAGGGGCGATCTATGTATTAAAATATATATTTTGTTGTCTTATGTTGTATTTGAATTTATTTAATATTTTAATTATACTATTATAAAGCTTACCTCTCCCGTAACCCATCTTCCATTAATTCATACCCCCCTTCTCATTTTATTCCATGCATCCATTCATTTATTCCATACATACTTACATCTTATCCACTTTATTTATCCATCTATACACATCCATCCATCCATCCATCCATCCATCCATCTACACACACACGTTGATCTACTCATTCACTTTCTAATCCATCCATCATCTCTCCCTCCACTCACTATTTCATCCCGCCCTCTATCGATTAATCCATCCAACAATTCCTCCATCAATCCCTTTCACTATTATTACCTCTCTGCCAGCCACTCGATTTATTCCTTACTCTCTCTTCCCCACACCCTCCCTCCTTCCTGCTCACTGCCTCCTTACCAAACCCTCCCTCTTTCCACTCCATCCAATTCATCTACGCTGTTTGTATGTCTATCTACCTATCTAACTATTTAAAACAGGACGAATAGACTAATAAATCAGATGTTCTTTCATAATAAATGTATAGCATTTCACTGGGTTTTTAATGCAAATGTTTGTTTTTCATTCGGCTGCAGATTGGGTATTTACAGAGACTAAGTGTTTCACAAGGCAAAATAGCAAAGGATCCACATTTGTCACATGTTAGTAGTTTTTACCTATAGTATGTTGCGCAGTTCTGCCCTTTTACTCAAACCTTTTTTAAATTGTTTTCATTTCTTCTCTTTGAGGACAATATTTAAGCAAATTATCTCCTCCTGAATTGAAACATTTTTATAAAATAAAAATAAAATCCCATTACCTTGTTACCAAAAATAACCATTAATTGAATAGTTTTGCATTTTTTATCAGCAACAGTTACAGTGGAATACCTGTGCCAAGTTATTTTATACACAAAATATATTGTGGCTAATGAATGCCTAATCAATTTAGTAAGAAAGCTTTCATTGTTTTTTTAATGATTTTATTGTTTAATTGCTTCAATTAAAAATTCAGAAACTTTTTAAGTTGATCACTATTTGTACATATACCTATTAACCTTTCCTAAAAAAGAGGAATTATATTAGTAACTAACTTTATAACCTTTAAATACTAAATCAAGTATTTATGTAAACATTTATCAGCTCATAATTGTAATCGTAGCAATTTCTTTAAACTTTAGATTACATCCTCATTCTCCGAAAGAGATTTTGCGAACTTAAATAGCAACTCTTTTAGCGAACAGTATTCTAGGTGAGTTTGCAATCTTTAGTGTATGATAATATGATATGATTTATTGTCTACAGGTAAAGAACAAGATACTTTACAAACTAAGTCCCTTGTGTCTAATTCCGATCAGTCATTTGCTCTATTTAAAAACTTTTTTTTTAAAATATTCAATTATGGCTGTACCGGTGGAGAATGGGACTTAATGTGAGTCAGAGCTTATGTTATCAAAGATGCTCTATGGACATGAACCCTGGATTCGAACTTGAGACTTTTGGGTTTACAGTCGTATGCTCTACCATCCTACTACACCATCTCACATTATAGGACTTGGAATTGATTTAAAGGACTGACTTGCATTTTCAAGTATACTTTTGAAAAATGCATTGACAGATCCTGGTATGAGCTATTATGCTTGTATAATATTCAAACTATGTTTAGAATAGGCTGCCATAGCTTTAGAACATTTTTTTTCTAATGTTAGTTTTAGGGAACAATGCAGCGATGGCTTTTGAGCAATGTTACTAGTAATGTTCATAATCATCAACTAGATTTAACTCCACCATATAGCGCAAACATATTTTTTCCCTATAAGCTCAATACATGTAATTTTCAAAAGAGAAAAAAATGTTTGTATAATTATTGAATTTATAATATTGTATCATCTTTAAGGGATGCTTTTGAGATAGTTTACGTCAAGTTTCATACAACTGAACAGGACAATACCATCCTTGCCGAGAACCTGATCACAGCAGCAGTAGAAAAAGTCTCAAAGCTCTGCATTTCTGGTAAAGGCAAACTTATTTTAATGTTGTTAAATCATAGCCTACTATTTTTATCCTAAAAATGTTTGTTTCATTTTACTCTAGAAAGAGATGGCATCTCATTAAAAAACCATTATTAAAAAAAATTCATTGTGGTATAAAGTGTGAATAAAGTAAATTCAGTACAGTTCCCTTTCCAATCTTACACTCCATGAGTCAGGTGAAGTAGAGTTCGAAGATTTTAAAGTGGCATTGGGGTGTCCTACTGACTCGGAGATGTTCTGACTTTATTTTGTACTTTGGCACAGAATATATATGTAACATTTTCAGTATAAATCTGCATTCTTTAACCTACATTCTAATAAATTTTTATTGCGAGCAATGATTCAACTTCTATTGCTTCTCATGAACTCTTTTGAGAAATATGATGAAAAAAAATTTCCGAAAAAAAATGTAAAGCTACAATAGAAATTTAAAATGCAACCTAAAATTTTACTGCATTTTCAGATCGTTCCACCCCTTCACCGTTTGTCGAAACTGCAGGTAAAATTTAAAAAAATAATTGTGTGGTTGTTTTTATTGCCTGTTTCTTTATTTGTTTCAAAGTAATATATAAATAAAAAAATAAAAAAAGCATTTTCAAAGTTCTTTAACTCATAAAACAAGATTAAGTTAAGCTGTTGTTTGTTTAGTTTTTTTTAGAATTAAGAAGCCTAAAATACATTGCACAGTTCTTTATGTGCACAACTCAGAAAATTTTCCATAAATTAATCGGCCTGTACTAGAATTTAGACTAGAAATTATGGAAGTTATGCAGTTTATTTTTTCATTGTTGATAGAATTTGATGGTTTAATGTTTTTTTCCATAAAGTTTGTATTATATTTATATTTTATTGTTTATTTTTAGAAAAGGATGTTGTGCCAGCAATTCTCTGGAGTGTATTTGGTAGTGCTTTTGTGTACGTGGCCATCTCTGTTGGGGTTGTGATGCTGTATAGAAAAATGAGAGCAGCAAGAAGAACGAAAGGTAAATCAACACACGCTGAGGACAATAATTTGTTGAGATTTTTAAAATTATTTGTTAGTCATGAAAACTTTCCATTGTATTTTTAAAATACAACGGAACGTTTTCAAGAAAGTTTTTCAGTTTTTTATTACCTTAAGAATTACTTAAAGATAGAGCTTAAGTTCACTGTAAAATATTTTAATTAAAATAATTGTATTAAAAATGTGTTTGCACTGTGTGACCATTATCAGAAAGTTTCAATTAAACATCAGTGGACCCCACGTTATTTGAAGAAAATTGCAATAACTGAAGATATTCTTTGTAACACTCGATTATAGTTAACATGATATTTTACTTGTTTCCCTCACAAAGGCCTACTCTTTTAATTTAAAGATTTCATGTTTTTATAGAGGCACAAGAAATCCAATCGGGAAATGAAGAAAATATTAATCCCTATTCGGAAATCAGCCCAGATGTTGAGGCTATAGCCGAAGGAACCAGTCAAAGAACAGAAGAAGATGACGAAGGACAGAAATCACAAATGAATAAAACGGTGACATTTGTTGATTCAACAGTTGTGTATGAAAATGAAGTGCAAGAATGGGAAGAAAACTATGTATAAAAGTAACTCCTTTAAAAAAGACACAAAGTTTACGGGAATAAATAACATTTTAAAGGTTTAATAATTTGTCAAAATTGATTTAGTGAGTGAAAAGTTAATTTATTTTTTAATCAGTGGATATTTTTAGTGGGGTTCTGTTACAAACATATGTAAACCAAAATGAATATAACTCAGTGAAAAGACTAAACTACGTCAATAAACATTGTATGAACTCATGATAGAAAACTGTTTTTTATGTTTCTTCTAAGGTAATTTAACGAAATAAGATACTATTATGTAGTGATACATAGTTAATAAAAATATTCAATTTCAATTGCTAAACTGTGTAGTAAATTTAAAAACTTCTTTGTTTAGTAAAATTTGTAAATTTGAAACACTATAAAAACACTCAAATCAATATTTCATTTTAATTGTAAAATTTGAAAAAAAATCTTTATTTCATAAATGTCAATAGTATGTGAATAAAATAATATGAGGTATGCCTTATTGTTAACGAACTGCACAAATTAATATATCATTTATAGAATAATATGTATCACTATAAAATGACGAAAAAACGTTTATACCAATTTTAAAACAAGTGTATGAGTATGATTAACTGGCAAGAATGATTTTAATTCATTTATGTAGCCGGTGTAATGACTATTTCTGCAGAAGATCCTTGTAGAAAAACATAAATCAAGTTCTGGTTTAACTAGTTTCCTTAAATTAATATTAATTTACAATGGCATGTCATTTGTAAATCTCTAAATACAATTCATTTTAACAAACCAAAGAGGATATTACAGACTGTTGCAGGTATTCAACATTAAAAGTTAGTATGTTTCAGCATAAGAGATTAACTACTCGTGAATTTTAAATGATTCGGATAATATAAGAATTAACATATTTGTTTTGTATATCTATATGATTAGAAATGCACGCATAAATTATCACTTATCTGTTTAAATAGTGTGTGCTTATACTTAAATAATAGTTATATGGTTTAATTGCTTAAATTGAAGTATGAAGTGGTGTTAATATTTTAACAATATGACAATTCGATAGATGGACAAAAATAGTTTTAATTGACATTTCTAAACGGTAGATGGGAAAGAGTAATATTGTTTAATATTGAGCAGAGAGAAGACCCGCTACATGAAGACTCGACTTGTTATCCCACATTTTGTTGGATTTCTAGTATTGAGTTTCAGTATTCCTACCGAGGTAATGTCAGTAAATTCATGATGAGATATGACAAATTTAGATATAAAGGGAACTAACTCAAAAGAAATATTTTGTTTCTTTCTTTACGTAAGTATTTCTCCGATGCGGCTTTTGTTATTAGATTAAAGGACAGCATGAATTATATTTATTGTTAATATTATGATTAGTTTTATAGCAAGGTTTGGGATAGTGGTGGCTTTATCATAAAAAAATTAGAGTAACAACAAGAAATACAATCATGTAGGCCTACATCGTTTCGAACAGTGGCGTAGAAGAATGTTCAGTTTTGCTAATCTTTCATATTGATTAATTTTAATGAAAATATGGAATCAAGTTTAGATCCGAAAGATTGAATGACTTTTTAGGCTTGAAATTTTATTCTAGATAAAAAGCATAGATATTTTGTGTTATTGTATATCAATCAACACTTTGATCTTTAATGTATTTATTTTTAAATTTAGACGATGTTGTTCCGCCAATAATATTATTCTTAAAAAGTAAAGAATCTTCAAATTAAAACAAAACTTTAGGAAAAAATGCAAAGAAGATGAATGCCTTTATGGGAATCCACAAGCACAAAATGCCAGTACAACCAACATCATTTCCAGTAGAAGATCTGTGTGGAAAAATATAAATTAAGTGAGTTGTCCACCCATCGTTACATTTTTAAAATGATTCTGACAAGCAAAAGCGCAAATCGAAATTCCCCCAGTGATTAAAGAAAAAAAATGTCTTTCATAACTGCATGATGTTACAAGCCTTTCGTTAATTTAAAAAAAAATGAAATTACATAACAATTAACTTCTCATGTTATCAATTAACTTATCTTGGTTTACGAAATTGATAACAGACATTTGGTAAATTTTGTTATTCAATGAACACAATGTTAGTGAGAACTAAATATGTAGCGAAGGAGTGTCTATATTGACGGTAGTCAGAGTGTCTTACGAAATAAAACTGCACGTCCAATAATAACTAAACATTCTATATTTAGTGAAACCACGCTAAAATACAAAAACGCATATAATTTTGATGCTAATTTGAAAAACATTTTGTTACCTTTTATTCAATGTTCGTCGCATATCTCTATTATTATTTGATGAAATAATGAAAGCTAGTTATTGTGTGTATACGATGTGTCTCTGGTGATAAAGAGAAGGAACTTGATACAGGAGCAGCATATGACTTTTCTCAACTCATTGCCAAGGTTTTGCGTCTTAAAGAAGACAATCCAGCATTGCTGTCTAAGCTCCGGCAAAGCACGGATTGTGGCAGTAACTGGTGCTAAGTAAGTGGCGTAAAGGTGGAGATACGGGTTGCCTTTGACGTTTTAATATCTCATTGACGTCTACTGCCAGCGTCAAGCTCGGCAGCCTTAAGGCTAGCGAGTTCTTCCAGGAAGATTGTAACTCTAGCACGCAGGTAAAAACAATTTAAATACCCTCACTGGGTACCAGTAGAAATATCAACACCGGTTACTATTACAATCATCACCGGGTACTATTACAATCATCACTGGGTACTATTACAATCATCACCGGGTACTATTACAATCATCACCGGGTACTATTACAATCACCACTGGGTACTCTCAGAACAGGGGTCATCCATTTATGACGTCCACTTTTGACGGACCCCACTCCTCCGAAGACGTACACAATGACTAGAAGTTCTCGAACTACTGCATTAAGTGTGTATATACTCTGTGTGTATATAATATTACAAATACCGGTAAAAATAGGTTTTATTAATCTTCGTGTCTAGATTTACAATGAAATGTGTTTACAAAAATTAATGATAAAAGCTTGTTGTATTGTAATAGTTTTCACTTTGAATGAAACCAATACAGATCCATTTTTTTGCTAGGTTTTAAAAATTGTAATAAATTTTAAGTATTTTTGATTAATTAAAAAGAATATATTTATAGAAAAGTATATTATATTTTTTAATTTAAATATTTACAAAATAAACGGTCACGTGTATCAATTTCTGATACTTTTTTTTAAAATATGGAGGAAATAATGCCCAACATTACACAAGTCACTTGAAAGTCACACATAGAAAAAATAAGCAACAGTCTTACAAAACGGCAGCGGCTAGCCCTAGAATAAAAATTACTTTTAAATCGATTCTTTGATAATAACATAATAAATAATTTTAAATTCAAATAAGACAACGTATAGCTGATCATTTAAAGAATAAATTGAAATCAAAATTGGATTTTACAATGTATTTACAAGAAATGTTTTTTTTTCTTTTTTTGTAGTGTTGAACAATTAATTGTATTACTTTACACGGCTTTTATTTTCAGTCTACTAAACTAATGGACGTCCACATTTGGCCACTCCCCTCCCCGTGTCCACACGCATTCGCAAAAGTCATTTTTTTTCGTATCCCCCACCCTCTATGTGGACGTCATAAATGGATGACCCCACATTATCTCTGGTACCATTATAATCATCACTGTGTACCATCAGAACAGCATCTCTGGGTACCACAAAGAATTAGAACATGGAATCTAAGTATGGAACGTACGTACTATGAAATGACTGATTATCGACATGCTATAGATAACAAGCAACATAAATTCCATGGTAACCTGCAATAACATTTCAAGGCTGAACATCGCTGCAATACAAAAATCACGATTAAAAAAAGTCTGGTCTGTGTAATAGAGAATGAATGTAGGCCTAAATTATTTTGGCTAGGAAAAATAACTGCAGAATTTCGATAATTTTGTGGGCTGCGCATTCAAAAATTCCCTGTTATGGAACTGTGCTTTGCTATTGCTTCGCCTAATCACAAGTCCGGGTAACTTGATTATCTCATACTCTCCGACGCTCTACGGTGACAATGAGACCAGTGATGCTTTCTACTGTCTACTTCCTAGGAAAGTTGGGAATAGCCAAAGTAGAAGAGAACAGACGAAGACTTCTCAAGTCTTGCACATATTAAAACACCAGCATCACCAACTCCTGTTGTTTCCAGACAAGCGACATCAGCATGTATCAAGGCACAGGCATCAAGTTGAGTTAATAATTACCACCACAAACATCTTTCAACTGCGTAGGGCTCACACGAACCTTTCAAAGTACAGCATTCGATATTGACTCCTCATTGGATTGTCTGCAACATTAAACTAAGACCAAAGGAGATCGGTTTCTCAATACTTACCCGGTGACATGGACCTAGATTTGCTAGTAGATCTAGAGCTAGAATACGTTACGTTGACAATGTGGCCACGCTCTGTAGAAAACACAATGGAAGGCTCCTTTAAAGTGACTATATTTTCTGTGTCTTATAAGAAAAAATTATAATCACTTTTGTTTTATTCAGCTGTTTACTTATTTTTATTTTTTTTTATTTTTTTTAAATACTTTTATTTGCAATTAAAACAAGTACATCAACATCAAAGTTTTTAACATAATTTTGAACATCAAATGAAAACGAAAGGTTTTGCAAATGTACATAATGAATATTTACATGATGTCATGTATTTGATTATAAAAAAATTGCAAAGGATGACAGTAAAAGGGGTGAAGGTCAAATGAAAGTGTCAGAAGTCTGGGTGGGGAGAGGAAAGGAAATTTTTCAGAGAGGGTCAATGGGACTGTGAAGCATTTTCTATGTAGGGAAACAACTTAAGTTGACTAGTTGAAAGGGTGTTGTAGTGGTCGCATTGAGTTTTCAAAAGGCTGCTGTGTGAAAGATGAGGGGAAAGAGACAAGATTTAGAACTTTAAATAAGTTCTGGATATTGATGTTGCGGTGGGTGGTGGGGTCGTTGGAACAGTTAAAGGGATTGTGGGGTTATCATGTCTGAGGGTAAAGTGGATAGAGGGGGAGAGAGGAGGGGGTAGATTTTTTTTTTATTCAGCTGTTTATGAACAAAAATCTTCCTATTTAAAAAAAAAAACTAAATAAATGTAAGTGTATTTAAAGTATTATTATGTGTATTTCGGACTTCTATACTGGCAAAGCGGCTCATGTTTCAATAGCATTAGAAGAAAAAAAAAGATGATGAAACGGGTAAAAAATGCATACAGTATTTGCTAAGTTTAACACGTACAATATTTAATACATCGAATAATTCAACTATTTCATAAATTAAATACAAAAATATAAGCGTGAAATAAAAATAAGCTGACAGTGAGTTCCCCTAAACTAATAAACCGGGAGTGATCTCCCCTAGACTTTCTCGAATATTTTTATATAACTTGGAATATAGACATGATTTTTAATTACTTAAACTTTTAAAAATAGAATAGAATCTCATAGAAAAAAGAATTGCTCACCAAACGAACGCCAAAACAAAATGTGAATAATAGTGCGTTATATTATTAGTACTTTATAAATTTACATGCGTTTTTTGAGAAATCGGAAATAGCGTAAATTAGTACTTCTGGTACACGGAAATTACTCAAAATTTGACAGAAGGTAGAAATTTCATTTATCTATCCTAAATAGTACTCAAGTTATAGACTTTTGAAGAATTCAAAGGAGAAAAAGAACGGTTTTCGTTTATCGGAAATCGCTCAAAAGTTGATATGGATCTACGATTTTGATAAAATACTTATATATGAAATTTCATCAATCTAGCTGTAAAGGTACTCAAGTGATCGTGTTTACACACAGACAGACACACACACACACAAACACACGGACATACGGACAAGATTGCAAAATTATGTTTTTCCGTATCAGTGAGGTGTAAAACGTCAAAAAATCTCGATTTTGTTTTTCTGCATGATTACAAGACTTTCTCTATACTTCGTATATACGAGAAAGTAAAAAAGTAAAAGTTGGTTATGATACTTCCAGGGGAATCGGACAAGAGTGATGTTAGGTAGGTTTGTGCACATTTACAGTAAATCTAGTCGCAGACTTTACAAATATGTAAACCTTTCATGTCCTTAGATAAAGGCCAGCCACAAAGATCACACACATCGTGAAAATCATCCATAGCTTATACTTTTTCGTTCTTATTTGCAATGTTGGAAGTGATTTCCTCAACCACAATTAAATATTACTTCGCAACTTGTTTTGCACCTTGTAGGCCGTTGACTTCGATTTCTGCCTAATATTCGTTCTGAATTTTACTTTATAAACTTTGCTTCTCCCAGATATTGAAGTTTTCTCTCCTAGATGGGCTGCTGCCTCCACCTATCAAGCTTCACCAGCAAAGGGTTCGATGTCGGGGCTTTACGGTTCAACAAAAATGAGCTTTACCGATCCGGCAACGTCAGCCTATAGCCTAAATTTTAAAGCTAAACCTCAACCTTCAAGACAAAAATCGAGTTCCCAAAGTAAAAGCGTATCCAAATCCTAAGCCGACATCGTTCTAGTAGACATAAAGCGTAAACCGTTCATGAATTCAATTTTTTATTCGTTTGCGCCCAAGACACAGGGAATAGATAAAGTAGAGTTCATCTGTTCGTCTGTTTCAGTGGCTTTGGCATTAGAAGGGAAAGTGCTACCAGCACTATGCACAGCCGCCTTGATTTTCCCCAATGTGAGTTAGGTACCCATTAGAGTTGGGTGGACCCACGGACATTCTACGAACTTGAATCCGGACTCGAACTTGAGACCTCCGGGTTTACAGTCTAGCCGTTTTCTTATTAATCATTTTTAAAACCAGTCGGCTAATTAGAAATGTAGGGATAATATACTAATCTGAAGTACTACGATGAAATATGGTAATTGTTCACTTGTGTGACGTTTCTGCACACTACCTCTTCCTATTGTAACTTCAGATGGTGAATTTAAAAAAGATGGCCATGTCCTATCGTTATCTCAGATGGTGAATTGTCAATTGTGGCATCGTCCTATCGTTATCTCAGATGGTGAATTGTCAATTGTGGCATCGTCCTATCGTTATCACAGATGGTGAATTGTCAATTGTGGCATCGTCCTATCGTTATCTCAGATGGTGAATTGTCAATTGTGGCATCGTCCTATCGTTATCTCAGATGGTGAATTGTCAATTGTGGCATCGTCCTATCGTTATCTCAGATGGTGAATTGTCAATTGTGGCATCGTCCTATCGTTATCTCAGATGGTGAAGTGTCAATTGTGGCATCGTCCTATCGTTATCTCAGATGGTGAATTGTCAATTGTGGCATCGTCCTATCGTTATCTCAGATGGTGAATTGTCAATTGTGGCATCGTCCTATCGTTATCTCAGATGGTGAATTGTCAATTGTGGCATCGTCCTATCGTTATCTCAGATGGTGTTAAGTGTAAATTAGTGCCTCGTCCTGTCGTAACTTCAGATGGTTTCAAGTGAAAATTGTGGCCTTTCCTAACGCCTCAGCGTGTTGCTGAGCTGTAAGTTCATGTTCATAAAAGTATAGAGTTTATAATGGGTAAAAAATATTGATGTGATATTCCCTGGACTTTCTCGTACAATATATTTTCAAATTGAATCGCGATGAAAATGAATTGTGCCCCAACTGAAGTTAAATAAACCGGGAGTGATCTCCCTAAACTTTCTCGAATATTCTTATATAAAACAACATGGGATGGCAACTCGGGATATAGACATGATTTTTAATAAATTTTTAATTACTAAACGTTTTGAAATGGACGCGAGTGAGATAGTATTTGAGAGGCTCAGTAAAAAAAAATTGAAAATCATACACGGCGTAGTTACAATTTAAATGGTTATAAAATCCTGTCTATCTGGTTTTTTTCGGACATTACTAAAGATTGGATGTATTTGATGTTTTTAATATTTTGGGTAAATAAATAAAAATGTAAAAAAAGCAAAAACAAATTCGTTTCCACGTGTAATGGCGACATAAATAATGGCATCCTACTATTTGATAGGCTGCCATACATTTTATTGTACACCTTGTAAGCTAAATAAACCGGAAGTGATCTTCCCTGAACTTTCTCGAATATTCTTATATAAAAAATAGGGGATGGCAACTCGGGATATAGACGTTATTTTTAATCCACTTTTTATTACTTAAACTTTTAAAAATAGAATAGAATCTCGTAGAAAAAACAAAACACACCAGGTAAATGCAAAACAAAATGTGTGTAACAGTGCGAAATATTATTAGTATTTTATAAATTCACAAACATATTTTGAAAAATTGGAAATAGCAAAAAATACTACTTCCGGTCAACAGAAGTTACTCAAAATTTGCCAGAAGGCATATACTTAGATTTTTTTACTTACGTGTGAAATTACATTTATTTTCCTGAATTAGTACTCAAGTTATAGGCTTTTAAAATAATTCAGTAGAAACATTTTTACTTCCGGTTATAGGAAATAGATCAAAAGTTGATACGGATCTACGATTTTAATATAATACTTATATATGATATTTCCTCAACCTAGCTGTAACGATACTCAAGTTATCGTGTTTACAGACACACACACACATACACACACACACACATACAGACATACGAACAAGATTGCAAATATATATTTTTTTCTAACTAGGGAGGTTTGAAACGTCGAGATCTGCAAAATTCTCGACTTTTTTGTGCACGATTACAAGACTCTCTATACTTTGTATAGAAGAAAGTAAAAAGGTGTATAATAGAGCGGAACATTAGTGTTGTTTAAATAAAATTTAATTCCTTTTTAAAAAAGTTAATTAAACATCTAATTCGGTAATATTCAATTGTCACAGTGCATTGTCATCTAGCTTCAGCTACTTGAAAAGTTTGAAAGAAATCCGGTAGAAATCAGGTTAACTGTCTGGCTATCCACTGTCCCACGTATTAATGATGGTAGTCAGAAGATCTGCTCTTGTGTGTCTTTGTTTCTACAATTTAATGTTGTCAAAACTGTTAAAAAAATTGTAACTTTGACTTACCCATAAGATCGGGAATGAATAAAGTGTTGTTTTTCTCAAATGGAGCTCTGTCTGCAAAAGTATTCGGGTTCGGAGCTGGATCGAAGATGAATCGCAAGGCCATATCTTTCCTCTCAAAAAACGGGTGGGTAATTTGAGCCAGCCACTGCATCGGAATAGTGTTATTACACCAGCATGGGATATATTTGCTCATTAACCTATTTTCGCATCCGACTTTAAGCTGTAGTTTAAAACTACAGAACTGCGAAAATATTTTAAATTTAGACAGTGCATCATTTTTTAGTCATGCAACTCTATGGTAAATAAATTTAAAGTACTGAAAAGAAATTGCATACAAAACGTTTTAATAATAAGCTTTTATGTAATAATGCACATAAAAAGAGAAAATAAATGATTTTCTTAAAATATATAATAATAAACTACAATTTTAAGAACTATAAAGAAAAGCGTCTTTGTCTTATGGATACAAGATTTGTGGTTTTTCATGGGAATCAAAATTTAATGATGTATTTGAAACTTTTGGTTATAGTGTGTTGAAAGTTATTTACATTATAGAAAGATTGGAAATTAGAAAATTGCGGTTTAGTTTAGTTACGTACTAAGGCTACATTTTCAATGAGTTAAAATCATTTTTAAAAAACAAGAGTGATATCCCCTAAAATTTCTCGTTTATTGAATTGTTTAAGTGGATAAGCTCAATTCAAAATCACTAAATTACTGATACTTTGTCCAATTTTTTTGTGTTAAGAAAATAATAACTTTAAAGACAAAATATATTGTCTTTTTAAAAAACTATTTTCATGACATTATTAAATTATAAAATCAGTTTTTTTCTAATCATACAAGCTCTCTACGAAAAGTTTTATATCCGTCATCACATTGCATTTAGCATGCATTTGAAGAAATCAGTCCGGTACGAGTCATCGTTTCTCATAAATCAGAAATAAAGTAATTTTTTTATGACAAAGAGTAAATCAAAATTTGAAAAATCTAAAAAGATAAGAACATAAATATATTTGTTAAAGTTTCGTTTACACAACTAAAACGGTGCTCAAGTTATCGGTATTTTAGAAATACAAAATAGAGTAAATTGCCACAACCGTTTAACGGAGGTCACTTAAAAGTTGTAAATAATCCAAGTTTAATTAATACTAATAGTTTCGCTGTCTGTCTGTCTATGTATCTATCTGTCTATCAATCTGTCTGACAAGAACGCTATAGAGAAAACACAAGCAAATTAAAAACTTTCACAGTAAAACGAAAACGACATATGACGTCACATTTAGCATATAGTAGAAAATAGTATCAAGCCGGAGAGTGCACACAGTAATATGACGTCATTGATTCTCGAGTAAACATTGAATAAAAAGGCAATTTTGTCTGATCTAAGTGGTTTGCGTGAAGAGTTTCTTTTATACAATTCTTTGGGTAGGGGCGAAGCCCCAACCTCGCGAAAGAACGTCTAAGCCGCCCCCCCCCCCCAACTCAAAAGAAATTTCTTCATCGATACTCTATAATAAAAATTACCGCCTAATTAATGTGTCTAATCTAAAAAGTGGTTTGCTTGCAGTTTCTTTCATGCAATTCTTCGGGTAGTGGCTAAGCGCGACACCAGTGTTTCTTTCAGACTTTTACCTCACCGGAGGGGGGAATTTTTTCTAATCTAATAAATGTTTAGCGTGCACAGTTTCTTTCATGCATCTCTTCCGGTAGGGGCGTGGCCCCGCCCAGGTTCTTCCTTTAGTTTGTATGATCTACAAATGCGACCAGTGTTTCTTTCAGACTTTTTCCTCCCCGGCGAGGGGTGGGGGTACTTGAATTTTTTGGGGGGCGGGGTAGAATTTTCTGGGAGGGGGCGGACACTGGAAAAAGTATATAATTATATTTCGTTGAATGGGACGGTAGACATATTTTGGGGTGTGTGTGTGGGGAGTAGAGTTGCCTGAAAGAAACTCTAAATGCGACTTTTGTCATGAATGAGATTAGGCGCATGGTTTAGGGATATGCCTATAACTATAGTTTGTATAATTTAAAGTACCAATTCTGGATGCAAATCCATTTTCAATGTCATTTTTCGTTTCCGGTTAAATTTAGGTGGTGCTTTTGGTTTTGGTTTTAGTTTAGAGAAAATAGACAGAACTATCAACCTATCGCCCGTTGTATCCTTCCTCAACGGGCCATTTTTCTCGTATCGTATACTTATAAAATTACATCTACATAACTAAACAGTGCCCAAATTATAGTGCTCACGAAGAAAATGAATAAAACACCACTTTCGTTTTTCAGAAATCAATAGAAAATAAAATACTTAAAAAAAACTTTTTAAAAAACCACGTTTTTCTTGTGGACTAAAAAGTAGAAAATAAATTTTTCTTCCGACCCTAGGGATCTACCATTGACTGCTCGTAGATTTTGTTCATACATTTGATGACAAAAAGCGTGGGTACGTTCACCATCAAATTTCCCGACCCATCTGCCCGACCCACGTTTTTTGTCATCAAATGTATGAACAAAATCTACGAGCAGTCATTTGTAGATCCCCTAGGGTCGGAAGAAAAATTTATTTTCTACTTTTTAGTCCACAAGAAAAACGTGGTTTTTTTAAAAGTTTTTTTTAAGTATTTTATTTTCTCCTTTTTAGTCCGTTGCTACACATGAAAAACGTGGTTTTTAAAAAGTTTTTTATATAGTTTATTTTCTACTTTATCTAATGACTTGATTAAGTTTGACTTGAATAAGTGTTTATAAATACACGGACTAAAAATCTTGAGCGACCGATACGCTTTAAACAGAGAAAGGGCGTAATTTAATTAAGCCTACATGCCGTGACCAGGATTCGAACCTGGGTTGTCGCGGCCACAACGCGAAGTACTAACCACTATACGATCACGGCCAGCGCGCTCACATCGATTGGGGCCGAAGTAACTGTGTCAATAGGCCTCCAGTCTTGTTTGTATGTTTAGAAATCATGTCCTCGATTTTATGGTCCTTGGGGCGTAATTTAATTAAGCTAATTTAGGTCTCTAATTGCTAGTTTTTATGATTGCATCTGAAATTGTTAGGCGAAAATAGCCTGCATTCCAAATTTCAGATCTCTAGAGCAATCAGAAGTGGGCTAATTTTCGATGTCAATTTTAACAACAAACAAACGCGAAGCTGAGTTAATAAAAACGTGTTAATAAAAATAGAAACATGCTTGTGGTGATGTAATGTGTATGAAAGGTGAATACGTGGAACGGATCACTGCGTGTGTGTATGTATCATGTAGTGAGACGCGAGGCCGGGTGTGTTGACGTGTATGTTGATGTACGGAGTAATCGAGGGTACAAGGGAAGTGACTGGTCGGGTGACAGTGGCTGTGTTGTGAGCGAGAGAAAGGTGGTGTGTAGGAATGAATGCGGAGGACATTTGAACGTTGGAGTGAAAGCAAACAGGTTGATGTGGGACTAGGGGCGCGTTTGAAGAGAAATAAAGGATACTGTTATACCTAGCCTCAATCGTGTTGGTTGTGCATTCTTTGAGATTCTGACACCCTCACAATGCTCATAAAAAGTAATACTTAATGTAAAATTTTGTCCACCTAACTTAAACAATACCCACATCATTAGCTTTTGAGAAATCAGAAGTACTGTAAGTACTAAATTAAATTACCAGAAATCTTTCAAATGTTGATTCAGAATAACAAATTTCATATAATGCTTATAGAACTATAAGACATTTCGTCATGGTAACTGAAACGATACTCAAGTTATTTTGTTGACAGACAGTCAGACACATTCACGGATATACAGACGAAATAGCAAAAAAAAAATTTCAGAAATTTTGCAACATTACAATGCTTAATGTTAACGTCGTACATAAATATACCGGTAGTTATCTCCCCTAAACTTTCTCGAATATTCTTATATAAAACAACAAGGGATAGCAACTCGAGATATAGACATGATTTGTAATCCATTTAGAATACTTAAACTTTTTCAAATGGAATAAAATCTCGTAGAAAAAAAGAATTGTAAGTGAACGCCAAATACAATGTAAATAATAGTGCGGATTATTATTAGTACTTTATAAATTCACATGCGGTTTTTGAGAAATCAGAAATAGCGTAAATTACTACTTCCGATCAACGGAAATTACTAAAAATTTGCCAGTAGGCAGAGAATAGATATTTTACTTACGAGTGAAATTTCATTTATCTATCTGAAATAGTACACAAGTTATAGACTTTTAAATAATTAAAAGTAAAAAATAGTTACACTTCCGGTTATCGGAAATCGCTCAAAAGTTGATACGGATCTACGATTTTGATATAATACTTATATATGAAATTTCATCAACCTAGTTGTAACGATACTCAATTTATCGTGTTTACAGACACATACACACACACACATACACACAGGACAATATTTCAAAACTATGTTTTTCCGACTCAGGGAGGTGTAAAACATCGAGATTTGCAAAAATCTGCAAATTTCGATTTTATTATTTTTTTTGCAAGATTACAAGACTTTTTCCATAGTTCGTATATACGAGAAAGTAAAAAGGTAAAAACAAATTTCTTTAAATGAAAACAGATACAATAAATAGAATCTTTAAAAAAATAATATCAATGAAAAATATATACTTACTGTCATCCAATCAGACTTATAAACTGAACACGGACCATCACGTTTCATACCACAAATTTCAAGGTAAAATCGTCCTTTGTCCATCAGATAAAGTTTTTCTTTTGGTACGTGCATGCGTCCGTAAACGTAAAGATCGTCTATCCCAAATCTGATACACCCAGGGCAATTTGGTCTGTAGCCGTCGATGGTCGCAATTATTCCATTTTCGTTGAGATATTTTTGCGTGGTGGCCACCAGAATTATTACTTGGACGTACTCTTAAAATATTATTACCATAAAGTAATTAACTCTAATTTGTTAAAAATATTACAAAATGTTGTTATTTTTGTTTTTATGCAAGTTCATCTATTTATGTAGACTGTGTTAAAAATTATGTGGATATATTAGAAACAAATGTAAAAAAAATTATTATAAAAACACATTATCAAAGCGTTAGTAGGGCTTAAGATAGTCGTTACTTTACTCAGTGAAAACGTATACGAAAAAAAAGTGAAATGTAGTCAAAACAAAGAGGTCGGCATGGTCTGGTCGGTAAAACTCGTGGTTTCGAAACAGAATAATCGCAAATTTGTACCCGCTGGTGTTCGATATCTGGGGAAAGCACCCCCATCGAAGAAGGGGTAAGACTATACAAGCAAATTAAAAAAGAAAAAAACAGGCTCAAATAGGAGTCAACGGCCTAAACTGTACATAATAGGCTGACATCTAGTACTTAATTGTGTTGGAGGAAATCCCTTCAACCATCACTTTTAAGAACGAAAAACAATTGAAAACATTTCAAAAAATAGGTGGAAAATATACAATTGCTTTGCAAACGTAAATCATGCAGCAGAAGGTCTTAGGTAGTTTTCATTGCAATCAGAAGCTATAATATTTGTAACATATTGCTCTCTGCAGATTATTCTTGCAATCTGATATGTGTGTAAAATTCGATATTATAGCCAAAAAGGTAAACCTAAAATATTTGAAGAACGCAAAAACCCATTTCTAATATTAATATGCAAATTATATAAAGGAAAACGACGAAGGAAAAAAAATTAAAAAATCAAGTCGGAAACTGATTTTTGTTTTACTTTGAAGCAATCTTTATTGTAAACTATCTAGAAAAACGTGGTTTTTATGTAATTATTAAAAGGAAGAACAGGAATTCAGAAACAAAAATAGTACTAATTACCCGCATAGGGTCCAAATATTACCACTGGTGAAGCAACTAAAAATACTATTTGCAGCACTAATGTGTTATTTTTTATATAGTTTTTGATGGCTGATTCACTTTGCTAGCCGTATTATATTTAGTTCTACAGACAGTTCTATGACAAATATTCTCAGGACAAATGCTCTAAGACAAAATATCACAGACAAAATATCTCACAGACAAATAATCCCAGCACAAAAGATACCAGAACAAAATATATCAGGACAAATGATAGCATAGAAAAATAGACTCAAACAAAATATCGCATGCACATGCGCATGCACATGCACATGTACATGCACATGCACATGCACACGCACACGCACACACACACACATAAACACAAACCCAAACACATACACATACACATACACATACACATACACATACACATACACATACACAAACACAAACACATACACATACACATACACATACACATACACATACACATACACATACACATACACATACACATACACATACACATACACATACACATACACATACACATACACATACACATACACATACACATACACATACACATACACATACACATACACATACACATACACATACACATACACATACACATACACATACACATACACATACACATACACATACACATACACATACACATACACATACACATACACATACACATACACATACACATACACATACACATACACATACACATACACATACACATACACATACACATACACGTACACGTACACGTACACGTACACATACACATACACATACACATACACATACACATACACATACACATACACATACACATACACATACACATACACATACACATACACATACACATACACATACACATACACGCACTAACATGGATCATATACTAAATATTCTAAAACTGGAAATGTAGAGACGATAAAATGACGTCATTGATTCTAGAATAAGCAAAAAATTTAAAATCGAATGGCGAAATAAAATACACAATAATAATGATGTTATCTATACTTGGTAATACAGACACTAAAATATCGCCTAATTTATTTGTCTAATCTTAAACGTAGTCTGCATAGAGTTTCGTTTAGGCATTTGTTTGGGTAGGAGGTCATAACACCACCACCCTCCCCTCCTCAAACCTTAGAAAGAATTTTGAAACACTAACTTCATGATTGAGGTTTAGCGGCGAAAATTAGGAAACGAGTCTATATTATAGAAGTAGGGTCTACATGAGTCTATATGATTTAGAAATGCGACCAATTTTTCTTTCAAAATTTATCTTCCACAGAGTGGGGGGAGTACTTGAAATTTTCGAGAGGGGTTGGAAACTGGTAACAGTACATTTTTGTATATAAATTCTATTTCGTAGCCGCGGGGATAGAAGAAAGTCTAAAGAAATATTTTATGAGGGATTTATCAATGCGTTACCAATCCTATATTCTTAAACGCGTGACCGTGTTTTTTAAAACTGAACTATTTGAATGTAAACAACGCCTACGCTATACTTCTTGGATCATACTTGTCGGGGCACATTACTGCCCACAACGCCCAGGACGTGCTGTATGAAAGCCTTGAGTGTACGCTAATTACTCTCCGTTATAGTGAGGTAGAACACACTTGGTCGGCCGCCTAGGTGTCAGAGACGTAGCAGGTAGCTATGGGAGCCCAGTTACACAACCACAAGGACGCCAAGTACGGCCCCTGGATCCTTAAAACTTACATAGGCGCCATGGTGCTTACAGGAAAAAACAAAGAGCGCCAAATAGCACCCTGGCAGGGCGCTAAATATTATATTGGGTGGGCGCCGGCGGACGCGCCTGATTCAATTTTATGAACGACCTCAACGCCCCATTCTTTCCATGGTCTATCGCACTGCTTAGAACAAACGTATGCGCCATAGTGCTCACGTGTGAGCCCGGGGCGCTAATTTGCCACAGCAGGGGGAGCTGTAGCATACGCCTGATTCGATATAGTCAACGTTTATTATTGCCCATCGTATTTTTATAGACTATTTTTAAACCAACGTAGGTGCCATAGTGCTCATAGGAGCGCCCAGGGTGCTTCGGGACAAGCACTCATCGGGGCGAAGGCGGCTGCGTATGTTGCAGTTTTACCGCGTAATATGGTAGTACCTATTTCGCACTATGCACGACGCCCGATTATTGGATACTTAAAGCTACTATAGCCATTCCGGAACTCTGGGCGCCAAATCTTTTATTGATTAAAATCTCACCCTCCGGGCGCCGCAAATAGGATTTTTTTTTAAAGGTGTCGACCTTTTATTTTTATTTCAAGTATTTAGAGAAACATTGCAACCTCCCAGGGCGAAGCCCTTGCAAAATAAAAATAAAATTGTTTTGCCCAACCCTCCCCTGGAATGTTCTCATCAACTCCCCAAAGTTGCATGACGATCGTATAAACTGTGTCAAACAAACATAGATTTCTACATTGCAGTAACTACGTGCCGATTTTGCATAAAAATCTGTATTCAATGACATTTTTCGTTTCTGGTTAAATTTGAATTTGAGGTAGTGATTTTGTTTTGGTTTCTGCTTAGATACAAAGACAACACTATCAACCTAGCGCCCGTTGTATTTCTCCCTCGACCGGTCCTTGATGTCGTAATATAATATATTATCACAATGTGTAAAAAGATCAAAGCTTTAATCAACTAGCGAAGGATAAACAGTAAAACGTAAGTAAAATGTGTCTGCAAGTAAAAACCTAGTAAACCATACACATATTCACATACATGTATAGTTACATAGACACATTAACGCACACACACGTATTACAGACACAGAACTATTCAATGACGTTCCCATTTACCTGTTAGAACCAAAAACAAACTCAATAACATTGGAGCCACCTGCATGTTTGGATTCTGATGCTGGATTCTGATGGTGGTATATGATAGTTGATCGAGCAGAAGATGAAAAATATTGAAATACATAATTACATAAAGAGCTTTAGTTAAACTAGCCTCGAACTTGATCGAAACCTGACTGTCATGTGCTTTTTTAAATGAAAAAAATTAGAAGTTCTTTTTTTTTTCAAAATAAATGACTTAAAACAAAATGTTAATCTTTGCTCATTACAACACAACCATTTTACAGTAGTATGTGTTACAATTTATGTTTTTTTAATATAAAGGTGAATATTTTATAAAAAAAATAATTGCTTGTTTTTATTTTAAAATCATTCGATTTAAGAATAATAATAACTACCATAAACAAAGGCATGTTATTTTAGAACTTTTAATGTACAGAAGAGATTACCTGACTTAAATAAAAAGCGAACTGGTCAAAACTAAATCGCTTACCTGCACCCAACTCACTAATATCATAGGATTACCCAACAACCTCCATTGGTCCTTAAAGTTTAAAGGATTAACAATCAGTGTTCTAAATTTGCAAACTTCACAATATGTTTTTACTTTTTGGGCTAGCCTCCCTACATTTTAAACTGAAGTTTCACTTAAGTACGATAAATTTAGATACATTGTACAGAAACGCCATGGTTTTAGTTACACAACAAATTTGTTCTTATATCCGTTCATTAAAGTTTGGTGCGACTCGATATTGCCATTGATTTTTAACATATTTTATATTGCGCGTTTGGTAATTCCCGATAAATCATACCTTTCAACATGTATATTTACATGTATCCTTTAATTTCTAGTAAAATTTTTTATTAAAAACGTTGTAATAACAAGCTTATAATAAAAAGTAGAGAATAAATGAATTTCTTTAAATCTCTATATATATAATTCTCTTCTGGGAGACGCTAGAAAACAAGCTGTAAACGCACTCTCTTACAGCCCCACCCCTACATGGTCTGATGAGCTGTGTTCACTCTAAATGTTTACAAACAGTCGGGTTTAGTGACGACTATTAGGGGCAGATAATTTAGTTTGAAACGATTTTTAAGAGTAGGGGGGGGGGTGTTACTAAGTGGAGTTTACTTTAACGGAGGGGGAGGGGAGGAGGGGGGGGTTATCGTCCTTAACGAGCTACTTATAGTGTTTTAAAGAAATATTTTCAGTGGCAGCGTTGGTAGTGTCGAATTCACAAATTATGAATAACTGAAAAGTAAAAAAAACAACAACTAAATAGAGGCGTATGATATGCCGCGGGTCGGCTCATATATTATAATTATCTACTGTTTAAATCTAATATATAAAGTTCAATTCTGTTTGTTTGTAAAATGTTTGTCGTGGATTACAAAAGAATAGTAAAATAAATCGAAAAAAAAACATACTTGATGAATTCAATTGTTAGATTATTAAAGCGCTCATGGTCTAAATTTCTGAGTTAAAAAATTACTATTGGAAGTCTTTAAAAACAATTTTCATTTTATATACTTAGAATAAAATTTTTTAATTATGAACATTACATAAAATTAAAAAAAAAGTGTATCAACGTTTATAAAATTTCTAAAATTGTGTCTGAAATGTATTTGCTTTTTCTCCTTTAGTTCTCATAACGTCCCTTGATTTGGAAAACACATTTACTTCCCTTTAAAAAAAATTAAATCGGGGGGGGGGGGGGGAGAAAGAATTTACTTTTTTATACTTTGTTTTGGTGTTAGGAAAAAAATAATTACATAATTAGCGGGGATTGATTAAGTGCAATGTTTTAGGTATTTTTAATACTGTCTTTTATTTATTCAATACACTGAACTTACTGTTTACTAATTATTTTTTAAAAAAATCAATAACAGTTAATAAGCCAGGTCCTACATGTCCTATATGTTTATTTCTTTCCGTTTACGGATAAGCTTGGAGTATTATAATTGTTCATTAAATTAAAACAGACGCGTCCGCCCGCGACCCACCAGGGTTCAATTTGGCGCCCTGGGCTATCCTGTGAGCGCTATGGTGCATAATTTCGCTTTAAACAGTGCGATAGAGTATGGATTAGAAAGGTTACTATAGTCTTTAAGTGAATCGAATCCGGGAGTCCTCAGGCGCCCAGACCGGGTGCTATTTGGGGCCCCGGGCATTCCCGTCTTCGGTTTTGCGCCTATGTTCGTTTAAGTGAGTGCAAAAGACTATAAATAAGTTGGGGTATTATAGTCGTTTATTAAGCTGAAACAGGCGATTCCGCCGGCGCCCCAGCATGGTACGATTTGGGTTTGCGTTAGTGGTTGGGTTTGCGTTTTGATTTGGTTCGTTTTCGTTCTTTCTTTTTCGTTTTCGTTTGTGTTTTTTTCTTTGTGTTTGTGTTTGTATTTGTGTTTACGAAAAAGTAGAAAATAAATTATACACTACTATTTAAATTACTATAAAAAAATGCGTGGGTCACTTTAGAATCTATTGGATACCTTTACTAATGTTAAGGAAGGCACCCACGCTTTTCTTTATAGTTATTTAAATAGAAGTCTATAATTTGTTTTCTACTTTTTAGTGCATTATTACCTAAAAGCTTGTTATTAAAACGTTTTTTTTATTATTTTTTTTTCAGTCCTTAACATGTTTTATTTACAATAGAGTTACATGACTAAAAACCATTGCGCGCCTACGGAACGTGATGGCGCAGCTCTTGAACGTGATGATGCGTGTGGTGTGGTTGGATAGACATGCCTACTAACTCGGTCCAAATTTTAATTAATTCATAAATAATTAATTAAGCATCCAATGGACACCAGCGAGAAAAGTCTCAAAGGTATTTGAGAGGTCCATAAATTAATTTAAAAATCATGCACGGCGTAGTTACAATTAATATGGTTATAAAATCCTGCCTGTCTGGTTTTTTTCGGACTTTACTAAAGATTAGATGTATTTAATGTTTTTAGTATTTTCGGTAACTAAATAAAATTTTTAAAAATAAGCAAAAACAATTTAATTTTCACGTGTTATGGCGACATAAACAATGGCATCCTGTTATTCGATAGACCGCCATAAATTTTATTTGTTCAAATTGTAAGCTAAAAATAGAAAAACTAGGTCATGGTGTTTAAATTTGCATTGTTATATAAAAACTTGATCTGAAAAAGTTTTGTAAACAAAAAAACTATAAAGTGGGGCTGTCAGAAATTGATCAAGGTGTTCCTGTACAGCCAATCAATGTTTGACTTACGAAAATGAAACCTCGGGTTATAACTTAGGCTTATTGAAAATAAATAGAAATGTAGCCTTAAACTCAACAAATTATTTTCAAGTTCTCTGGATTTGCAACTTGAATAGCATTGATTCTAAAAATATTAAATTTCTGAATTAATTTTAGGCTTACGTTTTTAATAAAATTTTATCTTTTATTATTTTTACGGTCCTAAATCTAAAAAAGCACTTTTTATTCCATGTCAACAACATTACGGAAGGATTTTCGTCAACTCACTGTGAATCGTATCGGTCAAGTAGAAGTGTTCGAATTTTCACTCCGGCGTTTCGATCTAGACAGACTGACGACTGACGACTGACGACAGTGGAAGCGAGTTAAATAAAAGCTTGTAATAAATTCTCGTAGAGAAAAATAAATTGAACACCAAGTACTAAAGTGAAAGCAAATGTGGTTAAAGCACGTGGAGCCATTAATACTGAATAGTTAATTCAATGTTGGTGATTTATTTTTAGTTGCTTTCCGTATGAATTATGTTCTAGTTAAGCAGTTAAAGTAGTATGCAAATAAGAGTGTTATTATTCGACTACTTGTAAGTTTACAAAAAATTAGATATTTTAATGTTCTTAACCGTTGAAGACTTTAGGTCAAAACTGTTGCCATTTCTCTTTGTTTGATTTTCTCATAAAGGCTTTGTACTAAATAACCGGCTTAACTATTTAATAGCAAATAAATTTGCAATGCTCTGTTTAAAGGTACACATCCTTGTGCTTTATAACATGTGCATCAAATACATTAATGATCTTCATCTTTTATCTGTGAATTTGCTTTGTTTACACCATCCAAGGATGAAATATTAATTATTAGTCATTATTTATTAATTTTCACACATATTTGAAAACAGTGTAAACTTTTTCTTTGAATATTTTGTGTCGTCTAAAAATTCTAATTTCATGACACAGTTACGTCCCTCTAACAGTTACAATATAGCTGTCAACATTTCTATACTCATCCCCTTAATATTACATTTCTGAGAATCTGGTATTTTTCTAGGTGCCTGAGGTACCACCGATATCTCCTTACTAAATGTCACGTTTATGTTACATCTGTAAGTGGTCGATCTAATTTAAGCACTTTAATGTATACTTTATATGAGGCCCTAGTCAGTCTAGTTCAGATTTTGGTCACTTTAAACACGATGATTATCTACTCTAATTTTTCCATTATAATGAGAGTGAATCGCAAACTTTTTAAGAACAACCTGCAAGTACCTGACTTAATAAGATGTGAATAACAAACAACCCTCACTTTTCTGTTATATAGGCCTATATAGAAAACAGACACTGCAGGACTAAAGTCAAATCTTTTTCCATACTGACTTTTGAGCATTTTACTAGCTACTTCATGTAAATGTTGTTGTTTTTTTTCAATCAGCCAAGAATTTTTTGTATTCCAAGAATAAGTGTTTCACCAGGCTGTATAGTACAGGATCCAAGGTTGACACAAGTTAGTAGTTTTTACCTATTTTGTTTTCTAGTGTGTATTATAATAAGCTTTGTTCATGAACACCAATCAGCAGTGTGCGTCTATTGCGCTTTTTTAACTTTATCGATTACTTGTTTCCCACCTTTGTTGACAGCATTTTCCGTAGTATAATACCCTCGTAATTGGCTCATACGACTTTACTATATTTGAAACCAGGAAAAATTAAAATAGCCATTCGTATGGTCTACGAAAAAATGCCTGAAAGACATTTGCTTGAAATCCAATAGCCAGAATGGACAATAGCTAATTTCTGGGCCACCTGCAACCTTAACTCCTGCACACAAAACTTACTAATCGATTACATTAAACTTGAAGTTTAATTACATTAAAGTCTTCCTGCCATAAATAATTTTGCATTATTTCACCAGAAACAGTGGAATTTTTGTGCGTCATTGACGTTTTTTCAAATTATATTGTATCTTATGAATGCCTTAAAGATGAAGTAATAAAGCTTTTATTTCTGTTTAAAATATTAATGCTTTTTATCGTTTATTTCTCCTATTTAAAATTCAGAAAAAAAATTAACTTTTCTAAAGGAAAGGAATTATATTAGTAACTAATTTTATTCCCTTTAATTACTAAAATAAGTATTGCAGTTAACACATAAATCAGTTTAAAATTGTAATGGTAGCATTTGTCTCTAACTTTAGATTGCTGCAATGTTCTCTGAAAACGAGGTTGCACAGTTGAATAATGACTCTTTTAGAGGACAGTATTCAATGTGAGTTTAATAAATGTGTGTGTTTTAATTTAAGATTCACGTTTGGCTGCCATAGCTGTAAAAAAATAGTATGTTAGTTTTAGGGAACAATACAGTGATGGTGTTTTAGCAGTGTATCTAGTAAGGTACAAAATCATCAACAATAATTATAACTGCTAAACATATTTTTGCTATGTATTAGTTCAATACATTATTTTTGTTGATTAAAATAATGTAATGTTAAACTGAATAATGTTTGTATAATAATTATTTAAAAAAATGAATTTGTTTCGTCTATTAGGAATACTCTTGATACAGTTTATGTCATTTTGAGACTACTAAACGGTACGGTAACACCTATGTTGAGAATGTGATTACAAAAGTGATAGATAGAATATCAAATCTCTGTAAAGCTAGCACAGGTAGGCTTTACACTAATTTTATTTTCAGTTTTAAAACACATTTTGTACTGCTAAGCATATGATTTATTTTACATCAGACAAACATGGCATCTCATGCTATTATAATTTTTTTTTAAAGTTATTGACTTATTAAGTGGGAGTACCATTTACAACTCTACGCCTAATGAGGCAGGTGAGGTAGAGTTCACCTGTTTCAGTGACTTCGAATGTGCCCAGCAGCCACTAGGACAGCCTTGAGTCAGATACCCTTAGTAGCTGGGTGGACTCAGGGCGTCCTACTGACTTGAGCCCAGAATCCAAACGCAAGACTGTTGGGTTAGAAGTTAACGCTCTATCATTTGACCATGCTGACCCATGAGGCTGAGTTTTAAATTTTGTGCACATAAGAGTGTTTAGACATTTATGTTCTCATATTTTAATTTACGATTTAACTCACAATATATTACATTTTCATTATAATTTATTACTGCATAGCTAAGACTCCACCACGATTTCCTCTTATCATCCCTTTTAATAAATATAAAAAATAGGAAAAACATTTTGTTTTGAAAAAAACTGTAAAGTGAAAATAGGAATTTCAAATGCAAGCTAAAATTTAACATTATTTTCAGATCGTACCACCCCTTCACCTGTTGACAAAAGTGAAGGTAAATTTTGAAAACAAAGTTACATAATTGTGTTTTTAACTCCTGTTTTTTTTAAATGTATATCACTTGAAGTGCCAGTATAATTGAGCTCAGTAATTTAATTAATGAATATTTTTGTGGTCAGCATCCTACCAGCATTCAATTCTTCTATAGCATCATAACATTTTTAACGTGAATAATACTTCAACAATAGAAATTAATATATAATTTTAAAAAATATAAATTAAAAAGCATTTTCAAAGTTCTTTGATCCATAATCTTAAAACAAGAGTAATTTAAGCTGGTGTTTGTTTAGTTTCTGCGGAGTTAAAATACATAAAATACATTGCACAGTTCTTTATGTGCCCAAATCATAAAGTTTTCCATAAATTAATCGGCCTGTACTAGAATTTATACTAGAAATCGGGGAAGTTTTGCAGTTTATTTTTTCATTGTTTCTTGAGTTTGACGATTTAATGTTGTTTTTTTTTTGCATAAAGTTTGTATTATATTTATATTTTATTGTTTATTTTTAGAAAAGGATGTTGTGCCAGCAATTCTCTGGAGTGTATATGGTAGTGCTTTAGTTTATGCGGCCATCTCTGTTGGGGTTGTGATGCTGTATAGAAAAATGAGAGCAGCAAAGAGAACGAAAGGTAAATCAACACACGCTGAGGACAATAATTTGTTGAGATTTTAAAATTATTTGTTAGTCATGACAATTTTCCCTTGAATTTTTAAAATACAACGGAAAGTTTTCATACAAGGTTTTCAGTTTTTTATTACCTTAAGAATTACTTTAAGATAGAGCTTGAGTCTACTGTAAAATATTTTAATTAAAAAAATTGAATTAAAAATGTGTTTACACTGAGTGACCATTATCACAAAGTTTCAATTATCCGTCAGTGGTCCTCGTTTTATATGCGGAAAATTGCAATAACTGAAGATGTTCTTTGACACACACGATTATAGTTAAGATGATATTTTACTTGTTTCCATCACATAGGCCTACTCTTTTAATTTAATATTAAAATTAAAAAATTTTATGATTTTATAGAGGCACAAGGAAACTCAACGGGAAATGAAGAAAATATGAATACTTACACAGAAATCAGCCCAGATGTTGAGGCTATAGCCGAAGGAACCAGTCAAAGAACAGAAGAAGATAACCAAGGACAGGAATCACAAATGAACAAAACTGTGAATTTCGCTGAGTCAACAGTTGTGTATGAAAATGAAGGGCAAGAATGGGAAGACGACTACGTTTAAAAGAACAGTAATATCCTTAAAAAACACAAGGTTTTATAATTGAAGTTTTTATGATTTATTAAAATGGCAGTATAATATTGCTCCAAATGCCTATGTAAATTCACTTTTACTTTTATTCATGCAGTGAGTGAAAAGTATATATATATATATATATATATATATATATATATATATATATATATATATATATATATATATATATATATATATATATATATATATATATTTAATCAGGGGATATTTCTTGTGGGGTTGTGTCACAAACACCAAAATGAAAATGACTAAGCGAAAAAGACTTCAAAAAAGAAAAACATCAGTAAAAATTGTATGAACTCATGATAGAAAACTGTTTTAATAAACGAAATAAGATACTATTATTTAGTGATACATAGTTTATACAAGTTTACCATTTCTAAACTGTGCAGTAAATCCAAAAACGTCTTGGTTTAGTAAAATTTGTAAATTTGAAACACTATAAAAAACACTCAAATCAGTAATTCATTTTTAAAATATGAAAACAAAGCTATGTCTTAATTATCAATTTTATGTGAATAAAATAATATGAGTTGTGCCTTATGGTAAACAAAAAGCACAAACTGACATGAATTAATATAAAATGACGAAAACTGTTTATACCAATTGTAAAACAAGTGTATGAGTAAACTGTCAAGAATGATTTTAATTACTTTTTTCTTTCGCTGGTGTGACTTTATTTCCTGCAGAAGATCCTTGTAGAAAACATAAATCAAGTTCTGGTTTAACTAGTTTCCTCAAATTAATTTTAATTTACATATGTATATCATTTGTAAATGTCTAAATACAATTCATTTTGACAAGCAAAGAGAGGACATCAACAGACTGTTGCAGGTATTCAACATTAAAAAGCTATCATGTTTGTTAATCTAAATAATTAAAAACCACGCCAGGCTAAAGTCCATTAAATTAGCCTAACTTAACGGTTTCCTTAAATCTAGTAATAAGAACGCTTATGTTACTGTTATGGTTAGGAAACATTGACAGTTCGCCTGTATAATTTAAGGGAATATATGCTAAGCCTTATGTTTGGTAAAGGCCTGGCACTCATGTTAGCAAACTCGCCCTTTACAACCCAACCACACCCTCCAGGAAAATAATTAAACAATATCAAATATTCTTACTCTTATATAAAACTACTTACGCAGGCATAAATAATAATTTATCTTTTTAAATAAAGAGTGCTTATACTTAAAATAGTGAGCAGAGAAAAGACCAGCTACATGAAGACTTGACTTGTTAGGATAAATTTTGTTTCATTTCTGTAGTTCTGTTTTAGTATTCTTACTGAGTCAATATCAATAACTTCATAATGAACGATGACGATGTAGATGCAAAGGGTGCTAACTCGAAGCAGATTTTTTTTTTAAAAATTAGGTAATTAACTGTCGCCGCCGATTTTATTATTAGCTTAAAGGACAGTATGAATTATATTTATTGTTAACATTATGATTAGTTTTATGGCGAGGCTTGGGATTGTACTTGCTATATCAGCAAAAAAATTAGAGTAACAAAAAGAAATTCAGTCATGTATATCCTACATTGTTTTGAACTGTAGCGTAGGCAGAGTATACATCTGTATCCTTTAAACTACATTTTAGTAAATTATAACTAAATGATTGGATTTCCACATTGAATACTTCTGATCAACCCTTTGCTAAAAACTAGCTACATTTTAAAATTGCAAAATGAAATTTGACATTGTTTTCAGTAGCAGCATAATGCCTAAACATTCAATCAGTTTAGGTATATTTTACGAAAATGTTATAAAATAGCTTTTTTTAAAAAAAACTCAACAGGAATTGATAATGTCCAGCTAGAAGTATGTCCAGCTATGCTAATCACCACTATTGATTAATTTTAATGAACATGTGGAACTAAGTCTATTTACAAAAGATTGAATGACTTTTTAGTCTTATAACTGTATTCAAATTAGATATATTGGTTTGTGTTTTCGCATACAACAAGTTGGTATTCAATTTAATTTTCTTAATTTTAGACAATGTTCTTTCGTCAATAATATGATGAAGAACTATTCATATATGTATATATATATATATATATATATATATATATATATATATATATATATATATATACAATTTGCAACAAATAAAAAAACTAATATTTATTCAAACATCGCCTTCAAAATCATTTAATTTTTACCTAACAAAACTTTTAAAAAAGTAATGAATATTCGAATTAAAATAAAACTTTAGGAAACAAATGCAAAGAAGATGAACGCCTTCATGGAAATCTAAAAGTACAAAACACCAGTACCACAGACATCATTTCCAGTAGAAGATCTGTGTAGAAAAATATAACTTAAGTAAGTTTTCCACCTATTACGAAATTTGAAAATAATAACTAGATTAACATACCCCTTGTCAATATTTTAATGTAGTGTCTTTCAGCACTAAAAAGGGTACCAGCTATTCGTGAATTTAAAACATATGAAACAAATAATAAGCCATAACAATTAATTTATTGGTTAACGTTTTTTTTTACTTTCCCAACGTCTGAGTGATAATCATTCCTTTAAATTATATTGGACCAGTACCAAAAACTGAGTGGAGTTAACCACGTACCTGGTGACATCGACCAAGACTCGTTAGTAGATCTGGATTGAGTCTTTGGTTTAACAATGTGGCCACGCGCTGAGGAAAACAACAACATTCAAGGTTTCTAATAACTATAAATTATGTATATTTAGAGGGGGAGAGATATACATTTCTCAGGGCAAGTATCATCCCAGACAATATGTTTGTGTAATCAGTGCCGGCGCCAGGTTATTTAGCGCCATATGCAAAACTTATTAACCCCCCCCCCCACTCCGCATTTGTTTTTCCGGCCCTCATATTATATATATATATATTTTTTTTTTTAATTTTTTAAAAAGTTAATTCAGTATCTAGTCCCTACACATTTATGTCACAATGTATTGTTTTCGAGTCTTGACTTATGTGAAAAGTTTCTAAAAATAGGTCCGGTAGAATTCAGGTTAGCGGTCATATGCTCTACCCTCCCGCCGTACACCGTCCCTCGTTCGAGATCGTAGCCAGGAGATATGTTCCTCTGTGTCATTGTTTCTAAACATTGATTTAAACAAATAATTATTTATTAACATTGACTTACCGATAAGATCTGGAATATATATAGTGTTGTTTTTTTCAAATGGAGCTCTGTCTGCATGTGTTTCCATGTTAGGTTCTGGATCGAAGATAAATCGCACTGCCATATCATCCCTCTCAAAAAAATTGTATTTAATGCGAACTAACCACTGCTTCGGTGTAGTGTCGTTACACCAGCATGGCCGATGAGGTGGCATTATGTTTTTGTCGCATCCAACTTTGAGCTCTTGCTTATAACTACAATACTGTGAACATTTAAAATTTAGATATTGCTTTATTTTATATTTTACTAAGATGATGTTAAGCTAAAATTATTTAGGTTTATTCATTAGAAGTAAATAATTAAAATTGATCATCAAATTTATAGCGTATAAAAAAGCAATCTAACGTTATAACTATAACGATTTTGCCTGATTATTTATGACCCTTGATGTAAGTATTAAATTCAGTATGAAATATTCAGTTGGTCAGACTTGCGTAGTTAGTTTCACATTATGACTATCTTATGACTAAGGATTAGCGTGATTGATCAAAAATAACTTAACAAGCCATTGCACATTTTAAAACTTGGACAGGAACAAAATATTTCTCCACATCTTGCCAAAGGAAATCTCCTCCGTTTATTTTCTATTTTTTACAATTTATGATCTAAAGCCTTTTGAAAACTTTTAACATGCTGGCCATATAAAAGTATGTATTAGACAACAACAAAAGGGGTTGAAAGAAATTTCGGTTGTCATGGACACCAAAAAAACAGTCCGCCATTTTGAATTTTTTGGTACTTTTAAATACGCTAAGGTTTTTATTTATGCACAAATAGCAATCAAATTTAAACTGCTTATATTTCAGTATATATTAAAACTTTTGTCACGACAACTTTTTGAAATAACTACTAGTAAGAATTTTACAAGGTATAAAATATTGTACCCTTTTTATTATTCAAAAGTTTGAAAATGTGCAAATTATTTACCATAAACATTTTTCTTTGAAAGCCTTCAGAATTCCCTAGTGACAAATTTTATTTCTGAATAATGACCAATTACTGAAAGTATGGTAGGCATTGCGTAATAAATGAAAAAGTAGAAAGCTTTTAGGTGATAAATAAACCATAAATGATCACCATTAAACTTTCTCGAATATTCTTATATAACACAAGGGGATGGGAAGTCGGGATATAGACATAATTACACTCTAGAATACAGAGTATTGAGAAATTATTACATAAAAGCTTGTTATTTAAGAGGGTTTTTAATGAATTTTTTTCAGTACATTACATGTTTTATTTACAATAGAGTTACATGACTAAAAACCATACCGCACATATTGAACGTGATGACGCCCTATCAAACGTGCTGACGCGTGTCTAATAATGCGGAGTAGTTGGATAAGACTAATTTGTCTACTAATTTGGTCAAAATTTCCAAAAAATTAATCAGGATACCAATGAAGTCAAATTGAATGTCACGTTGCATTGTCTTCATGTCTAGACCCACGTACCAATAACGAACCGTATCTGTCAGGTAAAAGTGCCTGCAATTTGGCTTGGCCGTTTTGATCTAGACAGACAGACTGACGACTGACGACAGACAGAGGAAGTGAGTTAAATAAAAGCTTGTAAAACGTTTTAAAAACAAGCTTTTATGTAATAAAGCACTAAAAAGTAGGAAATAAATTATACACTACTATTCAAATTACTACAAAGAAAAACGTGGGCCACTTTAATATCTTTTGGATACCTTTACTAATATTTAGGAAGAGACCCACGCTTTTCTTTATAGTAATTTAAATAATAGTGTATAATTTATTTTCTACTTTTAGTGCATTATTACATAAAAGCTTGTTATTTTTTATAACAATTTTTTTTAGTACTTTACATGTTTGTATTTACAATAGTTACATGACTAAAAACCATTGCGCGCCTATTGAACGCGATGACGCGCTATTGAACTTGATGACGCGTGTGGAGTAGTTGGATAGAACTGCCTACTAATTTGGTCAAAATTTTATTAATTCATAAAAAATTAAATAGGCATCCAATTAAGGGTGACCCGTCAAAAGAGCGCACGACAAAAGAGCGCCGACATAAGAGCGCAGACAAAAGAGCGCCGACATAAGAGCGCCGACACAAGAGCGCAGACAAAAGAGCGCCGACATAAGAGCGCCAACAAAAGAGCGCAGACAAAAGAGCGCCGACATAAGAGCGCAGCCAATTAAAATAACACATGTTGTATGCTAAACTTATATGACATGGTTAACACTTGTTTTAATTAAACAATCGGCGGTACGATAAAACGACGTGTTTATTTATATAAATAATGGTTAATATGTTATGAATGCAGTTTGAAAATATTTCTAACCCAAGTAACATGGAGAAGATCGAAGCACAGAAAGGGAAGGTTATTATATTAGTCGAAGGCTACAGATATAGACAGGACAGAGCAAATGCTGATGGAAGTACGACATTTAGAAAGATGGCTACCGAGGACGGATAAAAATGCTGAGCAATGTTGTTATATCATCATCGAAACACAATCACGCTCCTGATCCGGCTAAGTTGTTTCGGCTTTATGAAAACGGGCAGTGGAAGGGAAAAACCAACGCAGATTATACAAGCCAGAGAAGGAATTCTCGATGGAAGTAGCACCTCATTTGTCGGCATACGTCAAAGATCACATCGAAATCAAACTGGAACTTCATCTAGCTGGAGTTAATCAACCAGAAGCTTCAAAGAACAATTATGTTCAGCTGAACCAAAGATTGCAGGGGATTGCTTCAACCTATGCTAATTATTCAATACGAGGTATAGCCCACAACTTAGCAATATAAATGCAACTATAAAGAAACGTTTTATTGATTTAAACTTATTTTCATTTTGTTACATTTCATTTCAGTTTATATTCTCACTTGAGCCTAACATTTAAAATCTTTGTATGTGTTATTAGATTGCGTTTTGAATAATTGGACTTCACGTTGATTATACCAGTTTTTTAGTTAAAGAAACTGAACAATTGGTTTTTTAATGAAACAATAAAGATTCAACGTCAAACGATGCCATCTGATCTGAGTTAATTTTCATGTTCCTATTTATTAAATCTGGTTTTTCAATTTTTAGTTTGCGCTCTTATGTCGGCGCTCTTTTGTCGGGAAATTAGTGCGCTCTTATGTCGGCGCTCTTATGTCGGCGCTCTTTTGTCTGCGCTCTTATGTCGGCGCTCTTTTGTCGTGCGCTCTTTTGACGGGGTGCCCCAATTAAGTCAAATTTAATGTCATGTCGCATTGTCTTCATGTCTTGACCCACGTACCAAATACGAACCGTTTCTGTCAGTTAGAAGTGCCTGCAATATTGCTCGGGCGTTTCGATCTAGACAGACAGACTGACGACAGACTGACGACTGACGACAGACAGAGGAAGTGAGTTAAATAAAAGCTTTTAAAAACAGTGAAATGTAGTCAAAGCAAAGGTCTGGTCGGTAAAGCTCGTGGTTTTTAAAAACAGAATAATCGCAAATTTGCACCGGCTGGGCAGTTGGTGTTCGATAGCTGGAGTCACCACCCCCATCACAGAAGGTGTAATGTTATTGAAGCAAATTCAAAAAGTGAAAACAAGCTCAAATCGGAGTCATCGGCCTAACTTGTACACAATAGGCTAACGTTTAGTACTTAATTGTGTTGGAGGAAATCCCTTCAACCCTCACTTTTAAGAACGAAAAACAATTGAAAACATTTTTAAAAATATGCAGAAAAAACCGGGAGTGATCTCCCCTAAACTTTCTCGAATATTCTTATATAACTCGGAATATAGACATGATTTTTAATTACTTAAACTTTTAAAAATAGAATAGAATCTCGTAGAAAAAAGAATTGCGCACCAAGCGAAGCCAAAACAAAATGTGCATAATAGTGTGCAATATTATTAGTACTTTTTTAAATTTAAAATAAATACAATCTCAAAAACAAACTATCTGAATGAAAATCAAATTACTTACTATATTCCATTCTGACTTATAATTTGTACAAGGGCCATCAAATCGAGAACCGCAAAATTCAAAGTAAAATCGTCCTTTGTCCATCAGATAAAGTTTTTCTTTTGGCACATGCATGCGTCCGTAAACGTAAAGATCGTCTATCCCAAATCTGATACACCCAGGGCAACTTGGTCTGTAGCCGTCGATGGTCGCAATTATTCCATTTTTGGAGAGATATTCTTGTGTGGTGGCCACCAGAATTATGACTTGGACGTACTCTTAAATATCATTATAATAATCTAATTAATTCTAATTTGCTAACAATATTACAAATTAGTGTTATTATTGTTTTTATACAAATTGATAATTTATGTAGACTGTAATCAAAATTATGTGGATATATTAGACATAAATGTAATGAAAATAACATACAAACACATAATCAAAAGCGTTAGTAGGGATTAAGACAGTCGTTACTTTACTCAGTGAAAACGTATACGAAAAAAAAAACCAGTGAATTGTAGTCAAAACAAAGAGGTCGGCATGGTCTGGTGAGTAAAGCTCGTGGTTTCGAAACAGAATAATCGCAAATTTGTAGCCACTGGTGTTCGTTAGCTGGGGACAGCACCCCCATCGAAGAAAGTGAAAGGCTATAGAAGCAAATCCAAAAAGTGAAAACAAGCTCAAATCGGAGTCAACGGCCTAAATTAAACACAATAGGCTGACGTGTAGTACTTGTGTTGGAGGAAATCCTTTCCAACATCACTTTTAAAAACAAAAATCAATACTAAACAACATACAAAATAGGTGGAAAATATACAATTGCTTTGCAAACGTAAATCATTATTCAGTAAAAACAAATGGTCTTATATAGTTTTCATCACAATCATAAGCTATAATATTGGAACCCAAAACGACGAAATATATACATAGAGATAGAAAGTGGGTTAACCGCATCACCTTCAGACGGTTCCATGACAAATGATCTCAGACGAAATATCCCAGAAAAAATTATCTCACGGACAAATGATCACAGTACAAGAGAAATTAAAGCTATTGATCTCACAGACAAAAGATACCAGGACAAAATATCTCAGACAAAATATCTTAAATACATACAAATACACATACACATGCACATGCACATGCACATGCACATGCACATGCACGTGCACGTACACGTACACGTACACGTACACGTACACGTACACGTACACGTACACGTACACGTACACGTACACGTACACGTACACGTACACGTACACATACACATACACATACACACACACACACACACACACACACACACACACACACACACACACACACACACACACACACACACACACACACACACATACACATACACATACACATACACATACACATACACATACACATACACATACACATACACATACACATACACATACACATACACATACACATACACATACACATACACATACACATACACATACACATACACATACACATACACATACACATACACATACACATACACATACACATACACATACACATACACATACACATACACATACACATACACATACACATACACATACACATACACATACACATACACATACACATACACATACACATACACATACACATACACATACACATACACATACACATACACATACACATACACATACACATACACATACACATACACATACACATACACATACACATACACATACACATACACATACACATACACATACACATACACATACACATACACATACACATACACATACACATACACATACACATACACATACACATACACATACACATACACATACACATACACATACACATACACATACACATACACATACACATACACATACACATACACATACACATACACATACACATACACATACACATACACATACACATACACATACACATACACATACACATACACATACACATACACATACACATACACATACACATACACATACACATACACATACACGCACTAACATGGATCATATACTAAATATTCTAAAACTGGAAATGTAGAGACGATAAAATGACTTCATTGATTCTAGAATAAGCAAAAAATTAAAAATCGAATGGCGAAATAAAATACACAATAATAATGATGTTATCTATACTTGGTAATACAGACACTAAAATATCGCCTAATTTATTTGTCTAATCTTAAACGTAGTCTGCATAGAGTTTCGTTTAGGCATTTGTTTGGGTAGGAGGTCATAACACCACCCCCCCCCCTCAAACCTTAGAAAGAATTTTGAAACACTATCTTTATGATTGAGGTTTAGCGGCGAAAATTAGGAAATGAGTCTATATTATAGAAGTAGGGTCTACATGAGTCTATATGATTTAGAAATGCGACCAATGTTACTTTCAAAATTTATCTTCCACAGAGTGGGGGGAGTACTTGAAATTTTCGAGAGGGGTTGGAAACTGGAAAAAGTATATTTTCTATATAAATTCTATTTTGTTGCCGCGGGGATAGAAGAAAGTCTAAAGAAATATTTTAAGAGGGTTTTAACAATGCGTTACCAATTCTATATTCTTAAACGCGTGACCGTGTTGTTTTTTTTTTAAACTGAACTATTTGAATGTAAAAAATGCCTACGCTATATCTCTTGGATCATACTTGTCGGGGCACAAGATTTCCCACATTACTGCCCACAACGCCCAGGACGTGCTGTATGAAAGCCTTGAGTGTACGCTAATTACTCTTATAGTGAGGTAGAACACACTTGGTCGGCCGCCTAGGTGTCAGGGACGTAGCAGGGAGTTATGGGGAGCCCCTGTTACACTACCGCAATGACGCCAAGTACGGCCCCTTGATCCTTAAAACTTACATAGGCGCCATGGTGCTTACAGGATAACAAAGAGGGCAAAATAGCACCCTGGCAGGGCGCTAAATAGTATATTGGGTGGGCGCCGGCGGACGCGCCCGATTCAATTTTATGAACGACAATAACGCCCCATTCTTTCCATGGTCTATCGCACTGCTTAGAACAAACGTATGCGCCATAGTGCTCACGGGTGAGCCTGGGGCGCTAATTTGCCACAGCAGTGGGAGCTGTAGCATACGCCTGATTCGATATAGTCAACGTTTATTATTGCCCATCGTGTCTTTATAGACTATTTTTTAAACTAACGTAGGCGCCATAGTGCTCATAGGAGCGCCCAGGGTGCTTCGGGACATGCAGTCATCGGGGCGAAGGCGGCTGCGTCTGTTGCAGTTTTACCGTGGAATATGGTAGTACCTATTTTGCACTATGCACGACGCCCGATTATTGGATACTTAAAGCTACTATAGCCATTCCGGAACTCTGGGCGCCAAACCTTTTATTGACTAAAATCTCACCCTCCGGGCGCCGCCCATGGGAATTTGTTTTTAAAGGTGTCGACCTTTTATTTTTATATCAAGTATTTAGAGAAACATCGCAACCTCCCAGGTGAAAGCCTTTGCAAAATTTTAAAAAGTTTTGTTTTGCCCAACCCTCCCCTGGAATGTTCTCATCAACTCCCCAAAGTTTCATGACGATCGTATAAACTGTGTCAAACACACATACATTGCAGTAACTATGTGCTTATTATGGATAAAATCTGTATTCAATGACATTTTTCGTTTCTGGTTAAATTCGAATTTGAGGTAGTTATTTTGTTTTGGTTTCGGCTTAGATACAATGACAACACTATCAACCTACCGCCCGTTGTATTTCTCCCTCAACGGGTTATTTATCTCGTAATATAATATACGAGCCGGCCCGCGGCATAACATACGCCGCTATTTAGTTGTTTCTAATTTTCAATAATTCATAATTTGTAAATTCGACAGTACCAACGCTGACACTGAAAATATTTCTTTAAAACACTATAAGTAGCTCGTTAAGGACCATAACCCCCCCCCCCTTCCTTCCCTCCCCCCTCCTCCCCCCCCCCCCCTACGTTTAAAATCGTTGGCTCTGCTTGTAAACATTTAGAGTGAACACAGCTCACTAAAACCATGTAGGGGTGGGGAGGTAGGGAGAGCGTTTGCAGCTTGTTTTCTAACGGCTCGAAGAAGAGAATTATATATATAGATTATCACAATATGTAAAAAGATCAAGCTTTAATCAACTAGCGAAGGAAAAACAGTAAAACGTAAGTAAAACGTGTCTGCAAGTAAAAACCTAGTAAAACACACACACATATTCACAAACATCTATATATACATACACACATTAACACACACACAAACATGTTACAGACACAGAACTATCCAATTACGTTCCCATTTACCTGTTAGAACCAAAAACAAACTCAATAACATTGGAGCCACCTTCATGTTTGGATTCTGATGCTGGATTCTTGTGGTGGTATATGATAGTTGATCAAGCAGAAAATAAAACATGGTTTAATACATAATTAGATAAAGGAGCTTTAGTTAAACTAGCCTCGAACTTGATCGAAACCTGACTGTCATGTGCTTTTTTAAATGAAAAAAGTAGTTCTTTTTTTTCAAAATAAATGACTTAAAAGACAATGAATGTTAATCTTTGCTCATTAAAACACAACCATTTTACAGTAGTATGTGTTACAATTTATGGTTTTTTATATAAAGGTGAATATTTTATAAAAAAAATAATTGCTTGTTTTTATTTTAAAATCATTCGATTTAAGAATAATAATAACTAGCATAAACAAAGGTATGTTATTTTAGATTTTTTAATGTACAGAAGAGCTTACCTGACTTAAATAAAAAGCGAACTGGTCAAAACTAAACCACTTACCTACACCTCAATGTCTAATATCATGGGATTACCCAACAACCTCCATTGGTCCTTAAAGTTTAAAGGATTAACAATCAATGTTCTAAATTTGCAAACTTCACAATATGTTTTTACTTTTTGGGCTAGCCTCCCTACATTTTAAACTGAAGTTTCACTTAAGTACGATAAATTTTGATACATTTTACAGAAACGCCATGGTTTTAGTTACACAACAAATTTGTTCTTATATCCGTTCATTAAAGTTTGGTGCGACTCGATTTTGCCATTGATTTTTAACATATTTTATATTGCGCGTTTGGTAATTCCCGAGAAATCATACCTTTCAACATGTATATTTACATGTATCCTTTACTTTCTAGTAAAAAATTATTAAAAACGTTGTAATAACAAGCTTATATGTAATAATGCACTAAAAGGTTGAAAACAAATGAATTTCTTTAAATATATCATAATTATCTACTTTTTAAATCTAATATATAAAGTTCAATTCTGTTTGTTTGTAAAATGTTTGTCGTGGATTACAAAGGAATATTAAAATAAATCGAAAAAAAAAACATACTTGATGAATTCAAGTGTTAGATTATTAAAGCGCTCATGGTCTAAATTTATGAGTTAAAAAATTACTATTGGAAGTCTTTAAAAACAATTTTCATTTTATATACTTAGAATAAGAATTTTTAATTATGAACATTACATAAAATTTAAAAAAAAAAGTGTATCAACGTTTATAAAATTTCTAAAATTGAGTCTGAAATGTATTTGCATTTTGTCCCTTAGTTCTCATAACGTCCCTTGATTTGGAAAACACATTTACTTTCCTTTAAAAAACATTAAATCGGGGGGGGGGGGGGGGGCGGAGAGAAAGAATTTACTTTTTATTACTTTTTTTGGTGTTAGGAAAAAAGTAATTACATAATTAGCGGGGATTGATTAAGTGCAATGTTGTAGGTGTTTTTAATACTGCCTTTTATTTATTCAATACACTGAACTTACTGTTTACTAATGATTTTTTTTTTAAATCAATAACAGTTAATAAGCCAGGTCATACATGTCCTATATGTTTATTTCTTTCCGTTTACGGATAAGCTTGGAGTATTATAATTGTTCATTAAATTAAAACAGACGCGTCCGCCGGCGCCCCACCAGGGTTCAATTTGGCGCCCTGGGCTATCCTGTGAGCGCTATGGTGCATAATTTCGCTTTAAACAGTGCGATATAGTATGGATAAGAAAGGTTATTATAGTCTTTAAGTGAATCGAATCCGGGAGTCCTCAGGCGCCCAGACCGGGTGCTATTTGGGGCCCCAGGCATTCCCGTGTTCGGTTTGGCGCCTATGTTCGTTTAAGTGAGTGCAAAAGACTATAAATAAGTTGGGGTATTATAGTCGTTTATTAAGCTGAAACAGGCGATTCCGCCGGCGCCCCAGCATGGTACGATTTGGGTTTGCGTTAGTGGTTGGGTTTGCGTTTTGATTTGGTTCGTTTTTGTTCTTTCTTTTTCGTTTTCGTTTGTGTTTTTTTCTTTGTGTTTGTGTTTGTACTTGTGTTTACTAAAAATTAGAAAATAAATTATACACTACTATTTAAATTACTATAAAAAAGCGTGGGTCACTTTAGAATCTATTGGGTACTTTTACTAATGTTAAGGAGGACACCCACGCTTTTCTCTATAGTTATTTTAATAGTAGTCTATAATTATTTATTTTCTACTTTTTAGTACATTATTACATAAAAGCTTGTTATTAAAACGTTTTTTATGAATTTTTTTTCAGTACTTTACATGTTTTATTTACAATAGAGTTACATGACTAAAAACCATTGCGCGCCTACTGAACGTGATGACGCGTGTGGTGTGGTTGGATAGACATGCCTACTAATTCGGTCCAAATTTTAATTTATTCATAAATAATTAATTAAGCATCCAATGGACACCAGCGAGAAAAGTCTCAAAGGTATTTGAGAGGTCCATAAATTAATTTAAAAATCATGCACGGCGTAGTTACAATTAATATGGTTATAAAATCCTGCCTGTCTGTTTTTTTCGGACTTTACTAAAGATTGGATGTATTTGATGTTTATAATATTTTCGGTAACTAAATAAAAATTAAAAAAAAAAGCAAAAACAATTTGGTTTTCACGTGTTATGGCGACATAAACAATGGCATCCTGTTATTCGATAGGCCGCCATAAATTTTATTTTACACATTGTAAGCTAAAAATAGAAAAACTAGGTCATGGTGTTTAAATTTGTATTGTTATTTAAAAACTTGATCTGCAAAGTTTTGTAAACAAAAAACCTATAAAGTGGGGCCGTCAGAAATCGATCACGGAGTTCCTGTACAGCCAATCAATGTTTGTCTTATGAAAGTGAAACATCGGGTTATAACTTAGACTTGATGAAAATAAATAGAAATGTAGCCTTAAACTCAACAAATTATTTTCAAGTTCTCTGGATCTGCAACTTGTATAGCATTGATTCTAAAAAATATTAAATTTCTGAATTAATTGTAGGCTTAAGTTTTTAATAAAATTTTATGTTTTATTATTTTTACGGTCCTAAATCTAAACAAGGTAATTAAAAAGTCTAGTGACAATTTTAGCGCAATTTCCTTATGTTATCTAAAAATAGCTCTGTCGTAGCGTAAATCAAGAGCAGGGTTAGTAAAACCATTGGTTACTTATTAAAACGTTTTTTATTAATTTTTTTCAGTATTTTACATGTTTTATTTACAATAGAGTTACATGACTAAAAAACATTGCGCGCCTACTGAACGTGATGGCGCAGCCATGGAACGCGATGGCGCAGCTATTGAACGTGATGACGCGTGTGGTGTGGTTGGAAAAAATGCCTACTAATTCGGTCCAAATTTTAATTAATTCAAATTTTTTTTTGTGAACGAACGAAAGGATATTTTTGAAAACTTTCTTCGGCAATATTGTTCTAAATTATGGCAGAAATCGATTGGTACATGTTTCAAGTCGCTTAGTGGTCTGGTTGCCGAGATATGAGCCAAAAACTGCATTTTTTCGAGGTTTTTTGGCTTTTCCGGGAAATCCATGAAAGAAACCCGGAATTTTTATGGCCTATGTTCATCCTCGTAATTTGCTTAACATAATTGCTTTTGGAACTAGTCATCGATATTGCTTCGTTGAGGAGGAGATACGACTTAAAGCCCGGACACACATTCATCCATACATTCATTCATCCATTCATTCATCCATCCATTCCCAGAAATGACGGGTTAATAAACGCAATTCTCCAGAATGGAAATTGCGCTAAAAAGCACATTTTTATTCCATGTCAACAATATTACGGAAGGATTTTCGTCAACTCACTGTGAATCGTATCGGTCAAGTAGAAGTGTTCGAATTTTCACTCCGGCGTTTCGATCTAGACAGACTGACGACTGACGACAGAGGAAGCGAGTTAAATAAAAGGTTGTAATAAAATCTCGTAGAAAAAAAATTGAACACCAAGTACTCAAGTGAAAGCAAATGTGGTTAAAGCACGTGGAGCCATTAATACTAAATAGTTAATTAAATGTTGGTGATTTATTTTTAATTGCTTTCCTTATGAACCATGTTCTATAGCAATAGTTAAGCTATTAAAGTAGTATGCAAATAAGAGTCTTTTGTAAGTGTGTTATTATTCGACTACTTGTAAGTTTACAAAGATTAGATATTTTGATGTGCTTAACCGTTGAAGACTTTAGGTCAAATTCGTTGGCATTTCTCTTTGTTTGATTTTCTCATACAATTTTTGTACTAAATAACCGGCTTAACTATTTCATAGCAAATAAATTTGCAATGCCCTGTTTAAAGGTGCATATCCTTGTGCTTTATGACATGTGCATCACATGCATTAATGATCTTCATTTTTACTTTCTCGTATATACGAAGTATAGAGAAAGTATTGTAATCGTGCACAAAAATCAATTGAAATTTTAACAATTTTCACCGTATTACACTTAAGTCCTTCATCACATCCGAAGTATAGAGGACTTATTTTAATCGGGCAAAAATTATCAATCCAGATTTATCAAAATTAAGAGGCTTTATGCGTAATCCAGTCTGAAAAACTGGGCTTTGCAATTCTGTCCGTATGTCTGTGTGTCTGTGTGTGTGTCTGTCTGTCCGTGTGTAAACACTATAACTTGAGTACCGTTACAGCTACGTTGATGAAATTTCATATATAAGTATTTTATCAAAATCATAGATCCGTATCATTTTTTGAGCGGTTTCCGATAACCGGAAGTGGTACTTTTTCTACTTTGAATTTTTCAAAAGCCTATAACTTGAGTACTATTTCAGATAGATAAATGAAATTTCACATGTAAGTAAACGATCTAATTCTCTACCGTCTGTTAAATTTTGAGTAATTTCCATTAACCAGAAGTAGTAATTTACGCTACTTCCGATTTCTCAAAATACTAATGTAAATTTTTAAAGTACTAATAATATTGCGCACTATTATTCACTTTTTTATTTGGCGTTCAATTGGTGTGCAATTCTTTTGTCTACGAGATTTTATTCTATTTTTAAAACTTTATGTATTTAAAATGGATTAAAAATCATGTCTATAGCCCGTGTTCCCATCCCCTGTTGTTTTATATAAGAATATTCGAGAAAGTTTAGGGGAGATCACTCCAGGTTTATTTATCTGTGAATTTGCTTTGTTTACACCATCCAAGGATGAAATATTAATTATTAGTCATTATTTATTAATTTTCACGCATATTTGAAAACAGTTTAAACTTTTTCTTTGTTAATTTGTGTCATCAAAAAAAGTTTAATTTCATGACACAGTTACGTCCCTCTAATAGTTACAATATAGCTGTCAACATTTCTATACTCATCCCCTTAATATTACATTTCTGATAATCTGGTATTTTTCTAGGTGCCTGAGGTACCACCGATATCTCCTTACCAAATGTCAAGTTTATGTTGCATCTGCAAGTGGTCGATCTAATTTTAATTTAAGCACTTTAATGTATACTTTATATGACGCCATAGTCAGTCTAGTTCAGATTTCGGTCACTTTAAACACGATGATTATCGAATCTAATTTTTCCATTATAATGAGAGTGAAAGCAAAAATTTTTTTAGGAACAATTAACCTGCAAGTACCTGACTTAATAAGGTGTGAATAACAAACAATCCCCAAATATTTCTGTTATGTAGGCCTATATAAAAAACGGATACAGCAGGAC